ATTACGAAAATGATTAAGGAAGAACTGCTACAGCTATTCCGCCGATCTAAAACTGACACCGCATATGTCCACAAATAAGGCGTATGCCTTATTTCTGTACTATTAATATCCAAAAAATCGTAATTCTTCTAATGAGCAAAAGAATGACTAAAGAGCATTTGCAAAATTTCGCATGTAAAAGAAAGTTTGTCTGACTACCATTCCGATGCTTGCATGCAAAACAAAGTAACTTGTTAACTTCCATCAGAAATCGAAAAATACATGCAGAACGATTAAAGACGCCAAGATTTACAAAAGACTACAAAGTCTACAAAACCGCCGGAAAATATCATACCGAAGTTGTTGCGATGCAAAGAAAAGACGTTGCACGTTGCTTGCCCCTTTATCACAGTCATAAGGACACACAGTCAAGCGGTAAGAGAACTCTCTATCTGAAACTGTTATCGGGGAATGATGGCCGGATGGAAGTTAGATGGCCTAACTACGACGAAGGAGACCGGAACCAGGAGTCCTTGCTACAAACACGAGAAATATACTAGAATACATATTATACTTTGCCTGTTTTCAAGCTAGATGGTTGCAGAAGCGACAGAAAGATCCATCAATTAGGCGATACTGGGCATGCAGAACAAAAAGACCAAAGGTCACTGGATAAGTGAGAAGCAGAACGGTCACCTCATTACACCTAAGACGCCCAGACAATCAGAAGATGACTGCGCAAGCCCGTAAAGTAGAAAAGAACCGAAGACGTAGGTGAAAGTTAACCAAGAGGTCTCAAGCCGTTCCTCGCTCGAAAGAGAAAACGAGAGCAGTCCGTAAAGTTAATCACATCGAGATCAAGCCTCTAGCTTGTTGGTATTACAACTCTGGGTGTATGACGGTGTATGACGGTATTACAGCTCTTGGTGTATCCTATACACATCACAGGCACACTTCCTCAAAGTCCAGACAGTAAACCACCAATTCTATACGCTAAATTTGCCGATTAGCACCACAAGCAGCCATCTTCTCCGGACGAAAAGAACTAATCGGCATAGGACTGGCTCCGGCATCCGAGGAAGAACGGGTGGCGTGGGAAGGTATGCAACATTCAGCAGCAACAATAAGGGTCAGTGCCTGCAGGAAGCGGAAGATTACGCACAACTGTCCTTACCACTAATCAGCAACACCGTTGCAAAGCACTACCCATAAATTCTTTATGGCAAATCATAGCCTATTAAAAACGTAAACCAATTAGTAAACACGTCCGATAACTGGACGGAAGGGGCACTTATCGGACGTGTTGCAGTTCATTCGAGTTCCGTTTCTTGGCCCTCAGTGTCTAGAGCGGTACTTTCTGGCTCTTCTCAATGGCTTCCACACTACACCGGTTGGCAGTACGCAGGATCTGTCAGGAATTATCAGCGAATTACCGGGGCGTACGTTGGAGGCAGTGGCGTCGAGATGCCGACCACGGGAGTCCTATGACACTGTACAAAGTACATGAGAAAAAAAAACAAACACTGAAAATTACGAAGACCGTTAAAAAGTTGCAAGCCAAAATATCCTGAAAACGCTGGTCAGTCGAAATTTCACCGGAAATGAAATTAAAATATAAATAATATGAGATCTATACATACGACAGCAAAAATTTTTTTTCGAATAGGTGTACCATGAACCATAGTCTTATCCATAATAATTGAGCAGGACCAACAAGAACAGGGAAGTGAGGGGGCGAATTAAATATGCGCTGTCTTCAACTTGGCGCTACCACGCTGTACTCGTAGTCTCGTACTGCTGCCGACAACATTATTAAGCCTCACTATACTACTAGTGCGCTATTGTTTTCTGATTTCAGTTCTCATTTTATTTTGTTTCAAAGTATAAGTGTTTGCCTAGCATAACTGAATTCATAGCTATCGAAATGGTGCGGATAGGTAGCCGATTATAAAGGATGGCACAACGTACTGCGGATTCGATAAAACGCAAAATTTGTCAAATTGCTCAATATTAATTAAGGATTGGAGTAAGTACAGTACTTAGCTTTGCTACAGCCCGCTCATCCACTAATTTAGCAAATGGCAGTTAATAAAATTTGTGAAAACGGTTAATTACTTTGCTCTTAGGCTTGCCGAAAGTAATTCTCTGTGTTGGTGGCTACGACGGCAAGAACAGCAAGGCTGCGTATATGTTCTGTCCTTCAGTGTCCGCTATTTGGCATCTGGACGAAATTCCGTATGGCGTATCTAGCTGCAATTTAGCTGTCATAGGCAAAAATTTAGCAATGGTATGCGGCGGATTCACAAGCGATGCCCGGAAAGAAGACCGGCGCGTCAGTCAGTATGATACTGCTCGTAATGTGTGGAAGGATGTTGTGCCAAATTCCAATGCAGACAGCGCGGATAAGTCCCGGCGTGGCTGCGTTGGGAGGTTATATCATGCTGCTGGAGGGGGTATTCATGTGGCCCCAAACTGTTAACCAATACGTTCTGTGGAACGCTACGATCCACAGACAAATTCCTGGCAGTTTGTGGCTGATTTACCGGTGGACGGTTTGGTTCCGCCGTGGTGGCAACTAAGGATCGGTTTTATATATTTGGCGGAAAGCAGAAAACTGCGAGTACCGGCACCACTGCATTTTGCTACACTCCAGCAAGCGATAGCTGGAGTAGGCTGGCGAATATGCCCACTGCTAGACTAGGGAGTTGCGCGTGTGTCGGATCCAACGGATTGATTTATGTCATCGGTAAGACTAGCACAGTTGGAGAAACAAGATGTCTTCGGTCTAGTGCTGATTACTGTGCGCTTGATGTAGTTTCTCTGTGTACATGTACAGGCGGAAGAGCTCAGGAACATTTAAAGTGCGTGGAGGCGTATGACGCAACCACGGATGCATGGCTGAGGAAAAGTGAGTGAAAAGGGGTATTATTGTGATCGTACAACACAATTACATACTGACTGTATATTACAACACCATCCTAATTTCGAAGTACTTCTCTCGTATTAGCCGTGATAATGATAAAAAAATATGAATCAGTTCGTACGTACTGTATGTACAGCAACTGTGTGGCAAATTAGGTGATATGATTATGAAACGCAGTTTGGCTGGATGTGGATATGTGGATGGCAAGATTTATGTTCTCGGTGGTTTGTCGGCCAACGGAGATCATTATGAGAGTTCCATCGAGGTTTACGATGAGACTACGGATACATGGACCATGCACGAATGCCGACTGCCCAAGGCCATCCGAGGCCTCGCTTGTGCAGTAATGAGGGCTAAGAAAGGTGAGCGCATCTGGCAGTGGCATGTAAATAACCGTTTTGGTCTAAAAAATTAACGAAAAAGTTGCATAATGTTTGTTTGCTATTTTGTGTTTCTTTTCATTTCGAATCATTTTACAGGAGCGATTCTCTCTTTTGTGTCGCCGTCTGGTTGATGGTTTAACCGAACTGTCATGGACATGTACCCCACCGATATTTTAATGGTAGCTCCACGATCTTCACAACAGGAAACACTTTTTCAATAAAATGGTTTTTGTCTTTGCTTATTGCTGATTGTTTGTATACTCATCTATGCGCATTTTACAGATTTCCATATAAAGCCGTTTCCATACCACTCATTATGTTGAGAGTGTTACCGTTAATGTTACCGTTAACCGTTAACCTGTTACCGTTAATGATGTTTGATTTTGTTCTCTAACGAAAGGAACACATTTCGCGTTGATACATTGGTATTTCAGCCTAAACATCGTATGTATCTGCAGAACATCAAAAATGTTTTGTTACTGTGAGAATAATGAAATAATTAAATGATGTAAGACAAAATAAGGAAGAAAGAGAGCAGAAAACATTTTTTTCGTAAGCAAATCACGCCCGTCGCGGGTACAGCCATGCTTATCTTACACGTTAGGCCCCCAAACATTAGGAAAATATCATAGAAGTATAGATATCATCGAAAATCATCCCCACACGTGCGGCGTTATTGTAGCTCCGATTTCGGTTAAAGATCGATAAGGAATGCTTTCGCGAACCAACAAGGTGAACAAGCACTCCACAGGTACTCCACAGCAGGTACTCCACAGCAGGAAATAGGAAAAGCCGCTTGTATAGCGCCTTTTATACAATGATAAAGCAAGCACCTAAACATGCCAAACTGGACAAGCAGGACCAAGGATACACAAGTACACAGTATTAAGACCTGGAAGTAGTCACTTCTTCCATAATACTCTTGGCATAAAATGGCTGTTCGTGTGGCGAAGCTTCTAGTTTCTTGATATGATGCTAATCATCACCCTTCAGAGACAGAGAAGAATCAAAATTTCCGATACATCAGGATTTTGATAGTAATATCTGCGTAATTGCTGATAGAAAATGTGAAATACATGGTCTTACAAGCGCAAAACAGACCATCAGTACAGTACAGCACAACCTAGTCGTATGAGAATAAACTGATTATCGTCTTTCGTGTACAGAGTACGGTTTTCATTTCTTTTTCTTAGAGAGTCGTACATAAACCGGATTTATTCCGCCGAAGTCATATTAACGCGGTGACGCGTCACAGTGCAAAACATTTTAATACAGTAATAGACATTAGCATTACCTGTACAGAAATTTTTAATGCACTTACAGAATATTGTCTGACAATGCGGTGCCCCGGTGGTGCCTGACTGCACATACAATACTAGTGCTCTTATACGTAGGATGCAGGACGCGACACAAGTGAGGAAACTGCAAGAGCTCTTTTACTTTTATAGTGCCCTGAACGAATAGGTATCTCGCTGCGCCAGCGCATACCATGACCTGGACATACCATTAGGAAAATAAGTATTTAGTCTACAGATACTGTGGTTTCGTTGCTACAGAGTGCGTACAGTACATACTGACGTTAGTGACGTACATATGAAGGCGACCGGCAAAATACAGTTTTTGGTTTTATGCAGAGCGAAATAAGCAAATACGCGAAAGAAACATTCTTATTTTAGCACAGCTAATTTGGAGATGTCTGTGTAACGCCGCATCTGCCAAGCAGTCGCTTTATTTCAAAATTTTTGTCAAATCTTACCACCGAAGAACACAAACAGAATTCCGCATGTATAGAAGGTATCATCTCGACCTACAGCATCGTTCAGAAATCAGATGTTGTATGCAAAAATTAGTAACTTTTCATTAGAAATCGATAAATTCAAAGCGTTCAAAGAGCCTTCATTGTGAACAGAAGGTACGAAACCATCGGTCAATACCACACACAGAAGATAGCAAACCAGCAATTCCACACACTTCAGTTAAATCGACACTGATTAGAAAGCTTAGAAAAAAACATTCTGCCGACTAATTAAAAGCGATTTCAAGGTGAGTAGCGCGGCGTATACGGCTGCGTTCGCGAGAGCCGAGTGGAAAACTGAGGAGCGCGATACGGGGCCATGCGGCGGGTTTGCGCCGCGCGGGGCGTGGTGCGAAAGGGGATGCAACGTTTGGCGGTTGCATGCTTGTAGCGGAAGATATCACACAGCTCGTCCTTGGTCAGCAATCCCGTCTGCCAAGCAGAACTCACCGATTTGTACCAAAATCCCCAGAGCATATCGTAAAATTAGTAAGAACATATTCGTAAATACTGTTAAATCTCTACAAGTAGGAAGTCCTGGCAATAAATCGTAAAAGCAGTGGACATAATAAAACAACTGAAAAAAAGTAAAACTGTCGAAACGAAAAAACTCCTGGAAATAACAACCAAAATTATTTTTAAGAAAACAAAATGCTTGCAATTAAGTAAGAAACAAATCATAATTTTTTAAACTGGAAACTTCCCCGGCACACCGTCAAATAATAAAAAAGTAAAATAATCATTAGATATTTCTGAATTACAATTTACCAATATTGGAAATTTCTGCCAGAAATCGTAACTATTATTAACATAAAATGAAAAAATTCTGAGAACTGCACAGAAAATTAGCGATCGCCCTAATGTATTCAGGATTCAGGGATGCGCTTCATTACCTCGCCCGGCCCATCGGCCAGCTGAACGTCCGTCATCAAGGGAAAGCGGATAAGAGAGAGGGCCGTTCCCAACTTAAGGCGCCGGTTGTGACTCGAAGGAGCCATTTTATCCATCTGGCACGCATGATTCGCCCAGCTGCAAGAATATCCTGTTTTAGTATTTAAGAACAAATTCTTAAATAACGAAACAAACACTAGTAATAATTAGAATAATATCGATTCCTGAGTAATCAAATTACTGGTGCGAAAATAAAGGAAAAACTGTTCAGGACAAAATTTAGTGAATTATCAAGCATGCAGGCATAAAACAACGAAAGTGCTGTTCAAGAAAATCGCTGATTAATGTACTGCATTATCAAGTCATTGCCGACATTTGTCGCTGGGAATTGTTGTCATAACTTTTGCAGCCACAAAAATAAAACCGAAAATTGCTGTCAATTTACAGTTGAAAGCCGCGAAAATGCACATACGATACCAAAATTAAATACAAACGTACCGTTCTGCGGCTTTGTAGACGCTGTATTCATCCGCAGTCAGTGTGCTACGCTGCAGAACGGTCTCCAATGTCGTCTTTTTGACCGTGAGAAAACTGTCCGATTGCAGAATCTCGCCGCTGGAGGCATCCAACATTTCCAGACATTTTCCGATCACACGCTGGGCGTTCAATTCCTCGGCCTGTGCACAATGGAAGCAACAACGGATTTAGAAAAACTGGACACTGTCATATGAACGCAATATCCCGATGCTTACTTTTTCCAGCATTGTCAAGCAGTTGTCCATGTTCAGGCTGGCGATGATGAAATCCGAGCACAGATCAAACAGCAGCTGGATTTTGTATTTTGACGCGCAGGACAGTGTGTCGAAGACATTCTGCGAAGTCAGATTCTCCACGCTGTCCGTGTACAGATAACTGACGTGGGAGAAAAGAAGCATGTGTGCGATGAAATACAAATTCATGGATAACAGAAAACTCGGAAAAATATCAGATTTCAGTTTGTTAGGGAAAAAATGCGATAATTTTGCAAAGAAATTTATCTGATATTTTTCTATGCTCGAAGATAAAAGTGAAATCAAAAGGAAAAACAACAAATACGATATTTAAAAGTGCATAAAATATTAATTGTTGCGAGTGAAATTATTTATAAAAAACAGCGATGCAACACGTGAGCTGAAAAGAACAGTAAATAAATAAAAAACGGAACAATAAAAAAAGTAACTATTTCGTTAGTAATGAAGCAAGTACTTATTATACTGAAAAACCTGCCAAAAAATTTGCCAATTAATAATTCGTGTAATTAAATGAATTACTAAATGAATGTAAATAAATTCTAGATTGCGCTCGGCGTTATACTTTGTACTGTATAGATTTATTAAAAATTACAAAATTATCCATTATTTTTTTAAGATTTTCATGTGGCAAAATAACGCTCACCTCAGCAAATTGTGGAAGGCTTCGGGCGTCGCGTCAGGAACTTCGAGATTAGTGTGGCTCGGCGATGGTGGTTCACCGTAGAAGAGCTGATCAAACACCTGGCTGCCAATGCGCAGCACAAACCTACACAAAAATGCTACCGAGTGATGTGCGCACGGTTATCAGTTTTTCTGACAGTGGTTGTGAAATGTGAAGTACCACCGCAAATGAATCGTACTTGTGTGCACGGAATGTCTGGATCGTTCCACGGTAGCGCCCGACGACAAACTGGATATCGCTATGTTCCCCGCTGGCCAGCAGATGCTTAGTGCGATTGGCGATGCCCGCGGTACGACCCTGCCAGCCCCAGTCACTCTGGGTGAGGGATAATGCAGACGGGGATGCTGACAACTGCGACATGGTGGGAAGAGCCAAACTGTCGAATGAAACGGGAGCGGCCAGTCTTCAGCGCCCCCAATAACGCAAATTACGAAGGAATGATAGATCAGGTCTTTGGACGAGAATCACGAGATCCACCACACTGCACAACAAACAAAATCTGCTTCCACGGCTTCGAGAGAAACGAGAGAAACCAAAATCTACTCAAAGTGTTATTAAAATGTCTGGCCAATACTATCTCAGATTATAATTTTACGAAAAGAAGAACAAAATAATCAAAATGGTAATGGCAGAGTGAGGCAGACTGATAAAAATCCATTTCTACCATACGACTGATACGAGTAAGTACTAACGATTTGAGATTTCAGAATGGGTTCGTTGCAGCCTTGTAATGTAGCTGCCGCTGTGATGTAACTGCCATTGTGACAGTAGCAAGCCGCAAACTACCCGTAGTCATCTGCGTCGGTGCCGGATGGACTTTGCTGCCAGGGCAGAATGCACTGTGCTATTTATCCTTCACTTCTGTCAGGTGGTGAGTTCGATTATTTCGATAACATCTTTTCAAACTCGCAAGTGTTATACTTCATGTATTATTTTTTTGCTTTTCTCTTTTATTGGTTGGTGCACAGAAAACAGAAATGTTGCGCCGGGACGAACAAAATTAAAAATGGAATAGTACGAAGGCGCAGGCAGTAAAGGGTTACCGGCGTTACCGCATCTTCCTGTGCCCGTAACCGGGCGTCGTTTTACGGGGAAAATCATTTCTTGCTGCGCAAACTGTGTACTTCTCAATTCACTCCGATGAGAAGAAGATTCGTGCCGTTTTCTCCAGGAGATTGTCTTACGGTTTTTTTACTACATCATCTGCACATTGTACAGTTATAATTTGCTGCCCAGTGGCCCAGTTTACGGCGCTGTCCGCTCACCGATACATCGGATTTCCCGAATATTCGGGACAACACATTACTAGTTATGTCGCTAGACGAATTGAGCCTACCTGAGAACGACAAGACCTACGTCGATTTGACGAAGGACTTCTTCGGCCAGCTTCGCGATGTGCAGATGGCGGGCCATCTGTGCGATGTAGTGCTCAAAGGCTGCGAGGATACTTGTACTGGCATTCCCTGTCATCGTTTGGTACTTTGCGCGTGCAGCAGCTACTTCCGGAGCATGTTCACTTCGGACTGGAGAGAATCCCCCCCGACAGGGATCCAACTGAACAACATTCAATCAAACACGCTGCAGGAGTAAGTGACCTGTGGATGAGTGCTAAGGGCTTTTCGTAATGATCCAATGCATTAATCTGTGTGCGAAATTGTGAGGAGCTTTGCATCCTTTGATCATGACATTAATCATGATTATTGACTACTTTATATTACACAACGTACTTGTACATACGTACGTTGTAGACAGCAGTTAACTAAAATAAATGCAGTCATGCGTTATAGAACGACGTACCGTGCATGCCCCTTACTTACAATAAATGGCCGAAAAAAAATCATATCCATAAAAATTTTTATCACGCGTAGCGCATGCAGATCGTATGTACTTTGACACTGTAGGTGTACTGAATGTGCATTTGAATGTGCATTGTACTTCTATGACTGTGCTTTCGGTTGGATAATGTAGGCCGGTACTTGCACAATAAGTACTGTATGTAAGTACAATACATGTTTTTCTCTGATTTAATGTAGGTACATGATGTACAGATCTGTACAAGCACATTATGTGCGTATAACTTTGTAAGTACGTACATTTACTGTACACGTACGTGTACATGCACAGGTATAAAGACGTACAGGAGCTGTAACGGTCTTGTACCTGTACTTTGACACTTTACTGACAGTGCACATTCTAGACTGGTGCGATATGCGTATTCGATGGAAATCACCATCAACGAGGAGAATGTATACCCGGTTCTGACTGCTGCGCTCTTCCTGGATATCTCTTCCGTCTCCAAATTGTGCTGGCGATTCGTGGAAAATCACATGACCATAACGAATTGTCTGACGGTGTACTGTCTGGCTGACTTGCACAACAATCCACAGCTGGCATCTTCAACATTTTATCCGAATTAGCCAGAGACAGGATTTCCTGCAACTGGATGCCGACAGAGTATGTGTTCCATTGCCGATGGCTGCGGCTCGAGAATAGGGGAGTACCTCGTACTGTGTCGTACTTACATTAAAATTTTGCTGGTAACATTTCAGATAGCTGAATTATGCAAGTTCGATGGTCTCCGCGTGCAGACGGAAGATCAAGTGTTTGCTGCTGTAATGCGCTGGTTCAATCATGACCAGGCTGGACGGAAGACCCGATTGGCGGAAGTGCTGCAGTTCATCCGGGTGCCGTTTCTGGGACCGAAGTGTCTCGAACAGTATTTTTTAGCCCATTTTAACGGATTGATTAGTGCAACGGCTGGTATCGCACGGAACGAAGCAGGGATCATTAGCGAGTTGCCTGGGCGAAGCGCGGAGGCAGTTTCGCTACGGTGTCGACCACGGACGTAATTCGAAAACACAATGGGTATTGCTGTATAGTAGCAACTTCAAAGCAGCATAACGTTACTGCACAGCTGCAATTACAGTGCGGCTGCCCATATGATTACATAGTCAGTAAATTTAATTATTTAAAGTGTTTTTAGGGTTGCCAAACGTCATCGTTTGCGTTGGTGGGTGTGATGACCACAAGATCCCGCAAGCAGCAGTGACTGTATTCAGTCCATCGACGTCCACTTTCTGGTGTCTTGAGAAGATGTCTTATAGCATTGCTTTGTGCGGTTCGGTGGTAATGGAGGATAATTCCGTTTTTGTATGTGGCGGATTAACGACGACCGACGAAACTAATCGAGTCAGCCGCTATTATCCAGTTCATAATACATGGGAAAGCGTTGCACCACTGCAACATCGGTGGGCTGGGTCCGGCGTGGCTGCTTTGGGCGGTCGCGTTTACGTTGCTGGAGGGTATTATTATGTGAATGATAATTGGGAGCCCTTACGTTCTGTCGAGTGTTATGATGTGCTGACCGATTCCTGGCAGCGTGTGGCTCAATTACCGGTTGACGATCTGTGGGGCTGCAGTATGGTTGCTGTTGATGATCGGGTTTATATGTTTGGCGGTATTTCGCAACAGAGGAAGACGAACGCAGTATTCTGCTACGATCCAACAAGCGACACTGGGAGTAGACTAGCTGACATGCCCACTGCTCGAAACTGGTGTTGTGCGTGTGTCGGTCCTCGCGGATTGGTCTATGTCATCGGTACGGCTGAACGTGACAAAGTTTCGTAATATATGCTCATTTATCAGTCGTATTTGTTATGTAAAATTAATGATTATCCTGTGGTATCTCGCACCCTTTAGGCGGAAGGAGGAGTGGAGCTAAATATTTAAACTGTGTGGAGGCTTATGACACGACCACGAATGTATGGTTGAAGAAACGTGAGTTCCAGTACGTGTACTTACTTCTAGACTATGACTGAGGCGCTGTATTCTGCTTACTTAAGTACCGAACCATGTTTACTGTTTAGTAAACTTTAGTGACAGTCTTCTGATCACTTGAGCCACCGGTACATAATGTGCTCGCTTGTCGAATTAGGCGGGATGATTACCAAACGTAGTATGGCCGGATGCGGTTGTGTGGACGGCAAGATTTACGTTCTTGGTGGAGCGTCCACAGAGGAAGAATGTTTGGATTCCATAGAGTTTTACGATGAGAATACAGACACTTGGACTATGCACGAATGTCGATTGCCAAAGGCCATCAGAGGTTTTGGTTGTGCAGTGATGAAGATGCAGAAAGATTAGTGCGAGGGGCAGTTCATGAACGGGTTTTGTTTAGACTACCACTAATGTGAAATGTGAAGCATTTGTGTACGCTATCTTTCGCAGATTTTAATATGCAGACGCTAACCACGCTTCTGTGTTGATCGCTTTATTTGACTATCAAAGAAAACACTCCACCGACTTTCAACGTTCGCGAGCAGGTTTCATTTCGTGGTTATACTTTCGATATTGATTTTGACGTTATATTGCAAACTGCAATAAAGTCAGTTGCAGTATAATTATGCTGCAGTATACTCTCATTGAACAACAGACAGTATTAAATAACCGAAGAGAGCTGTTTACCATGAAACTGGTTTAAATATAACCCCGCATTTAGCGAGCACTCGCTTTATTTCAGTACTCGTATTAAATCGAAAATTTTTATGAAACTAAAATGACGGAAGAGCACACGCAGATTTTTGTTTATGAATGAGTGCAGTAAATCATTAATCAGACAGCGATAGCGCGGCGCATTCTGCTGGTTGTTCAGCGTCCGGTTCAGCAGTTGAACTGTTGATGTTGGGATCACGATACGGAGCGATGCGCCGAGTCGGCGCCGAGCTGGGCGTTGCGCGGAAAGGCATGAAGGGTTTAGCGGTGGCGTGATTGAAACGAAAAACGCGCCGCTTGATCAGCAATATCCCATCTGCAAAGTATAGATACTCGTACAACCCAAAAAGCTTACAGAAATTTCTTGGGACGTGGAACTTAAGGACAAATTTTACAGGCTGGTACACGGTACATACCGTACAGGCTGGTACACCTTTAGAATAAGTAAATAATGTTGCCATATTAAGTTTTAATAACGGCGAATAAAGGCAAAAAAAGGAAATAAAGTTTAATCAAGCGAGCGAGCGTTTTTAATTTAAAATGTGTGACGTGACGAACCGGAGAGCCGGGTTCCCGGGGTCCAGGGGCGAAGCCCCTGGCCGGGGTTTGGGGCGGAGCCCCAATAAGCAGGGGATGCGGGGGGCGCAGTTCCCCGCTGAAACAATTGAGAAGGTAGTTTAAAATTCAAATCCTAACCCGGTCATTTTTGACGAACCCGCCGTAATAATGTACGGGGGGTCCGGAAATTTGGACCCGGGCCGGACTTTTTTAGCGACCCCCGGGTGGAGCGTTTTTGGGGGACCGTGACGTAAATTATAACCCGGTCATTATTGACGAACCCGCCGTAATAATTTGAAGGCGGTCCGGAAATTTGGACCCGGGCCGGATTTTTTTAGCGACCCCCGGGTGGAGCGTTCTTCGGGGACCGTGACGTAAATTATAACCCGGTCATTATTGACGAACCCGCCGTAATAATGTAAAGGCGGTCCGGAAATTTGAACCCGGGCCGGATTTTTTTAGCGACCCCCGGGTGGATTGTTTTTTGGGAACCGTGACGTAAATTATAACCCGGTCATTATTGACAAACTAGCAGTGATATTAGGGCGGTCGTAAAATTTGGACCCGGGAAGGGTTTTTTGCGGCCCTTGGTGCGTGTCCTTTTAGGGAATTGACGTTTGCGAAAATACTTATTGTTTTTCAATCTTACATACTTATGCATTTTTATGCAGAGTCCGCCGTACAATAGTAGAAGTAGCTCGTTTTATGGACCCGGTCCGAAAATTTTGCCCGGTGTAGGTGGTGGGGTGTTTTATGTTTACGGGTCCCGTAACAGGTAACTTTTACCGTGAAAAGCTCTCGCAACCATTTCGAAATGCTATCAGAAAAACTACCGTAACCGTAATAAGTTACCTTAGATGAGGATTACTGTTACCATAACAGATTACTTTCTATGCAGCGGGTGATCATTACTGAATTTCTATAATGATTAATTCTTAAGGTAACGGGGTACCGTTACCGCAACCAGTTTTGAAATGGATTACTATGGCGGGATACCGTCATTGTAACCGTTACCGTAATGGATAACCGTGCATGTTTTTGTCACCGTTTCGGGTTTCTGCAACCGTTGCTACCTTTTTCATAAACAGCTGCCTTAATGAAACGCTTTTACTTTAATGATTAACTGCTTTTATAAATGAGCTGAGGGCGCCGCCGAGCTGCAGCGCGAACAATCATTTGATTGTTGCTTAAATAAACTGAATGTAAAAATCCTGAAAAAAGATAACCTGAAATGGATTCAGAATGACTAACACCGGTATTCATCGAAAATGAACTACAAAAATTTGCGCTCACGAGGCTTGCAAGTTACAAATAATTTGTTTGAAGAGGTACGCTTAGGAAGCGTACATTCGAGAAGATGTAAAATTTTAAACAAAATCAAAAGGATTCTAAAGCTTCTGAGCAATTGTTCGAAATGGTTTTGAAGCGTTACCATAGCGAAACATCTATTTAGGAAACCCAGCGAAGTCAGGAGTCATTACTACCGTTACTAACGTTAACACTATCACCTGCATTGCCACTGTTGTTTTTGATATTATGATGGTTCATCGTTGCGCGTTACCGCTACCAGCGTTACCACTCAAACCAAGCGTTACCATTAATAAATGTTACGTTTGCCTAACTGTAACAAGGTACCGTAACTGTGTCAGTTTTTGGTAGTGTATCATGTCTATTTACTGTGGAAACTAAAGGCGTAGCCAAAGGCGACGCCAAAACGTGGCGCTGGCGAGCACAGCAAAACAAGCGAAGCTGCAAGTAAAACAAAAGGGTTCTATTGTTTTGTTAACCTGAACAGATTTTTCTTGCAGTTCCACTTAAACTTTTTGTTACTGTAATGATACGGTTCCACAAACCGAAGGCGAGGCCAAAGGCAACGCCGAGCTGCGGCGCGAGCAAGCGCACCGCAGCGAGCGAAGCAGCAAGTAAAACGAGAAGATTCTATTGTCCTGCTATTCTGAAGAGATTCTTCTTACAGTTCAGCTTAACTTTTTTTTACCGTGATGATACGGGAGTGGAAACCGGAGGCGGAGGCAACAGCTATGCCGAGCTGCGGCGCGAGCAAGCGCAGCGCAGCTAGCAGAAAATAAAACAAAAGCATTCCATTATCCCTTTCATTAAAAAAATAATTTTCATGGACGAAATTTCCGTTGCAATTTCGAAATTCGGTAGCGAACTATTGTTTCGAGGAAAACCGAAGGCAAATCCGAGCGGCGTCGCAATTGAAGCATCATGTAGAACGAAAGATTCATTTTTTCTATTTCAAACTTTTGTTTCTATAAATGCAACAAAATTTAAATGAAATCTGCATGAAACGGAGATATAATTCTTGCAAATGAAAAACGAATTATTTGATTGCTTGATCGAAGTTTCTCGCCTTGTGCGACAACACCCTATTTCAAACTTCAAAACAGTCTCATTCTTAAAGGTTTGCATAAATCTGAATACGTAAGTACAAATAAAATAAACCTCAGCGATTATAGTTTTTGTTTCTTTTGCGGAGAAAAGAAAGGAGATCTGCGTTAAAGGTTATTACTATTAAATACGCAGGTGTTCACAGAGATATAATGACGTGGCCTTGCCCTCACGAGCATTGCGTATAATAGGTAACTTTCAACATGGTAGGTAGAATTGTGAAATTTTCCCTTTTTGAAACGACTTTTACAAAAATTCACAAATTTTTAAAACTTTCATAAATTGTTGTCAACATACTTTTTAGAAAATTACGCGATTCATGAACTTTATTGTAAACCGCGGATTCTGGCAAGATTAATCGAATCAACATCCAAGCACCAAAACACTTTTGCACCAGGTCGAGTTGAGTTAGCACGTCAAGACCAAAAGCGGCTAACCATTGTTTTATGTTGGAAACGGTCACTAGGTTTTCAACACCATGATAAATTTGAGTTACTCGACCGTTTTGCTTCAGAACAAAATCACCCGAATTAAAACTGAAAGTCATAAAGAAACATGGTACCCTTTACCCAAGAAAGTGATCCAGTTGGGAATCGTCACTGCGTTATAGTTACCTACGTTGTTACTGCCCCCAGACATCGAATAAGGTGTTGAAACGAAAAATCGTTTGCGCAATAAATCAAGCCAAACCAAGCTTTACGAAAAACATTGTGGTCTCTAAAACAGAAATCTGCGCCGGCGCTTCTCAGATCCTGTGTGGTTACATCGGCATACGCGGTTTGTGTGAATAAGTGTGCCAATTTATCCGCAGCAAAGACAATCTTTCCGTAAATTTGAAAATACTGGAATTTAAATGGCTTCCATGCGCCTAACAACTTGAAAGCAATGACCGGCATCCTTAAGTAAAGAATTTGGTGCGAAATTGACGGCAATGTGCGGTATGGTATTTATATTAGTAATGCCGCGTCGCAGTTGCTTGCGTGGTCACATTTAATCGTGTAGCAGTCCATTTGTATCACCAGCGGGGTCGTTATTATCATTTATATCAGTATTACCATCCATGTCACGGAATGAGATGTCCCGAGGTGGCGGCATGCTCGTATCGCGTTGCGCCGCGTGCGGGAGTATGGAGAGACTACCGCTATCCACCAGCCTGCTAAAACTCATGCCAGTCAATCACGCCGACTTTCCACTCAGCATTCAGCTATTATAAGTAACCGCTTAAGCTGCTTATCGGCCAAAAACTCGGCTCTACAATGTCGAGCGTAACCGCAAACAATATTTTGGCCAATACACAGATCAGTAATTCCTTGAGCTTGGTTAGCTCAAGGGCCTCAAGACATCGTTTATCTTTTTCACGCAATTTCCAGCCAACAATAAACCATTTCATCTTACGAAATTCAGAATATAGTTTCTTGGAACGCATGTACGGTGATGTATCAGTACGAAGCTCAAGTAATATTATACTTTTTTTTAACGGAATTAAAAGTAAAAACATTCAAAAATAATATATTAAGGGTAATCAGACCTTGTAGAAAGATCTGGCAGATGTTTTTTCGGAAGTGGGGCACAACGCTCGGTTGCGCGCACATGAAAGATTATGTAACTTAGTCATCGCTGAATTCATATCTCGAAAGATAAAAGCTATGCCGATTGGTTGAGAACGTGATCCACAGATGAATTGCAAAACGCAGCCTCGAGGCTGCGTTTTCTATTTCACATGCACATTCCCATAACCGGCATAACGCTTCCTTCGATAGCTGATATAAAATTTGGCGGTCATTTCAATTTCCATAACGGCTACGGCCATAACAGAATTTACAACTTTTTTGTGCTCCTTATTTTTTGCTGCTAATTTTTTGTTAACTTCAAAATGTCGACTAATCAAGTAGCCACTGCAGTCAATAAGGCACTCAAGCGCGTTATAATCAGGAAGAAAGTCGTTTCTGCTGCCAGTACATCAGCAAATGCAAATGGATCCAAGCCTGTGGTCGCGGATAACGACGAAATTGAGGAAATTGCAGCAACTGGAGCCGCTGCCAAGCGAGAAAAGCGAGATTACTTCAAATGGCCAATTAAGGATGAAGACGTTTTGATATCGTGGTTGGAAGACAACTATCACCGTCTTCGGAATGACAACAAAAGTGCGAGCAAAGTTGGAAAAGCCAACCTGGCCGTCGAAATTCAACGTTACCTGCAAGAAAATGGCATCCAAACAGAAAGGACCGAAAAGAAAATTCTGGATAAAATTGGCCACATCGAGAAATCTTACCGCAAGACCAGTGACTGGCTGGGAAAAACGGGGACCGGTGTTGAAGCGGAAAGTGGAATGACCCGTATGGAAAAGCTCAACAATAGCACCATAAGAGGTGTGTAGTTGTTACTTATAAGAAAAATAAATTAAATAAGAAAATTTTAAAAATCAAAAAAACTTTAAAATCGATTATAAAAAGGTCTGTTGGTCAGTTTTTGTTGTTCTTGTATTTGTTGCACACCAGGCTGTAAGAGAAACCACATTAAAGTTTCAATTTTAAAGTTTGCACCAACTTTAAAATTTTGAAATTTGGCAACGGCAGTTCGTTTTAGTTTATAATAAAAGTTGGAAGTCACGGAAAAAACTGAAAATACTTGAAATTTTTAAATTTTAAAATTATGCAATACTGTGTGTATTATTAGCGGTATATGTTTTAATTTAGCTGTGATCAACAAAAAATGCCGCCATTTCGACCGTCTTGACAAGATTATGGGAGACCGTCCGAACTTTAATCCGCTTCATTTGTGCGACTCGGCAGACGGAAGGGCTGGAGCACTTGGCAATTTGCTGAAGAACGTGGACACAGTGGATCTGGATACGGTAGACGACACCACCGGTGATGCGCTGGAAGCGGGCGGCACGGTGGGCAAAGAGCAACCAGCACTGGAAGCTGTAGAGCGTTCAGCGGAAACACTCACGGACGGCGCACCGGACAGCGCTTCGACGTCGGGCAGTAAACGCAAGCTACCCAAACCGGCTACAAAGTACACACAGAACGACCTGCAGAGCATGGACCGCTTGGACCGGTATCGTGCGGGACTGGCGATAGACAGCGACGAGGAGGAAAATCTCGGCAAGCAGAAGAAAGGCAACAATAAAAAGAAAGAAAAGCCACCAACAATGCCGGAAATTCTTCAAAACATTTACCACAACAAAGAAAAAACCGACGCGGTTAAGCTGGAGTTACGCAAGCAGGAAATAAAAGATCGTCGTGAAGAGAGAAAGGAAGAAATGGAAGCTCGTCGCGAAGAGAGAAAGGAAGAAATGGAAATGCGTAAAGAAGAGCGAAAAAGGATTTTGAGCTGCGCATGAAGGAACTGGATGTACGTTTGATGGAAGCGCAAAACCAACGCAACCAGTTCTCAATTTTGTTCAACAGGCCGCAGAATCTTCCGCCGGCAAATTAGTGAGTACTTGTATCGGCATTATGACTGCTTTCTTATGCGCAATTTGTATGTACATTATAATTGAGTTACTTGGCGCGCTTCATTTCTATCCTGTAAGCGATCGAGTTAAGACTTTTTAGTTTGTAGCTGTGTGTTTGCTTTCACTATCTCACATTTCTTTGTATTACATTTTTTGTGTTTTTTTGATAACCTTAATTACTGAACTAGCATACGAGTACACAAAACTGATTAATTTTTTGCATTTTTCTCAGCATTTTATAACATAATTTTTCGGTGCAAACTGTTATTAAAATAAAAATAATAAATTATGATAAAATGTATTTATGATAAAATCGGGTTACAAATCTTGCAAACACAATGCGGCATTAACACATGTCATAATTATAGGAGCGCTGATACGTATAATATACAGTAATTACCGTTAATATGTACATTGTACTGTAATTACAGCTAAAATGATATAAACGTACGCTGTACAGTACTTAACAGATCAATAAAATGTTAACCAGCAATTAAACAAGTACTAACATGATTATGTACTCGTATCTTACACAATGGCGCACACTGACACAACTATTCTTTCAGCCATTCTTATACATGCGAACGAAATCTTTTATTCGCTCACGTTTTACTTCGCCTTTTGTCCTTTCTGGCTGACCGGGATCGTAGTCCATGTTAAAGTCGCTTTCTTCCTCTTCGTCTGCATGGTCTTTATCTATATCACCCCAGGCCGGATCATAATAATCCTCGAGTAACAAATTATGGAGCACGCAGCAAACACGTATGTAGTAATTGGCACGAGCTTGGTCGGATTCAGTACGAATATTGATTCTTAAATCTTTTAAACTTTGAAAGCGATTTTTTGTCATACCGATTGTGTTTTCAATCACAACGCGACATTGTGAATGAGACACATTAAAATCCGCATTTTCCCGGGTGTCGGCACGATGGGATTTATATGGAACGATTACTGTAGATGTCAAAGCTAAGCGCTGTCGGCAAGTAAATACTCATCATCGCTGAAGTAATTAGCCGGGTTTATTGCCATCTTCGAGCTTCCATACACACGGCTGTCGTGGGCTGAGCCGGTAAAGCCACAGAGAACGTATCGAATGCGTTTTCGATCGTCGCAGATAATTGTTGCATTTAATCCATAATTGTACTTTCTTGTAAAGTATGCCTCACCGTGAACTGCCGGCTTTTGATGGAGGGGAACGATTGTTCCGTCCAAAAAGCCTACACATGAAGGAAAGCCGTGTTTCTCTCTTATGCGTCGGCTGATCTCTCGCCGCTCCTCTGCGTCCGGCCACTTCACGACGTCTGGTTCAAGACCGAGAAGGGCGTAGATTACACGCGCTGTGTACAAGTTCACAGTGCCGTATCCAATACCGCAGTGACTGGACACTGGCCCCAGTCCAGCGGCATTACCGTAAAATCCAAAGCGGTATAGCGTAACAAATAACTGAAATCGTGGATCCGCTTGAGGACATGTTGAATTGTTGGTGAATATCTCTTCGTCCTTAATAAGCATATAAATCTTGTTGAACCCACTCTTGCTCATCCGCGTGTGCTGGCGAAATCTGGCTTCAGGATAATATGGCAGGATATTATCGATGAAATCTTTACTCTTCGGCAAGCTTTCTCTCGCAGCGGCATATCGTGTTCCCTCCAAGTAAGCTCGTATACTGAGCGGAGAAAGCAAATCGTCGCGGTCAGAGGAAGAATCTTCGTCGTCTGAGAAATTACTGTCAGAGGAAGACAATAGCTGGTCAACTGCCTCTACCACCATTGCCATTTCCACGTCCTTAATTGCTCTCTGTCTGGCACTCATTGTATATTGACCAAGAAGCGCTGCACTGTATACTGTATATTAACCAAGAAGAACTGAATATACCGACGGATACATCTTTACGCGATAGACGAGTTAACGACCGGCAACAAAATTTTAAGCAATGAATTGTTCTTGGGAAGGGCGGTAAATGAAGTGTTTTCGTTTCTTACATTTTATCGTAGATTCACAGCTGAGGACTTTCATAAACATCACGAATCACGATTCATTTTGCAGTCAACGTTTGCATATCTGGGTTCAATGAATCGCTTATTATTGGATGAGCGCGTTTACATTTTTTTGTATGTGTCACTGTTACGTGACGCATAACGCATTCATATTTTGTTTCGCCTTATCATACTCAAAATGTTTAACATAGCATTGATTGGGCCTATTGTATCGGCATAATTCCGAAAAACGGCATAAAACTAATGATACCATATCGGCATCGTAGCGGTGGCAAAAACTGATATTTGAGCAGCTCTGCTGATAAGCCTTCCACAGGATATGAAACAGCTACAAATAGCGAGTAGACTCTCAACTACTTCTGTTGCAGTCTTACCTAACCGCGTCTTTACAAGAAGAAGGTTTACACGCTCGCTCGCTTGCACTAAGGGCGGTTACGACCTTTTTACTAGTAAAGGCAAGTCCCGGAAATGGCTTCGAACTCGCGCAGTGAGCAGTCGGCACTCGGCAGATGACTGAGAACATGAGTCATCGGCGTCGGTGCCAGAATAGTCCAAACTCCGCATGCGCAATGAGCTCTTGCAGCGTTGATCACCCACGCACAGTTTGCGATAAGAAGTAAAAATTGGTGAAAGCGGGGGTGCATATACCAATTTTAAGTTTTCTTTTAGTTCTCTTATCGTTTGCAACGTCCACGTGTGCAATTACGTTATCCATTCGTGTCTCGTTAGTCGTTACCAATAATTATTTACCACCTAAATTCGGTTGTCTGTTTATACTATAACCAGGTCAGGTAGATCGCAATGTTCTTTAATCTGAAGGATCCACTCACCATCAGCATACGACTGCATCACTTTGCAGTTTTGCTATTTTTGTAACTTCCCGCTTTTCTGCTTCATCATGTCACTGGAAGCCCCCGCGATGGAACTTGATGCGGCTCTCCTGGAGGATCCGAATTATGCAGACTTGAGCAAGGACTTCTTCAGCGAGTTACGGGATCTGCGGATGGCAGGCAGCTTTTGCGATGTGGTGCTCAAAGGCTGTGAAAATGATTGTGATGGGATTCCCTGTCATCGTCTGGTCCTCTGCGCGTGCAGCAGCTACTTTCGTGCCATGTTCACGTCGGAGTGGAAAGAAACTTCGCAGTCAGACATTCGGTTGAAGAACATCCAGACGAACACACTGAAGGAGTAAGTACGGTATTTGTACAGCATGGATCTGCTTAGGCTAGGTTAGGAATTTCGGTACACGAGAGTCCCTTTTTGCGCTGTGTCATATACAGTATTTCGCAGTATTTTCGTTGTCACATTTATAACTTCTGTAATTGATGATTTTTAATTTTATTCTTCTGATCGATAATTTTGTGTTCGTTCAGGATAGTACGTTATGCGTATTCCATGGAAATTACGATTGATGCGGAGAATGTGCAGTCAGTTTTGGTTGCTGCGCTCTTCCTGAACATTTCTTCCATCGCCAAAATCTGCTGGAATTTTATCGAGCGCCATATGAGTGTATCGAATTGTCTGATGGTGCACTGTCTGGCTGAGCTGCATAAAAATTCGCGGCTGGCAGAGGAGACAAGGATTTCCGTTCTTCAACATTTTGTGCAAATCGCTCAAAGCAGCGATTTTCTGCTGCTGGATGCCGAAAAGGTAGAAATGCTGAACTGAAATGCAGTTGTAATTATTTGTGAGTCGTGAGTGTATTCATATGCTGAATTCCCAGTAGTGTTCGCGAGAATGAAGGGAGCGCTAAATGTGGTTGTGAGTTAATGTTTTTCTTCTTTTTAGATAATTTACTTGTGTGCTTCCGATAGTCTGGAAGTTGAAACGGAAGACGAGGTGTTCGATGCTGTGATGCATTGGTTTGATCACGACAAAGGTGTACGCAAAGCGCATTTGTCGGACGTGTTGCAGTTTATTCGGGTTCCGTTTCTTAGTCCTCGAGGTCTTGAGCTTTACTTCCTGGCCTTTCTAAATGGCTTCCACAGTACAGCGACTGGTGGTAATCCGCAAAATCTGTCTGGAGATATCAGTGAATTACCGGGCCGCAGGCCGGATGCAGTGGTATCGAGATGCCGACCACGGGAGTCCTATGGTACTGTGCTGCTTCCCAGGCATTATTAAGCGTTACTAGTAACTAGAGTACTATTGCAAATTGCATTTCTCACTCTTAATTCCCATCTTTTTGTCTCGCTGCTTGGCTAAGGTCATGGTCCTCATGGAATTCAAGTAGTTAACGAAGCGATGCGGATTGGTAGTCTATTATGAATGATAGCATTATAACATATCTCAGGAGGTCAGAATTTCGAAAAAACTTCTGATTTTTAAAATTGTTTGATTAAGTGTACTCGACTTCGCCATGGCCTGTTTATATCCGCTGATTTTACTACTGTCTGATCAACTAAATTTGCAGACTACTCATATTCAGGTAGACTTTTATCTGTTTTCGAATTCGACATTTCAGATTACGGTCAGTTGTTCGCATTCTAGGCTTGCCGAAAGTAATTCTCTGTGTTGGTGGCTACGACGGCGCGAACAGCAAAGCTACGTACATGTTTTGTCCTTCAATGTCCGCTTTCTGGCACCTGGGCGAACTGCCATACGGCATATCTTGCTGCGGCCTAACTGTGATGAACAAGAATTCAGCTTTCGTTTGCGGCGGATTTTTAAGCGATACCCGGAAGGAAAACCAGCGCATCAGTCAACATGATGCAGTTCGTAACGTGTGGAAACATGTTGCGTCAATGCAGACAGGACGGATAAGACCCGGCGTGGCAGCGCTGGGGGGTTATATCTATGCTGCTGGAGGGGGAATTTATGTGAATCCAAATTGGGAACCAATACGTTCCGTGGAACGCTATGACCCTCAAACGAATTCGTGGCAGTTTGTGGCTGATTTGCCTCTTAATGGTTTGCTGGGCCCCGCCATGGTGGCAGCGAAGGATCGGCTTTATATATTTGGCGGACAATCCCAAGGAACTTCGACGAACGCTGCATTTTGCTATGATCCAAACAGCAATATCTGGAACAAACTGGCCGACATGCCTACGGCTCGGGTGGGATGTTGCGCATGTGTCGGAGCCAACGGATTGGTGTATGTGATCGGTACGAATAGTTCGTTTGCTTGAACCAGTGATTTCCGTCTGTACGTTTTTGTCAGTAATATATTTTCTGTCTAAATGTGTGTAGGTGGAAAAGCGCAGGAACCTTTAAGTTGCGTGGAGGCTTATGACCCACCGACGAATGCATGGCTGAAAAGAAGTATGTAATTTGAAAGTACTTAGGTTTTTGAGTTACTTTTTATGAGCGTTGAAGCCAATATCTATGTACATGCTGAGAGCAACTGTGCGGCAAATTAGGTGATATGATTACGAAACGCAATGTAGCGGGGTGTGGATATGTGGATGGGAAGATTTACGTTCTCGGTGGTTTGTCCGATAACGGGGGAGTCGGTGAGAGTTCCATAGAGGTGTACGATGAGAATACTGACTCTTGGACCATGCATGAATGCCGATTGCCCAAGGCCATCCGAAGCTTTGGTTGTGCAGTGAAAAGGGCGCAGAAAAGTAAGCGGGCAACAGCCTCTCAATACACGTATTCGTCTAAATTAACGGCAGGTTGATAACGTGATATGTGCCAGTAATTGTGATATGTGATATGATGCCCGTGATATGTGCCAGTGATTGTTTTTGGTTGCTTTTCATTTTATAGGAGCAAATCTGCATTTGGTATCGAAATCAGGCTAATGGTTTAGCGGATTTTCAAGTGGATATGCGACAACAGCATTTTAACGACCGTAATAAGATCTTCCACAACAATTAAGACTGTTCACTGCTGGGGTTGTTTCTTTACTACCTACATATCTGTATTTGCTTACTGTAGCAGTGCACGTTTGCTGTAGATTTTGAAACTGCAAATTTTGATTACATTAGTTTAGTCAAGGGCAAACAAACCGTGAGGTACGCGCTAATTTGGTCAGAATGTAAATAAAACGTACGAGTACAAAGGAAACACCCAGATGAGAGAAGGGTCCAGATACTGGACAGCCACAGAAGAATATTTGAATGTAACTTGTATAAATGTCTCGTATAAATCAATAGAGCCACGGCCGAACTCTTCTTCCCCACGTAGTTTTTCAACAACACCATCAGTAAAACTAGTTTTAGTAAACACTTTTCGCGTTGTTATCAAATACGAGGGTCACTCAGAAAGTAATGATAATCGGTATCAGCAAATAATCATATAATTATGAACTAATTTTTTAAAAACTGTAGCATTCATAACTAGATCATAGGGCAATGGCCGTGGCCATACCGCCTACGGCTGGCGACTGGCATGCATCTATGCGCAGTCGAGTCGAGCTGTTCACTGCACTAGTCATTAAACATGGCTAATTTAACGAAGCGCGACTTTCGTGCTATCATCTTAGAAAAATTTTAGAAAAGAAAAGCGCGCGCAGTTGTCATGCTGAGTTGAAAAGTTTGCACCCTGATTCTTCTCCTTCTTATCCTACTGTTGCGCGTTGGTTCCAGCGATTTCGCACTGAGCATTTTGACCTCGACGATGGTGCCAGAACTGGAAGACCTCCTACAGCGACCACGGCGAAGAACTCGGACGCAGTGAGAGAGCTGATCGAACACGATCCCCATATTACCGTCAGACAGATAGCAGAAGAACTGCAGATATCGGAGGGAACGGTTTGTGGGATAGTCCGCAGTGAGCTTGGTCTGCGCAAGGTTTGTCAGCGATGGGTCCTCATTTATTAACTCCTGCCCAGATGGAAGTCCGCGTCGAATTGGCCCAGAACATCTTTGACGTTATTTCGACCGAACGCAAATATGACGTGTACACAGAGGATGAATCCTGGTTTTCATACTATGATCCCCTAACGAAGCAGCAGAATCAAGTTTGGATCGGAAACGACGACCCCACCCCCACTAGTGTCAAGCGTTCCAGGAGTACCCGTAAGCTGATGTACGCTTTTATTTCCAGCAGGCGTGGCGTTTTTCTGAAATCGGCTCTACGGCGTGGCACAACATTGAATTCACAGTGGTACTGCGCAAATGTTCTTCAGCCTTTCTTTGATAAGTTCAGAAAAAAGAGACCCCAAAGCCGCGTAAGGAAGATCATTTATCACCATGATAATGCACGTCCCCATACATCGAATGCCACAATGAATTTTATCTCGGCATCGCGAATGAAAATCCTCCCACATCCACCATACTCGCCTGACCTGGCACCTCACGACTTCAAGATTTTCCCAACGTTGAAGAAATTGTTACGTGGTAAAAAGTTTGAAAATGATGAAGAACTGGAAGAAAATATCAATACAGCGATCTCTAATTTACCACCTAATTTCTTTTCGAAAATGTTTGATGAGTGGCAGACTAGATGTTTGCGTTGCATAGAGATGAAGGGGCAGTATTTTGAGAAAATACGAGGAAAGCGCTGATGCAATAAAAAATCGTGCGATAGTTATCATTACTTTCTGAGTGACCCTCGTAATTGCTTTAGTCTCGTCTTTTGGGTTGAATTTTCAATGCAAAGCCGCTCGGTGGCATCGATCCGCTCTGTCCGGCGACGCTTCTATATCGCACTCGTTTCCCTAAATGTCATCAGGACCTTGCGCATAGGGGTATGACGGCACGTAGAAACCTAGAACAATACCTGTATTCTGAGACATTGGTATCTGCACAATATCTGTATTCTGTATATCGAGAGTGTTTTCATTATGTTTGTTACAATTGTAAAATGTTTGAATAATCTTCTAACAAATTTGTTGTTCAGGCTAAAATATTGATGTCGGAATGTTCTGTTGGTCTGCTCCCGTTTGTGAGGTCATCTACTTGTTTAAAAAGAGATGGAAGACAGTCCATCCACGCAATGGCTACGAGTACCGTTAAAATTTTCCTGCACCGGATGTCTGAATTCAGATGCAGAGTAATATTAGCGCCGTAGTAGCAGCTTTTCGTTGACCCACCTGCTGCGTGCATCTCGTGCTTGGCCGGATACTCTGGGTTCGGTTAACTGCTTGATAACCATAGTCGTGCGCAAAAATAGGCTTCACGCACGAAAGCAGTTCCTCTTACTCCTTGATGGCTGGAAAGAGCACTATTAATCGGTTTTTGATCCAAAATCGAAACCGTAATAACACAGAGCCGTAATAACAACATTGATATGTTTTACCTTTTCGTTACTTGCTAGAAGATGCTGTACTGCAATCGCGCCTTTCGGTGCGATGGTTATTTATCAAACAGACGTGTCAGCGTTCCGTATTCGTATTTCGTTAAGCATGTCCAGTAATCTTTGCATTATTCCAATAAGTACATTAACTTTTGATGAACTTGTCATGTCAGAAAATACTATACCCGCAGTCCGGACCGGCGTCGGACGGTGCTTGGGTGCAAAGATTAGCAGGACGCTGTCAAAGATGCGACTCGTGGGATTCACGTACAATATGTACTTGTACATATGCTCTGTTGTATTAGTACTTGTGCATATGCTACACATACATATTAATCTTATGCTCTTTTCTAGTGAATCAAAGCGAACATCGGGCTGACTTGTGAGCGTAGCGCACACCTGGTCTGTGTGCATTTGGTCTGTACGTTTGTCGGCTGTCGTTTGCCGATTGCAACGTAACTACAGTATTATGTACATGGAATTTTTGCGGCTAAAATACCGCTTAGCACAAAAAAAAGTAAAAGATGTTCAAAGAAGTACAGATAGATGACAGAAAATTGATTTTATTACAGCAGCAGCGCTCCCGTATCTGTATTTTGTAGACGTCAGATGCAACGCCTTTGACAGTTTGCCTTGCAAACGCAATATCGGCAGACCAATAACTGATTTTAAAATTTTTGTCCAAAAAACCACTGAAAAGCATTCGCAAAATGGGAAAGTACAAAAGATAGCGTGTCGACCTGGAATAGCATCCAGAGTTTGTGTGCACAGTGTAGTAATATTTCATTAGAAATCGATACATTTAAAAACTTTGAAAACCCTTGATCATGCACAAAAGGTTACAAAACCGCAGATTGCCATTTTCTCGTTCGGTCCATTCGGGAACGTCCGTCATCAAGGGGAAGCGGATGAAGAAGATAGCCGTTCCCAACTTATGCCGTCGGTTTGTAACGTTTGTTGCTGGATGGAGCAATTCTATCATCCTGGCGCGCATGACCCGACCATCTACAAAAGTAAGCCATCAATTATCAAAATAATAATGATCAAAAGGTTAATCTGATGACGATGGATGACAAATAAACCGAACAATACTTATGTAATTTCTTCTTTCCGCCGAGCGTACGTATCAGGTGTTATCGATCCTCGGTAAACGGACCGTTACGGACGTATTTTGTGATAGTGGTTGAGCTATCAACCGCTGACCACTGTGCATTTCCGTTGTCGACCAGAATCAACAGACAGCTTCTTTCCTGTCCTGTTTTTCTTAGAATGCCAATATCCTGTTTGAAAGCCCAGCCAGCCTTTTTTACCGGCTACTTGTTCACGCGGCAGAGCGCATCTTGTGTATATACTTACTCGTATACGTTGGTGCGGTGTACAAGCTTGTCCGGTAAATTCTGTCGTAAAGGTACTGTAGTGGCTCGCACATCTTGTACCACAGAGTTGGTGTACGGGAAAAATGTGCATCCAATATACACACTCTAACCGGGCAAAATGCACGCCTACGAAATAATGCTTGATTTGACTTCAAGATGAACTCTCCTTCTGAATCTGTCCAGAATCAAACATTTTCTTTAAAATTGTAATTCACCTTAGAAAAGAAGCTCTGTATCTGAGAACTCGAATTGTTCTGTAGCTGTAGAATGTTGACGCTGATTGCTGAACGTACCCCTCACTCTGCAGGGGCACCCCAAAAACCACAACAAATCAGTGTTTGAATTCGAGCTGACAGCAAAGATTTAAGTTAATGGCTGCTTTTGAGCATAAATTTAATTAATAATTATTAGAGCTCTAATTTTTTTAATATTCAAGAAGGTTCTCCAGACCAGAAGTTGAGAAACATCAGAAATTTATCAATGCACGCCAACTGGGAATCGTGCGTTTTGCCCGGTTAGAGTGTGTATATTGGATGCACATTTTTCCCGTACACCAACTCTGTGGTACAAGATGTGCGAGCCACTACAGTACAGATAGCACATATTTAGCGCGAAGTTTGCGCTGTGGCGATTGCCACTACACTACGTTTGGCGTAACAAGCAAATTTGTGTATTTCGCTGTATTGAACCGGCAGAAATTACCGGACAAGCTTGTACGCGCTCGAGCGGATTACATAATCCTGCGCTTGTCGGGTGCTGGGGTCGAAACCACATGAAGATGAAAGGGGAGAAGATGGATCTTTATATGCAGAATACAGAATATACAGTAGCATGCGTACGATCATACGATGATATTAGTTTGCTGTAGCCTTTCTAGCACACACGCAGAGAAAAAATGGATTGGGAACTACGGGCGGAAACCATCATCGTATCCGAGAGAAAGTTCTCTCCCCTTTCTGCGTTCCCTTTCGTTTTTGAAAATTGAAAGTGAACTGTCGTAGTAATTTTATACTGTTTTGTTGTGCATGGGTATAGATATTGGAGACAACAGTAGGTATGTTATGCTGTTCTATTACTTTCAAGGAAAGTGTTGTTGCCATTTTATTCTGCTGCTCAAACCTGAAAATGTGCAATCCGTATGAGGTATTGTACGGTCTTCATTGAATTTGCGCGTAAAGCAGTGTTACAGAATAATTTGACAGAGCATAAATAAACGAAAGATCATCAGACTGGCCGATTTAATAAGCCAGTACGAGTACATGTACGGCGTAAACGTGTGTGTATATATTAGTGCATTTGCGTTGGTTAGTTGTATGTGTACAAATCACGCATAAGTCTATACAGCTAAGGCTATTTCGCAATTGCCATTGGCTGGCCAGCGATATTGTACTTGTATAGATGTATGCGTGATTTTTACACATACAGCTCAGGACGAAATGGTCGCATACCCAACATCTCCACATTCAGTACGCATGCAGCGCAGTGCACTGTACGACTGAGTTCAAAATATCCGTTTCGTACAAGTGCACTGCACCGCTTGCGTACAGAATGCTGGGTATGGGGCTATGCGACCATTTAGTCCTACATTGTACAAGTAACCAACGCACATGCACTATTGGGAAGAAAAGCGGAAAGATGAAAAAAGCAGGTGAACTATGTTGCTGAAAATGATTAGTAAGGCAAAGTGATCGAATGTGTTCAAGAAAGCGAAAAACAGCAGTACAGCACTTGAGCAACAAGTGTGTAAGTATAATTTTATTACTATGTAGTATCAGATAAAATTGAGCGGGCATATCGCCCTTATGAATCAGTAGCGAGCAAGCATATCATGTGTGAATCCAGACAATCCAGCGGCTACAATATCTACGTAAAAATCTTTATGTGACAGTGAAAGCAGGCATGGAGTACCAGTATTTTCTAAACTACTGCTATTTTTTAAACTAAATACCGGTATATGCCTTGAAAATTGTTAATGCAAAGCTATACATTATTGTGATATTTAATGAAGAGTATTATCATCGGACAGAATTAATTTAAGTACCTGAATATGGTGTATGCCTTGCATTTGAAGCACTTGAAAAACCAGCGTAATTAAAATTCGCAGGCTTTGGAAACCAAATCACGTTGGCCCGATGTTAGTCTTCTGTCTTCAACAGCCATATGCAGTGCAAGTTTGCAACCAATATGCTCTTTTTTTTGCAGTTTGCCGTATTGTGCGGGCTATCGATTCTGAATACCATTAACTGAACTGTATGTTTTAACTGGATTGTGCAGGCCGAGGACAGCCCTCACATATCCCATCAAACGGATTCCGTATTTCTTGATCAAAATTTGTACTTAGCTGTTGACTGCCGAAAAAGCAACCTGACGCAACGTTTTGAAAAAAAGTCATTATGCAGAGGCGGCTTCCGTCCAGCGCCGGCCTCCATGCCGGCTGCTTGACAGTTTTTGCCAAATTTATAGCTCCTCTGCTGTTGTTTCTCATTTCGTCTGGGACTTCCGCGAGAGCCGGTGAGTAAACTGACAGTTCGTGCCACGGCCAAGTCTAAGGGCAGCATAATGTGGTGGCAATTTATGCCATAGGAAAGCAATCGGTACATGCTGATTTGGTCCTTTGCATGCATGCGCTGCCGAACACAATTGTGTGGCAAAAATAAAGCGAAACTTGCGCATTAAACGCATAGAACCACTAACAACATTAATTACCAAAAAGATTAGACGTACATGTGATTGCGTAATATTAGTAGCTGCAACAACTGTTGTTGACAAATACCACCAGTTCTCTCTGGTAATGTAGCAGTGTAAAATTCTGCTTCTAGGGACATCGCCTCCCTACATGGTACGAGGGCCACCTCAGGAACTTCTGTATAAATCATCAAATCCATATCAAGAAGACAGGCCAATTGTGTTGGACTGCGAAGCGAAAGGTGATCCTGTACCTGAATACAAATGGATAAAAAATGGACAGGAGTTTTCGGTATCGGTTAGCGACGATCGTATAGCACAGGAGCCTGGAAAAGGAACTTTGACAATACATCGACCAAAGGATATCGACGAGGGATTGTACCAGTGTAGGGCTGAGAATTTCTATGGAATATCACTGTCAAACGCTGTGTATCTACGACGTGCAGGTATTTATTTCCTCACCCATTAAGCAGTCAGGCAGAAATGATACAGAAAAAGTTATATATTATGTTAACTGTACCATTAAGACAGATTTGTTGTGTGTGAACGAAATTGTCCATACGATCAAGGCTGAATCGGTCGGCAACTTAAGAGTTCAATAACAGCATCAACAGATCTAGAAATACGTTTTTTTGGTTTGTATAATCAAGCAAATTCACATGGTGTTTGTAGCTCGATTTGTTAGATAACCTGCTACTGTACTGCGGAATAAGTATAATGCATTCGTATATACAGAGTACAATAACATATTGTATTTACATATTACATAAAATAACTGTAATGTAGCTTCGCTTTATACTGTTTTGTTAATAATTCATACAATAATATTTTGAGAACCAAAAGTTAATGATATAAGTTGGCCTGGTCGGGTTCTGATAGCAAAGGAATTGTGAGCTATGAGGCTCTATAAAACAACAATGAATTATACTGAAGGTTAAGAAGTTTTACAGATTATGTATTCTGCTGTGGCAGGACTGGATACATTTCAAGGCGGGGACAGCACAGAGGAAATCGTGGTAGACGAAGGTCAAGCTCTGACGATTAAATGCTACCCACCAGTCGGAATACCCCGCCCAAATGTTTTTTGGACACTGCAAAGCCCGAATGGCGCCATAACGACCGTGAACGGCAGCCGTATATCGGTTGATCCGGAAGGTGCTCTGCATTTCTCTAATGTGACTCTTCGGGACGCCAGCGGTGAAGATACCTATGGTTGCTCAGTCTTTTCTCCTTTTTTACGCGAATATAAAACCGGCCAATGGAAAAAACTCATTGTCAAGCCATCAAGATCAGCTGCACCGAATAAAGCCTCCCCCGTCCTCCAGTACACATCGCCAAAGAATTTAACGGGAATGCTGGGTCGATTCATCGACATTTCATGCATTTACGGTGGAACGTACGTATACACATATTGAAATACTGCACGTACAGACTATGTACCTTGTACAAGTCCATTCGGAAACAAGAGCACAAGTTGCACCACTATACGAAATAAATGACCGCATGCCGCGTATATGGCTTTTCTCTACGGTGATTTCTCACGTATAGTGTGCTCTTGTTTCCGGATGGGCTTGTATGTGTCTGAAGGCAGTGCAGCTGCGACGGCTAAATGGACGGCTAAATGGTATTTTTAAATGGATATTAACTGCTTGTTCAAGTGGCCTGCAATGATTATCCTGATATGTGTGCCTATATATCTATCCTTTCTTATTCCAGACCACTGCCAGAGATTCGATGGGAACGAGAAAACGCTCCACTACCGCGCAGACGACACTTTCTCACTGATTTTGGGAAAGTGCTTAGAATAAAGCATCTCACATTCGAAGATCAAGGGACATACAAATGCATTGCTTCTAACGGGATAGGAGAAATCGCCAGCCATGTGTTCACATTAACCGTTGAATGTAAATAAATCTTCTCGTACACAGATACGGGTATCCTTTCTGAAGCATATATTGAGCCAAGTGCATATTAATTTTTGCATTGCGAGTTTATTGATTAGGTCAACTTGTACACAGAAAAGCCGCATTCTGATTGCCCAGGGAAAGGGTCTGCTAACAATATATTGTTAAATGTGTGAGGGGTTTGATTTTGACAAGGGTCACACGTGTGATGCCATTGCTGGCTATAAGTGTCACTTTGGTTTTCAGCCTACTCAAATCACTGCTGCTATGAAGTTTCACTGTATAATAAATACCGCGTTAATCAGCCTGTCACAATACCACCGCAAGCACCGCTCCCACCAGAACACTGCTTCTGCTTGCCTTCTTACAGTGTTTGTTTTCACTTATTTCCAGCTCTGCCGTACTGGATTGTTGAACCCGAGCGAGTTACCAAGGCCGAAGACGAAAACCATGAATTTGTATGCATGGCAGGAGGCATTCCGGAACCCAGAATCCAATGGTTCGTCAACGGAACGCCCATTGAAAGTGAGTGTGGAATAAAACGTAAACTAGAAACCAATTATCATTGTAAGCGAAATCTGTTGCAAAGAATTCGATTTGCACAGGCGTGAAATATAGTGCGTATTGGTCGATCAGTGACGATGACGATCATTAAGTACCGGTTGCGAACTGCATTGCACGATGCGGCATATGACATAGCAGTCTGCCGTGCACAGGCAGTTGGTTTTGCTGTTTTTAATGGCGTTGGCCTTTTACTGTATGTAAGATGGCTTACATAAAATATTAATAAGCTACGATCTAACGATCAGACTGGGACTTTGGAATTAATTTGTGAACTTGTGTAGTGGCGTACAGCTATGCCGTTCGATTACAGATGTGGCAAGGACAGCCAATCGAGTAATCAATGGAAACAACATAACGCTAACCCGTGTCCAGAAGGATGTCGATACGGATAACTATCAATGTAACGCCAGTAATGCCCACGGATATATCTTTGCCGATGTTTTCATAAACGTCATGGGTAAGCGCACTAGTATCTGCAGAGCATTGCTAATAACCTGTCGAAACTACTTAGTGGTGCATGATACTGTCATACTGTGCATACTATTCTAAAACAAAACGTTATTATTTTGATCAATTTCCGTCCCGTTCTCTAGCCATGGAGGCTTCCATAACGGAGCCTCCCGCTGCACTCTCGGAAGCCGTGGAAGGCGCACTGATCACAATTACTTGCCGGCCTTACGGTGCGCCGCAACCAATTGTCAGCTGGGACAAGGATGGACAGATTCTTGTCAGTGCCCAGCTCGGCAACGGATCGCGCTATGAGATCCAAAGAAGCGGAGACCTACTTATCAATGGCAGCCACTTTGATGACAGTGGATATTTCACTTGCGAAGCGAGGAATCGCTTCGGCATGCAACGCGCTTCCGGCCGGCTTGACATTAAGAGTACGTAGTTGACCCTTGTATTTTAACTGTGTTGACGACTGCAGTCACTTTCACCGCGGACATTAGAGTAAGCCACCCCATCAGGAGAATCTTATCACAAATGGAAATTTTACGAAAATTTCAAACCACCTGCTTTGGTAATTGACGACAAAGTCAAAGTGGAACTAGGGGGTGCTTTCTAAATCGGTCGCAAAAGACACACGGAACTAAAAGAAATCAATAATATTTCGACAAAGTTAACGTGGAAGCTCTTTTCAGTTAAAAGTTTTTGCAATAAGTCAGTTTATATTTATCGGTCAAAGTTTAAACTGTTTTGGGCGACAATACCAACGTTGTCCAACTTTTGTAAGTGTACGGATGTTGCATATTCATGTATACTTGAAGTAGCAGTAATGATCGATTTGAAGCTGGCATCCAACAACTGACGGTGCATGCAGTATGCTCAGGTTCTTAGGCACTAGACTACTAGGTACGACAAAACGTGCAAATCCATATTTCGCGAAAATAGTCCACTATCCATATTTTTCTATCCATACATTCTGATGCAATGCTTATTAATTACCCACCTTTCTTTTTTTCCTTCTTTTCTTCGTGTTTTGCCTCATTCGTTATAGGAACGTTCAGCACAAGCCCCCTTCTTAAATAGGTCATTCATCTATTGTAGTGCAGAAGGTAATTCTGTGTAACGGTGTGAATGTTTAGAGAAAACCAAAATAACTATGCCTCCTGGAGATATCGAACGGAATGCCGGTGATTCAGCGACGTTCCGCTGCTCGGCCAGCAGCGATCCCAATCTGGAAGTGCTGATCGAGTGGGCACGCGACGACGAACCCATTAAGCCCAGCGAGAGTGGTCGAATATTCCTGACCAATGACAACAGCTTGATCATAACTGATGCGCAGGAGGTCGATTCTGGACTGTACAAATGTATTGCAAGGACGCGGTTAGACCGCGTGGAAGCCACGGCGTCCCTGCTGGTTCGTGATGTGCCCAATCCGCCATTGAACGTTAAAGCTCAATGTGAACGTCGTTACGCAACTGTCTCATGGGAACACGGTGGAGATAACCGTGATCCAGTTTTTGAATACATAATCCAATACAGTACATCATTTGAGCCCGATGTCTGGGATGATCTCAAAAGCGGAATTCATGCTGGTACTTTTTCTGAATCGATAGAACTCAGCCCGTAAGTTCGTTGCTTCACATTCAATGCAACAGCTGCCACTAGGATAAATGTGTCATTCTGTTACAAAATACACCTTTTTTACTGACAGACTGACAGTATTACCACTATCGCATCGTACAATTCCTAAACAAAAACTGCTGATAGAAATACATCAACTGTAAAGACCAAAAGGCTGTTTACGCTTTTAATCTGTACTAAAACTTTACAATTTCATCAGCATATGTCCGCCGACTCCGGCCACTGGGTTTTACCTCACATCGTCCTTTAATGAAACTTTCTTTGTACGCTTTACAGTTTACACATCCGAAATATTTAAGTTTTCCCTTTGTTGAAGCCTAATGCCTAAACGCAAACCGCACACTACTAACAAACTTTTATATTTATGAAAATTGCCGGCATTATCGAAAAGCTGGTTACAGATGGGTCAATTACACGTTCCGTGTAAAAGCGTTCAGTGCAGTTGGACTCAGCAATGCCAGTGCTCCCAGCCAAGAGGCCTGCACCACGCCGCCGGATGTACCGTACAAGAATCCCGATAATATTCAGGGCAGAGGAGATACTCCGAATAATCTTATCATCTCGTGGACGGTATGTATGCTCATAATGAAATTATACCGACAGATACCAGACTTTACTGTCAGAAAGAGCGTTAATTGCAGAATCTTGCTTTGAGTACTTGATAGTTGCTAATAAGCTCTTGTGATAATCTTGCGTTACGTTACTTAACCGCAAAGGGACGAGCGTGAATCCCACCCGTTGTACCTATGTAAATGCTAGTCAGCTTCCGCTCAGCACCGCTGTCGACTGTGCCAGCCTTTTCCACACACGATCGTGGTAAGATGGATCACAGTAACCAACCGACTAGAACAGCCAAACCTGCTAGAGTTATGATTTAGCCTCCATACAATCCCTATTCAGTGCAGACACTTGGCAGTATCCCATCAGCTTATGCTAACCATCCGCTGATTATTCATCAGCATTTTGCTAATCCACACTAATGGTTCCTAGCCGCAGCCGAAAAACGCTAATAATATTCAGACCGCTTGGTATTGATTTGCAGCCCATGCCAGAAATTGACCACAATGGTCCGGGATTTTATTATGAAGTGAAATATACCAGAGCAGATCCCGATCCCCATGCCCAGCGGATAGAGGAAATTATCATCATTAAGGACTGGCGTCAAAATAATGTGACCATCGTCGATCAGCCAACGTACGTGCCCTACGATGTGCAGGTAATGGCCAACAATGCTGTCGGCCACTCTCGGGCATGGTACGGTCCGCCAGTTCGGGGCTTTTCCGGTGAGGATCGGCCTACGACTGCTCCGGGCAATCCCCAAGTGCAGAAACTTGTGGATGGCCGAACTGCGGAAATTTCTTGGTCACCGGTCCCGGCTGATTCCATTAACGGTGAGCAATTTAATCTATCTCAAAACTGAAATGCAGGTATTCAAGTTTTTTGTAATGCAAAACAGTAAATTGAATACCTAATTATCAAAAACAAGAAGCTTGGCACTATACTTCTTTGTGGTCTTTGTGGTTTAATCTAAGTACTGTACGAGTACTTTCTACTTGTAGCTTTCAGATAATATAACCAGGCCCGTCTTTAGCTTTTTGGGAGGGGGGCACACCATTGTTCTCCTTGAAAAATAACAATGGCACCAGTTGCGCCAGTTCCAAATTCGCATTTTGTTAACAAGTAAGGTCCGACACCAGTTGCGCCAGTTTGTTTTCGGAAGGGGGGGGGGCGTGCGCCAGTGCGCCCCCTTAAAGACGTGCCTGAATTATATACCCCTCTTAACAAGGATATATGAACGTGGTATTTAACATCCATAATTTCAATGCCAGGCAGAAGCCATGAACTGTTTCCAGTTGTGTTTTTACTTAAAGTTTCATATGCAAATTTCTACGTAGGGTTCATATGCGTAAGGTTTGTACTTAACTTCCTATGCGAAAACGCTGCTCGTATACCTGCGGCTGGAGTTCCTCGTCTGTTTTTGTAGCCGGTGTTATCAGTTATCACGCTTTAGTGTCAGCGCTGTCTGCTTTTAGTGGTCGGGTTGTCAGAAATGAACTCCACATATTTGTGGAGCATTGATTAAGGATTATTTTCGTGCATGTGTCTAAGAGCGTTTTCAACAGTGGCTTACATTGGCTAAAAACGAAAACATATTGTTTGTGTCACTTTTTAAATATTCTTTTGCTCTGATGTAATGCAAGAGGTCGAAGATTACTTTGGTAAAATCAGTCTGCTGCTCCAAGAAAAGAGTACCCCCGTACGCACTGCTGTGATTGTTGTAAGAATAATAATAACTGTTTTTGTTATTATTGATGTTGTTGTTCACTGGGAATACGCAGGTAGCCAGGTACTCCACGCCGTGCGCGGTGTTGTCTGAACTGATAATGAAATTAATTTAACATTTGGTAAATGCCGCCCGAATTATATAAAATTTTATATAAGTACAGTACTTGTACAGTTGTACCGGTAACACAAGAGTGAAAGTGTAAGTTCTACACTATGCACATACCGGCATATTTATTGTACCTGATGGCATATCATTCTTAAAAGAAGCAACGACGAGGAATTAGAATCTCCTACCCACGCATAGTTATTGATGACAAAAATCAGATAAACCTTTTCTCCGAAATACGATATTACCACAAGTGAAAGCCGTAGTAATTGCACAATAAGAATGTTTTATTTTCTTTTCCTTGTAGGCGAGTTCAAGGGATATAAAATTAAAGTAACTCCGGAAGGAGAGAAAACGCACAGGGAGATACGCGTCGCGTCATATGCTTCCTCAGCGGTCGTGGATGTACTAAAGCCAGCCAGCGCAAATACCATTCGGGTACTGGCATACAATGGACAATATGATGGTCCTGCTAGCGACGAGGTATGGAGACTATGGACTGTCCCATACAATTACTGTAGACTGTAAAAAATATCCACTTTCATTTTTTCCAGATAGTTATCCAAACGGGACCCATGCCCCCGGGCCGACCGGCTGATTTCAGAGCCTATCCCATGGGACGTGGCGCTATCTTTCTCCAATGGAAAGAGCCCACTGAGCCCAACGGCAGACTCACGCATTACGAAATCGTGCCTTACACTGTGGAAGGACTGATGGTTTCACAGCCCATCAGGAAGGCGCAGAATGTCCCGCTCCATATCAACGATCTGAAATTCTCGGGATTGACACCTGACACCATGTACCGGATTTATTTGTACGCCGTTAATGATAAGGGACGAGGCGAGCCCGAAATTGTGGAAGCGGCTACCGAACCCAATCGGACGAGTGCAGCGTTGCCGCTCCTACCACCGCCCGGCACACCGGAATATCTGGTAATCAGGAAAACCAATGATTCTCTGATTCTGGCCTGGCAACCACACGCGGCCGCCGCAGAAGGCGACCGTACAGGAGAATACTTTTACGTGCAATATAAACGCGCTGGTGACAAGGAATGGAAATCAAGCGGGTCGGTAATGGACAGCCTGCAAACGGAAATACAACCTCTGGAGCCTGCAACAACCTATGATATCCGGGTTGTGGCGGTGGAAGCCAGCCAAGAGGTACAGAGTGACATAGGTAGTTCTTTGTATGTGGATGTCGACAACTGGCTTATATTGGAGAACGCAAATCGGGTATAAAGCTCTGGCTACATGAGTTTGATTTATTGCAGTGGTCGAAAGCCGTGGTACACTGTCTTTTCGTTATCCGACCCGCTTTAATGCTGTCTGTTATAGACACCGGGGCCGACTGGACAAGAAACAACATTGCTCGCTCGAGAAGGCGAAATGGCTCCAGGAGCCAACGCAGTCCTGCGCAGTGCTGGAATTGTCAAGTAGATGAACCATCATCAAGCACGCTACCGACATTTATGGTCGCCGCATGATTTTCCACTGCTGCACTAATGCCGCTATTTTTCGCTGATATTCTGTCCTCAGATATTCGTAAAGACTTTGGAAATGGAAGGCTGCGTTGGGACTGAAATGTACTGAGATGAAAAGAGCGTTATTATGTTTGGTAAATGTCAGTAATGTTTTCGACCTATCAATTACGAGCGGAATTCGTTTTTTATTTTCACTGGAATTTGAAACTTGATGGTTTGGTTTTAATATGGTTGAAAGCACTTCCTGCGCAATTGTTTTGTTTCCACTAGTAAATCCATAAATCTTAGATTCCCAGTTTAAAAAATGCAAGTGCTTGCAATCAATACAATTTATTCATTAACGCTATTTTCACCGCCCAAATTCTCGTGCATCAAGACTGCAGACATGCTGACATCGTATCGAAAAACAGGAACATAACCACACGGTTGGGTATTGGCCGACCGCTACATGTCTTCGTAGGTCAGACATCCTTCGACCGATTGCTCAACCGGTGTTGGACTTTTTGTTTCCCATAAACAAATGAGACTCCTGCTGTTTCTTTTCTCTTTTCATCAGTTCTTCAGCAGGTATTCGTGCAGCGTTTTATTACCGCATAACCGAAGAGGACCAATTCAAGTCGGCAGCAGCTGAAGCTTCCACTCACCAGGATATTATTAATAACAAGATCGTGTCAAGAAGCGTCAATTTGTACATAGGAGAAATATTAGAGCGTCTTAGTCTGAGCATTACTTGAGCCGCAAATCGGCTTCGTTTTGCTTACGATTTAGAACGCACGGAATTGCTGCAGTTCTGCGAATTGTTAATACGGATGTACCTTTACTTCTGCGCCAGTTAAAAAACAACCGGCGGTAATGACAGTATGACTCGTTCTATTGCTTTGCCAAAACTGTATTCAATGTACCACAGAAACGTGTCCTTTACGGAAAGCCATGCCATTTATCAGTTACGCTACCGGAAATCTTTAGGCCATAATTTGCACCGCATCACGTTAGTGCATAGTAATCAGGATGTAGGCAGTATTCACGTCCGTGTAAAAATTTTAGCATCTAATAGTTGATAGTTAACACTAGCTTAGCTAATATGGCTCGTAATGTAGGCCGTAAGGCACAAGCGTGATTACTGTCACCCATGGCTGGAATGATTGCCTACTTTATACTGCATTATTCTGTATATAAACGCACTGTATATTTTGAACAAGTGTGATATATAAACATGGGAAAATAAACCTGTTAGAGCCATCCATTACGACTGGATTATTTAGAACAGTGCGTTCTCTCAGTTACTGCTGATGCACCAAGGTTTCTTTAAAATGCACAGTTTTTGGTTCTTTGTACTGATCGGTTCGTCCCTGTTCGTGTGGGCGGTTATGTGTGGTAAGCAAACAAACGTTTATGCGATTTTGTGACGACGTAACTATACATCGAAATTTTTAATCACAAACAGTTCAAACGAAAAAAAATTTTAAACGTCCAGTCCGTTGTTATTTCAGTGTGTATGGCAATTCCTTTTAATTCTTGTTGTGTATTGCAACGTGGGCTTTTGGTAGACTGTATTACGAATATGTACATACCGACGCGGATGTCCGGTAGATAGGATGGTAGATGAAGGACATAGAATGTGTTAAGATGCTAGAATGTATTACAGTATGCACATCACGCAAGAAAGTGTGCACATTCCTATAGTTGTCAACAGCTTAGCATGCCCGAAATTTAGATTTTTTTTATTACAGATGGAGACATTTCAGAAGATGGCGAGCGATCAGCAAACGCGAGTCAGAGCGCAGAACTTGGTAAGTGGATCAGTGCGTCGCGTTAGGGGGCAGTAACCATCACGACTCGCGTTGTGGTGTATCGTTTCGATTACTTAAGATTAATATCCTCATTGCCGAAATAGATAACGAAATTCCGGTGCGGAAGAAATCGCCAACCGATGTGCTGTCCGGAAAGCGCGGCTCAGCAAATGTCCCAGCTTTCAGCAGCAGGACAATCTCCAGTCCGAATGGTAAAACATTTGCAGACACTAATCTCATTACAGCAACATGTATAAAACTATTGCGTGACAAAGGTTTTTTGCTGGCAGGAGTGATCGACCTGTCAGTCCCAATGTTTGCGGTTCAATATGGCAGCTTCCAGATCCAAGCCTTCAATACGACCAATCCAGTATCCGATGCGTCGGCGATATATTACGCACCGGCAGCCACTCTGTTGCCGGATGCCGCTGCCGTGTCGCTGAATGCTGAAGCCGATAAAAACTGTTTGTTCATTTCATTGAAACTCTGGGATAAACCCTACCACGACGCTGTCCGGAATTATGTCTCTTACTACATTAATTCGAACCCTATAATTACTTCAGCGATTTTTCCACTCCCATTTAAATGGATGCTGGTGGGGTACTCAAATAACGGATTCACCCGAACGATGAAAAATACCGCTTGGCAGTCCATCGCCAACATGCCACCGTCGATCTCCATGTGTATTCGCTGTTCGACATCGGCAGCATGCAACGATGCCTTAGCCACGCTTCAGTATGACAGCGCAAAGTTTGCATCGCGGGTGTTTGTGTCCTTTAAATCTGAGGAACCGGTTTCTCGAAGGGTTCCGTTGTGTATTGACCCGCAACATCTTCCTCGAAATGCGTTTATCAGTGCTCTTTCGAAAAACGCTAGCGGACGAAATTACATGTTCATGAAAACCAGTGATTATGCCAATTTCACCAAAACTCTCCTGGCCGCAGCCGTTGAGAAAATGGTTGATGAAGGGGAGTTCGTCGACGACGACGAAATTGATCGATTAGCCAGCGAGATGTCGGCCTTTTTCCCGTATAATGTCACCACAATCAGAAACCTCACTCCGGAGATGTGGGCAGCAACGTACTGGAAGAACGAGCGACCCGATATCAAAGCACGTCGACTGGACAGTATTCTGGGAAGCTATCGTCCCTGGGTGAGACAGCAGGTGGATTCCGGCTACATCGGTTATGAAACCACTCTTGTCAGTGATCCTGTACCTTATTCCGCGGAGGTAATACACGCTTATCATGAGATGATGAATTCTATGGAAATGTTTTGGAACGACAATAATCAGCTCGTACTGGACAAATTGCCAATATATCGTGTCAACTTAGACGTCTTCCGTCAAAAGGCGCCCGTGTGCAAAGGATCCGTCCACATCTCGAGTAGCACTGCTGATTATACAGTGCCTGCAAATGTCGGCGGCGGCGTCTCGGACGATAAAACACAATTTGTCACGAAAAAAGAAGGTAACCTTTACATCTGTTATAAAGCTATGTTAACAAACGGAACTAAAGAAGGATGCTGTGTACTGCGATTGGTAATGGAACAATTTACTATTAACGAATTTGGTTAACGGAAGCTATTTCTACGTTTCGCCTAGATGTCAAAGGAATGACTGTCTCGCAAGCGACCGTTCAGTGGCAGTGTCGCGATGCATCCAGTTTATACGCGTTGTCCAACCAAAGCATCACCGTCACTTTGCTGGACGCCAACGACGATCCGTTCTCTCAGGTCACCGTGACAACCACCACTTTTACCGGCGAATTCGCCTTAATGTTACCACGAACCAGTGACTACAGCATTGTGTTCGAGATCAACCAATACAGAACAGTCACACTGCGCAACTTCTCCGACAATTTCGGTTTACCAGGAGATGTGGTGTTCATGGAACCGCTGCTTTTTATACCAACTTCTCTGGGGAAGGGTTCTGGCCGAACAGGAGGAACCGTGCATCTGGTCAGTGGCAATCATACTGTGACGAAAGCAGGAATCCAAGTCGAACTGCGCGAAGGACGCTACAATTTGACCGGACCCGTGGCTGCCACCGCTTTCACCGCGGAAAATGGGACGTGGTTGGCGGAACTGCCAAGCGGTCACTTCACTGCCACAATCAGCACACCCGACGCAGATTACACTGCACCGCCATTCAGTGCGGTGGTTGTACCGGGAACTGATACCTGGCATGATATGGCCATGGCCCAACCGTTGGATAACGGCGAAATCCGGATTATCTTACGGGCAACCGGTTTCGATCTGTACGACCTCAAGTTATTGGTCTCTGGACCGTTAGAAAACAGGGATGGTCGTGCAATTGTGCAAGCGAGTGCGAACGTTAGCGCTGACGGCTTGATAATGTACGACAACGTGGATACGATGTTTGGCAGTGTTCTTATCAAGAAGCAGTTGCCGGGCGCCTATCGCATTCAAGTGTACGAAAACAACTACCGTCCGTACAAGGCAGATTCAAACTGGAATCTATGTAACTCGCAGAGCTGGGTGCAGATTTACCGCGGCAAGCGGTTGTGGGCGCAGTACTATGTACCGATCAAGGATGGAAATGTGTGGATTGTGGCGGAAATCAGCGACTTCCGTCTCAATGTCATAAACGATGTCAAGTACGACACCTGATCATGATCGGATCATACCAGCATGCTATCAATTTATCGCTGCTTATGGTTTAGCATAAAAAACGTTTAGCATAAGAAATCTTTTGAATCAGTTCTTGTGAATTGGTAACAAGCCAGCAACAATGTCAGGTGACCTCAAGTAATGTGGTCTGTAGATTACTATCAAATTCGTGTTGTTCTTTTGCGATTTTGATTCGATGGCTACAGTAGTAACTGAAATAAACCGCCTGATCAAGAAGCGCAACACTTCCGCATTCGCCGCCGGAATAATATGTAGCATTTTTATCATTTATTTATGAAACGTTTGCCGCAAACTTTAGGGACGTGTGTAGACAGTAACCGCCAGTAAAGTGCGGTTGAGTTGGTCTGATATGCCCCCTATCGTGCACTACTGCTCGCTGCCGTCGAAGGGCACATTTGGCAAGTTTTAACTTGCACGGTTCTTGAAGTTTGTGTCTGTGATATGCAACACTCTTCTTAGACAGTTCTTCCGTTCGTGTTCCCTGTGCTAAGAATCTTACCGTTGTAATAAGAACCAACTGGTGCATTTCTACAGATTACAGATAAGCGTTCTTTATTATTATGGAAGTCTTGGTCATTGATGCGTCCCAGGTGGTAGCTCGCGGCTGCAGCACGTGGTTGCCGTGGACGAACTCCACAGAATGGGAACGCTTCCAACGCGCTGTGCAAGCGTCAACCGTGGATTTACCCTTTTGCCTCCCCGCAACGAAGTCCACGTATCTTCCCAGTCGATATCAGGTGTACGGCTATAGTCACGTTCTTGCAGCACTGCGCGATGTTAAAGACGCCAAAGTCCGCATTCAGGTAGGTGAATAAGGCTGGGCTTTCCAACCAGATGTCAAATTTTGTTTATGTGTTATCACTGTTATGGTGACAGTTGCTACGTGATATACCGATTGCTTGGCTTTTGCAGTTTTTAGTCTTACCCGGGTAGACTGTTCCACATTCGCAATCATGATGTCTGCGAAACGTCTGTGTTTTATGTTTTTGCCTTTTGGTTGTTTGTTAGTTGCAAGAGACACCGCTGACCAAGGAAAGCCAGATGGGTTTGGCTCTTCGATCAAAGCACTTGGTTCCTTTACCCACGGTCCTGTCTAACGTTTTCGAGAACCTGCGCCAATGGAGCCGTGACGGTGCTGATGACTGGCTGCGACATGCTGCCTTGATGTTCCCCGAATTCTCGCCTGCGGTGCTCGTCGGCGAAAAACCAACAGGGTTTGCCGTCTTCTGCATCGACAGTCAGGAGACCGACTGGAACCCGGTATTGCATGGCTTGCAACAAGCCGAAGCTGCTGAATTGGCATGGCAGTATTTGAAATTCGTCGAGAATTTCTGCCCGATGCGTACTTTCTCCGAGCTGGGCCTTTTCATGGCAAAACCCGACGAGCAGTTGCAAGTGTTTCTGCAGTCGCTGAAGGAGTCCCATGGTGAAAGTGAAGAATTACAGGTAGTGTAGCCACTTACTGCGTTTAGAAATAACAGATTATCCAGTTGTTCCATATTACGGCAGCTTATTTGTGCTTACTAAAACAGACCAGCGCGGCGTCTCGACGAAAAGACGCCAGTGCATCGGCGGGTGCTAGTTTTATGAAAGTGGAAACGCAACCGACGCAGAGTTCCAGTGTTGCAACTGTTAAAGTTCAACAGGCACCTATCAAAGCGGCTGTTCCGGTGCACCAGCATTTTCGTTCGCACCCCCTTGATGATGGGAGTGTAATCATAAAGACACGTTGGTGCAACAATAATAACTGCTCGAAAAGATCAAAGCGTGGTGAAATCGGAGCACAGCAGCTTTCAGCGTCAAACGCTTCAGTACTGGATAACGAAGACACCATCGCTTCGCGTGCAGGCAAACGGAGGAAGGAGATTTCCTAACTTGGAAAGCATTTAGAAGGACCCCTGCCACCATACCAACCGAATACGTCGTGAATTTTGTTGCTGAATAAAACTCCTGGTTTAAGTTGATTCTGTGTGTGCCGTGTGGGTCTTGGTGGGAATTTGGAAAGCTCTGGGCAGTTTACATTCCCTACGAGGTTGTTGCTTTGCGCATTAGGATCAACAAAGCACAAGCTTTTTGTTGTTGTTTTTGGCTTTATTACACCTTTAGTTACTTTAGTTAGTTTTTTGAAGATGATTTCGCTAATTGTGTTTGGTCGCTGTACGTTAGTTAATAACGATGTGAACAAAAACCGAAACGAAGTCATCCAATGAAGCGGCCACCCAAAGAGTGAAACCGTCCTGTCATACAGTTTACGTTATTAGACTCAACTACTGCAATAATAGTCATTACTGTAGGGTAAATATTAATAATAACTGATAGGTAATCAGTTAAAACGGAAATACGCTTTCGATTGCATCTAAAGATACATAAGTGCTCACTCAACAAAGAATAACTGTTGAGCTTGTTACATAATGTCGGGCGATATATTTGATTACATTGTGTGATGTTTTAGTTGGCAGAGTTTAATTAGCTATATTTGTAGTTATCGCGCTAAAAAGGCTTCGCGCCGATTATTCCGGTTTTCACTTATATACTGTTGTGCATAATGAATCCCGGGAATCGTTCACCGCAGCGATGCCGTAAATCGAGCTTGACGACTTCCCGCTTGCGGTGCCGAACATACTCGTTAAGCATTCTTTGAATTACAGTACGGATGTATGTCTACTTCTGCGCTGCTGAAAACAGCCCACGGTAACGACAGCATGACTCGTACGTCTGGCTTGCCAGAATCTTGTCCGTTACCCAGCATAAGCGTGCCGTTGCGGATGTAGATGCCATTAATTACCAACGAACGTTACAACCACATCACGTTTATGCATGGTAATCAGGATGCAGAACTGATCAGTTCTGTGTTACAAAATTTGGAACGATTACAATTTTAGATACTCGTACATCCGCGCCGTCATCACACCCTTAAGCGGCTTGAGCAATCAGAGCCTGGATCATCGTATATAAACGCACAGTTGTTTATGCTGACATCGTCGGATACCGAAGAACCGGTTTCAACGTTATTAAGTGATTTATATTGTGAAAATTCTTTCACTATAATTACCTCTCCATAAAATGGGCCGGCTTTGGCACACCGTGCTGCTCATTTCTCTGCTCGTTTATGTGGCTAACTGCGGTAAGCACAAAGTGTACTGTACTACCGTACAGTCTGCCGAAAGGTTATACGCAACTTTTCAAGGGGCTGTACTCAACCTTTTATATAAGAATAATAAGTCTTTGATTCATGGCAATAGAAACGCTTTATGGACAAATCTGTACTAATGCCAGTTTTTGGATTATTCAGTAATTTCTGTTATGTTCTGGACTCAGCAGATAACGCAGTAGCCGGTGAGGACGAAATATCATCTGCTACCGATACCGCACCGAAAGCGAACACCGCAGATAATGAGATTCCTCTTCCGAAGAGATTGTCATCTGACGAAGGAGTCACCAGTTCTCCAGACAGCGCGTCATCTACCTCGGTATCCGAGAACCAAAAATCCCCAAACGCAACAGCAATCAGCAGCAGATCAGTGTCTAACCCAAATGGTAAAGCAGATCCCAACGATTTTGATACCAGTGAAAAGGGCAATCATAAGACATGTTGCATTTGCAGGAATAATTGACTTGACTATGCCGATGTTTACGGTCCCGTATGACAGCTTCCAAATCCAAGTCTTCAACACAACATCCGATGGGTCGACGCTGTTTTACGCACCGGCAGCAACTCTGTTGCCGGATGGCGCTTCCATTGGCGTGAATGATGAGACAAATTCAAACTGTCTGTTCGTCTCCTTCAAACTCTGGGATAAACCATACATCGCCGCTGTTCGAGACTATGTTAACAAGTACGTTCCTCCAGCAGCTAAGTCTTTCCGGGTCTTTCCGTTGCCGTTCAAATGGATGCTGGTGGGATACTCCACGAACGGTTTCAGCCGAGCGATTAAAAACACAGCTTGGCAACCTATTGCCAACATGCCACCGACGGTCTCTGTGTGCATCCACTGCCCAACCGTCGCGGCGTGCAACGAAACGCTGACCGCGCTGCAGACCGACAGTACAAAATTTGCGTCGCGTCTTTTTCTGTCGTTTGCAACGAGCGCCCCAAATGCCCGATCCTCTCCAGTGTGTGTCGATGCAGAGCGTCTCCCAAAAAACGAAATTGTCAGTGCCCTTTCGGAACGCTTCGCCAAGGGAGAAAAGTACATATTTATGCAACCCAGCGATTACGCCAATTTTACTAAAACGGTCGTTGCGGCAGCCGTTGAGAGGGCGCTGACTGAGAATGAATTCGTCGATGACGAGGAAATGGGCCGGTTAGCGAGGGAAATGTCGAATGTTTTCGCGTATAACACCACCACAACAGAGAACTTCACCCCGGAGATGTGGGCAGCGACGTACTGGAAGAGTGAGCGACCGGATATGAAAGCGAGCCGACTGGAAAGTGTCCTAGGTCAAAATCGGGCTTGGGTGAGCCAGAAGATGTACGCTGACTACGGATATACCATAAATACAAAACTTTCTTCGGCGTTCAACCAAGCTTATGACGAGTTGATTCAGTCTGGCGAGGAGATGTACTGGGACGATAAGGTTCTACTGAGACCGATGCCAATGTATCGTGTCAGTCTCGACGCCCTCCGTCCAAATGCACTGATTTGCAATGGGGAAGCTATTATTACGAGCAGTAGTGCCGATTACACCGTGGTGGCGAATGTCGGTGGGGCCTTGTCTGACGATGGACCTCAAGCTACTACAGCGAAACCCGGTAAGCCCGTAATTATGATTTTATTAAAAATGTTTTGCCACATATTCGGCTAGATTGTTTGTTTCTCACCACATCCAGATAGTTTTTTGGTCCCTCGAGTAATCACATATTAGAATTTTTCCGAATTTTGCTTTTATTAACCAGAATTTTTACTGTTTTTCTCAATACGAAACACATTATGCTTTACATTCGAATTTTCGCATTCGATTCCCCTATTTTGCATGTCGCTACTCGCTAGTGGTTAGGAGCTCGTCGTCGCACTCTACAAAATTTCACCTTGCCTTTTAGAGATCAAGACATTCACCGTCTCGAAAGCGGGCACTCGTTGGCAGGCTCGCAATGCGGATAACTTGTGGGCGTTCAACAACGAAAACATCGTCGCCACCCTTCTGGACGCCAATGACGAGCCGTTTGACCAGTTCGCCGTAACAACCAGTAACTTTACCGGCGAGTTCTACCTAACCTTGCCACGAACCAGTGGCTACAGCATTGTGTTCGAGGTCAACCAGTACTATCCAATCACGCTGCGGAATTTCTCCGGCAGCTTCAGTTCAACCGGGGAGTTCTTGCACATGGAACCGTTGCTATTTATTCCCACTTACCGGGGAACTGGGGCCGGCCGAACAGGAGGAACCGTGCATTTGGTTAAGGGCAATCAAAATGAGACCAAAGCAGGCATCCAAGTCGAGCTGCGCGCGGGACGATACAATTTGACCGGGCCCGTAGCGGCTACTGCTTACACGGCGGAAAACGGAACGTGGTTAGCCGAACTGCCGAGCGGTCACTACACCGTCACAATCAGTGCACCCGACACCGATTACGCTGCACCGCCGCTCAGTGTTGTGGTGGTACCGAAAGCTGATAAATGGCGTGATTGTGTAATGACCCAACCGATGGATAACGATGAAATCCGAATTATCTTGCGAGCCACAGGATATGATGCGTATGACGTGAAGCTGCTGGTCTCGGGACCATTGGAAAACAGCAAAGAACGTGCGGTGGTACAAGCTAATGCAAACATCAGCGCGGACGGCTGGATGGTCTACGACAATGTGGACACAATGTTCGGCAGTGTTCTCATCAAGAAACAATTGCCGGGCGTCTATCGCATTCAGGTCAACGAAAACAACTACCGCCAGTACAAGGCAGACGCTGATTGGAATTTGGCGAACTCGCAGTCTACGGTGCAGATCTACCGTGGCAACCACCTATGGGCGCAGTACTATGTACCAGTCTCTAATGGAAACAAGTGGGTTGTGGCGGAATTCAACGACTTCCGCCTCAATGTCATTAATGAAGTCAAGCTAGACATCTAGTCTGATGTTTGCGCTTCTAAGGTATTCACATCGCTTTAAATGTGCTTGAGCTTTCTTCCCCGCCAGCTGAAGGAATGTCTTGTTTACGAGTCAGACGGCGGGTATCATATCTGTGCTATGAAGTAATCAAATAGCTTGCGGAGGTTGCTGTTTTGTGTAGTTTTAAATGTCTGATAAACAGAATGTAAAAACCGCAATAAGGAGAGAAAATTCGATAATAAAGCGGTACCAAAGGCTTCAAAGCTGATAACGATAGGTGCGGGTGTGCTACTAATATTCTAATACTGCTTGCATGGGAGGCAGTTGCACTTGCACATACTGTGTTCACATGCGCAGTGCGCTAACAAAAGATTATTATATGAATTAAATCTCTGGACCGTACTAAATCACGCAGTAATTGGTATATTGTAAAATGGTTTGGCATCGAAGTATCCATCGGCCATAGAAATGGCAGGCGTTAAACTAAATTTCAGGTAATTGCTCAGTAACGAATCGTGGTTGAGCTTGTAAATGATGCTCGTATCTAGCGATATGCATGCCACATTATGTCTGCACGTTTTAATCGGAGAAATTTGCCAAAAGTTTGTGACAACGACGGATTTTGAGCCGATTATTCCGGTTTTCACTTTCGAGGAAGTAAATAATCACAGGCAAGATATATGTTTTGTTGACCACAGTGATGCCGGAATTGAGCTTGATTAACTGCTTTTTGCTCTACTCTGGGCGCCGAACAGGCAACCTTCATAGACATTCTCGGAATTTTAGCACGGATGCGTGTTTGCTTGTGCGCTGATGAAAACAGCCCATGGCAACGACAGCATGACTATACGGCGACCCTGCCAGAATTTTTTCCGTCACCCCGCCGAAACGTGCCGTTGCGGAAGTAAAATGGCATAAATCAGCAACGAACACCACATACTCACATCTTTAGGCAACGTACATATGTTCACATCACGCGTTTATGCACAGTATTCAGGATGCAGACCTAATCAGCTACTCAGTAGCACCTATTACAAAATTTGTGGCGACTACAGAATATATGTGTGCCGTGTTTAGCCCTCAAGCGGCTTCAGCACTTAGAGCCTTATAATCATGCTGCAAAGCATTTAAGATTGTATGTAAACGGCAGTTGTTGCCGAACCGAATTCAACATTAAGTACTTTATTTTGTGGAATTTCTACAATGGGACGGTTTTGGCACATTGTACTGCTCCTGTCTCAGCTGGTTTATGCGGCTAATTGCGGTGAGTACCACGTTCATTACTGTATATATACAATCCGCTGCTGCTAAGTGCGCTGTGTTTCATAACGCCAGCCTTTGGAGTAGCTAATAATCGATTGTTATTTTATTTGTACTCAACAGATAACGCAATAGCCGGTGAGGACGCACTCTCTTCTACCGTGGATACCACGCTTGACGCGGATACCGCCAGTAACGAGATCCCTTATCCAAAGAAATCATTATTTGACGAAAGAATCTTCAGCAGAAGTATCCCAGGCAACATGTCATCCTCGCCGGCTTCAGGAAGACAGAAATCGCCGAGCGTCACGGTTATCAAAAGCAGTGCTGTATCCACTGACTATGGTACAGCTGCGAACGATTTCGCAATGATCCAGAAAATAACAGCACTCTTAACCTCTAGTGTTTGCAGGAATAATTAATTTGACTAAGCCGATGTTTACGCTTCCTTATGACAACTTCCAAATTCAAGTTTTCAACGCGTCAGCCAATAGATCACTACTGTTTTACGCTCCGGCAGTGACTCTCTTGCCAAATGCCTCTTCTATTTCCGTGAACGCCGCGACGAATGCAAGCTGTCTGTCCGTCTCATTCAAACTCTGGGATGAATCCTATATTGCCGCTGTTCGAGATTATATTTCCAAGCACGTTCCTTCAGCAGGTGGGGCAAATTCCAAGGTCGTTCCGCTGCCGTTTAAGCATATGCTTGTGGGATACTACACGAACGGGTTCAGTCGAACGATGAAGAAAACCCCCTGGAAAATCATCGACCACAGGGATCCGACCGCCTCTGCGTGCATCCGCTGCCCCACAGACGCGGCGTGCAACGAAATGCTGACCGCGCTACAGTCTGACAGCGCAACGTTTGCGTCGCGTCTGTTTGTGTCTTTTGCAATATCATACCGGTTTCTTCAATCAGCTCTAATATGCATCGACACAAAACATCTCCCAAATAACCCAATTGTTAATGCCTTTTCGAAGCGTTTTGCCACCGGGCGAAATTATATATTTATGCAACCTAGCGATTACGCTAACTTTACGAAAACACTGGTTGCGACAGCCATTGAGAAGGTGTTGGGTGAGGACGATTTCGTCGTCGACGCCATAATGGACCGACTAGTTAGGGAGATATCGGATGCTTTCCCGTTTAATACTACCACAACGGGAAACTTCACTACGGAGATGTGGGCGGCCACGTATTGGGAGAACGAGCGACCTGATAAAAAAGCGCACCGACTGGAGCGTATCTTCGGAACTAATCGTACTTGGGTACGGCAGAAAATGTTCGCGGACTACGGAAATAGCACAAATCCAGCACTAACCTCGGCGTTAAACCAAGCTTATGATGAGTTGATTCGGTCGGACAAGGAGATGTACTGGAGTGATGATAAGGTTATACTGAAATCGATGCCCGTGTATCGTGTTAATTTGGATTTCCTCCATCAAAATGCACCAGTATGCAAGTGGCCTTTCGCAATGGTGAACAGTACTGCTGATTATACCGTGGTGGCCAGTGTCGGTCGTGCCGTACCTGATGCTGGACCTTAAACTACCACAACGAAATCCGTAGCGAATCATACGGTAAACTATCTTCAACCGCTGATTCCGTAGTGTATCTCACGGTATTCTCTGCTGTACCGCTTTATTCTTAGCGTATTCACTTTGTATCCCACTTTAGTGTCGTGTATTCCGTTTCATGCTTATAGTGTATCCCTAATGATTCTACCATGTATCCCTTTTTCCTAAGCTGGCGACGGTAGGCGGAGAAGTTTGATCGGCTGTTTAAGATTGTTAGAAAGAAAAAATCCCCAGTTGTTGAAGAATTAGGACGTATGACAGATCTTGCTAGCACAAGCTATACTACTCGTAAAGACACTAATATAATTATATTTAATATAATATTTGCTCCCCTATTAGTAATAATATTTACTCCTCCTATTAGTAATAATATTTAGTAGTAATATTTACTCCTCTGATTAATGAAAGCGAATCTCGACACGTTGCAAAAAAGACTGAAATCGGTGTATGCTCATTTCGTCAAACGGAAGAATGCGTTATGCCAACGCATGAAATCCAGTACTGTGTACTACCAAAGGAAATTCTCGGTCGGAAAACTCACTATTGCAGGCAAACCACATGGTACATATTACTAAATTTGTGTACATGCAAGGAAGCGTTCGCTCTCAAGGGCTCTAAATTATTTTTTGCCCTATTTATGGCAATTTGTGGCGAAAGATTTGTATAAATTGATGTGATAAGATCCAAACAAACAAGTTAACGGGTAGATAGGTATAACAATGGTCTCGTTCTGGACCGACTGTATTCGATTTAATTTTTCATGAAACCGTACTATTGAGTATGGTGACACGCTTTTAGAATAATTAGAGTGAATTGTTTGCACCATAAAGCACTCTGCCAAAAAAATACGTTAGTACCAAAGCCTTTGATATTAACCTTTGGTCCAAAGGCAAAAACCATGAAAGCGTGTTGTAACTTCTTGTAATACTGCAAGCATAAAAGGGTAAAGGAAGTTGCACTATACAGTGTACTGTGCACAGAGTGCATATGTGCTGGCATAATATTTTATGTGGTATAGTGATTGAAGTTTTCCGTATAGAGTTGAAATAATCCACATCATGATTTGAAATCGCATATCGGACTTACGGTTAATAAGGTTTAACTAGAAAAATTCTCGTAATGTGCCTTAGCAGTCCGGAGCGAAACCGTTTCACAGGTTGTTCAAGAACCTTTTTTGCATTAAACGCTGACTAAAATTCATTGACATTTCATTCACGATCGGTAAGGTAACAACGTAAATCGGTAAGGTAAGACCATCCGCCCGCAGCGGCCAGTGAGCAATACGGATTATGCATATGTTGGCGGAAAAACAGTAGTTCTACCATACATTAGCCGCAATGGCAGTCCGCGGCAGCTCGGCACTTGTCTAATAACGAGACAAGACGCCACCTTTTGCACACGCCTATGATATCTTAACTTTTTAAGAAACGATAAGGCCATGAATTCATATCGTTAGCTTTTCTTAAAAAAAAGATTCTGTTTCTCAGCTTCTGCTAAAGATTCCCTTCAGTTCATATCGGGATGATGTTCCGGGGAAATGAAACAAGGATTAAATTCACCAAACGTGCCACCGTTTCCAAACATAATGAGGACCGAAACTGCATATCCTCCTTGACTTCAAGTGATTATTCTCGTATGGGACCAAACGGTAACTGCCAAAACCCGCCTAGATGGCCTTTCAATTCAGCAACTCACATGTACGGCAACCGGCTTCGCCGGTGCCGCACATGCGAGTATATCAGCCGGGCTTGGCGGCCCCCGCTACTGGTACGACTGATAAACTCACATGTACGGCAACCGGCTTCGCCGGTGCCGCACATGCGAGTATATCAGCCGGGCTTGGCGGCCCCCGCTACTGGTACGACTGATAAACTCACATGTACGGCAACCGGCTTCGCCGGTGCCGCACATGCGAGTATATCAGCCGGGCTTGGCGGCCCCGCTACTGGTACGACTGATAAACTCACATGTACGGCAACCGGCTTCGCCGGTGCCGCACATGCGAGTATATCAGCCGGGCTTGGCGGCCCCCGCTACTGGTACGACTGATAAACTCACATGTACGGCAACCGGCTTCGCCGGTGCCGCACATCTGAGATATCAGCCGGGCTGGCGGCCCCCATACTGGTACGACTGATAAACTCACATGTGCGGCAACCGGCTTCGCCGGTGCCGCACATGCGAGTATATCAGCCGGGCTTAGCGGCCCCGCTACTGGTACGACTGATAAACTCACATGTACGGCAACCGGCTTCGCCGGTGCCGCACATGCGAGTATATCAGCCGGGCTTAGCGGCCCCCATACTGGTACGACTGATAAACTCATGTACGGCAACCGGCTTCGCCGGTGCCGCACATGCGAGTATATCAGCCGGGCTTGGCGGCCCCCGCTACTGGTACGACTGATAAACTCACATGTACGGCAACCGGCTTCGCCGGTGCCGCACATGCGAGTATATCAGCCGGGCTTGGCGGCCCCCGCTACTGGTACGACTGATAAACTCACATGTACGGCAACCGGCTTCGCCGGTGCCGCACATGCGAGTATATCAGCCGGGCTGGCGGCCCCCGCTACTGGTACGACTGATAAACTCACATGTGCGGCAACCGGCTTCGCCGGTGCCGCACATGTGATATATCAGCCGGGCTTGGCGGCCCCCGCTACTGGTACGACTGATAAACTCACATGTACGGCAACCGGCCGCCGGTGCCGATCATGTGATATCAGCCGGGCTTGGCGGCCCCCGCTACTGGTACGACTGATAAACTCCTATGTACGGAAGGCTTTGCAGCGCGCTCTACTGGAGTACGAGTACTACAGTGCTTCTGATTAATTTTACTTTACTTATTACTGCACTGTAACTACTTTCTACAAATCTACGGTATTTCTACACTAGCTAACTACTGCCTTAGCCACTAACCTACGTTGAACGGCCCAGCCGTTAAGAAGAACGAAATCTTACTATTTGGCTCTTAGCGCGCACACATGAAACGCCATTGAGAACAATATTACAAATTCTTCGAAAGCTGCGACAATAAATCAATTTAAATTGTATCGCTTATTTATTATAACGTACGTCTTCATGAGCAGTTAGCTTCGTCATTTTTTGTTTATTCGTTACATTAATACGACGACGACCGAATCGAGTTTTTAATCAAATCCGTGCATGTTACGATTTTTAACACTTTTCGTGGCAATCAACACAACATATCTTGGTAAACTCGCAGTTTTGCTTCATGCCCCAACTTTACTTTTCGATAAAGAAAAACGATCTACGGAAGCAAATAATTAATGAAATATAAAGCATAATCAAGTAATTAATTTTCATTTTAAGGCATTATAATACCTAACCTGATTGTCCATGTTGCGAATCTCCCATCTCCTGAATTTCAAACCGAACTCATAAGTTCTAAAAATGTTTACATTTAACCGATGAATTATACGCGTAAATTATTTACGTAGAACTACTCGTATTAATTAAATTGAAATCCATGCGTAGCGTTGACCCAACATATGGTCATTTTCAACGGGAATGTTAACAAGCCGTGCTTTTTAATGTTTTTTTCCGGCACTTTAACAACTGGACACTGCTGCAAAAATACTGCAAATCCATCGGCAGTTTAAACCGTGGAGAAAAAAATATTTAAACAGCAATTTTCATAGTTTATTTGACGATAATTTTTGAATTTTTAGATATTATATATTTTTTTTATTTTGTTTACTACGCCTTTAACAGCAATTGTGTGAATGTTTTTCTGGTATTTATGTGTTGCAAACTGCCAGCGCTGTTTTTGTGACTACAAAAATTCAAACGAAGATCGAAAAAATTTGAAAAATGAAATTCAGAATAGCCACTGGACTATGATAACTTTGAACTGCGGATCAGTGCCACAAGGTCAGTTCTGGCGAAATTTTAATTAAATTAATTTTAGTTATGTACAAGGAAGATATTAATACACTTTGCCTTAATACCAGTCTCATAAATTCAACAATGTTCTGCATTTTTGAAAATATAATAAATGCAACCAGCATTAATTATTAAATATTTCCAGAACTGATTTACGCATTGGAGTCACTGTACTGATCCACGAGTCAGCTTGCTTATCAAAGCGGACAAAATTAATAATTTTTAATTGCCCGGGAAGTGCTAACACTGAGAAAAAATCTCGAAAAGTATACTGCGAGAAGAAACTAGAAAATTCAAAATTCAGCTTCACACAGAATATCTTTCTCAACGCGCAGTTTTGCTTTATTGCGCTAATTTTGTTTTCCAGCAATTAAAACGATGATTGAGTGAATACAGCTTATTTGATTAATTTTCATGTAAGCGTAATTTTTCATGTTGCGCACATCGAATACGTGAAAAATGCACCGGCGAATTATGCGCTAATTATTTACATAGTTATTGCTTATGTCTTTAACATGCGTTCCCCCTTTTAACGGAAATATTGCAAGCCGTGGTTTTAGCAATAAATCTTTTATAAAGACACCCACACAACTGAACACTGCTGCAAGTGAACAAAGAAAGAACAATTTTTTTCATAGTTTTCTGATATAACTTAAATTTTTAGATATTTCTGTTACTTATGCAATTTGCAGTAATTATGTGAATAGGGTTCTCAGGTAAGTGTTGCAACACTGTTTTTGCGGCTGTAAAAATTCCAACAAAAATCGAAAAAATATGAAAAATCAGCATCACGAAGAGACACCGTACTACGATAACTTTGAACTGCGGGTCAGTACCACGACATCGAGTTGTTGCGAATTCAAATTAAATTAGTTTATTTACAAGGAAATATTAATACTCCTTGCTTTAATACCATTTTCTATCTCATAAATTCAATAATTTTCGGCACTTTTGAAAATAATAATAAATGCAACCGACAATAATTATTAAATATTTGGAAAATTAGTTTAAGCGGTTAAGTCACTGTACTGATCCACAATTAAGTCAGCTTGCTTTTTGAAGCGGCCAGCTATTTTTAATTCCTCGGGAAAACTGAGGAAAAATCTCAAAAAGAATTAGAAATCCACGAAATACGTTTTGCCACTAACGGCATAATTCAGTCTCCGTATCACCCATCACTACAAATTTCACCCCAATAAAAAAACAAATAAACCAAACAATGACCTTTACAGCAGCTTTAACAGTCTGCCAATTTTCCGCGACAAAAATTCTTTTTAAGTCCGTAAAACGAGTTTCCTCTTAATAATTCAAAATTCGCTTTAATCAACAACTTTCCTTTAAATAAATCCGATTTTTGGAAAATGCAAATACATATTTCAAAATAATATTGAGCCCACCTGTATGATCCACCTAAAATTCAAGAAAATATCATATACGTAATATATCCTGTGTCTCTAACAATATATATGTAGAATAACAACTGCCACACCAAATCCTACGAGTAGTTATTTATTGTTTCATTCTCTGCTGCTAACTAATATTGGACTTACCATCAGCCAGAAGACTCACAGAGCGCCCGGCCAGCCGCCTACTATTAAAAAAATACGATAAGCGGTAAGGAGAAAAAAGGAAAATTAACTGGACGATGATTTGCAATTTTGCACACCGGGAAAAAGTAGTGTAGCAAATTTAGCTCAAATAAAATAAATTAGAAAATACAACTGTAATTTATTTGCGCCGGTATTATGCAAAGGAAGTACGATAACGAATTTCGTCGGCTCAGCGCATAAGCCCGCCTCTCCACGCCACTCCTTCGCTATCTGATTCGGACTGACTTGCAGCTTGCTTCAGCTTATCATTTGACAATTGTGAATTGTCATTTTTTTTTACCGTTTTCCATTTTACTCATCGTCAATGTTGCTTTTTTGGTTTGCGGATCTCTTGCGGTTTGTTGTTTGTAAATGGACACGGGTCAGATTGTCAACTAATCCACGATCGAGTCACGAGTGTCACGACATCCGCGCCCGTTTGACCAGGCAAATCCTCGCTGCTGATGAAATCCCTGCACAGTCCGTCGTCGCGCTTATCGCCGCCAGCCAAAACTGGACGAAGAGCGTCGCGTTCGCCGTCCGCGACCCTCTTCGCGGGCAGCCCCTCCCGGAGCTTTCCCACACTGTTTTTTGCGGGGGCCTCCATCTTCCACATGTGGCATCTGTCCAGTTTGTTTGAGAATGATGGTATTTATCACAGCTGGAACGGAAAATGACATTCCGTACAAAACAGGTGCGGGTTTTGTGGCGGATGCGGTGTGTTTCCTGTAGAGGCAGTGGATGTCGCCACCCGTTGTACAGGTTTTATGCAAAAACTGCATGTTTAACTTTACGTGATTGCATTTTGTCTGCTGGTTTTCTGTGATTCTTAGTTTTCGAGGGTTCTGAAATTTTCTGACAAAACATTTTTGAATTATTATGGTTTAATTTAATGTTGTTGATTTGTCAGGAAAAAATTACTGGTAGTGGCTTGATGGGTATTTACTAAAATTACACCGTAGCCGGCGTAGCGCACATTTACATTGATACAATAATTTTTGAAAAAAAAACCTGACTTAATTCATTTAACCAATTTTATACGAATAATTAATCAATAATTTTTCTGGTCTGTTGTAAGCTTAGTAAACTGTGGGTAGATTTTTTTCTGTTTTAGGGATTTGTTTTACTAACGTATTGTGGAGGCGCCGGGTTTTTTCAGCGGCGGGATGGAGATTATACACAACACGATCACGGAATATCCCATTGAAGCAACTTTGTTAATAATCGCTTCGATCTTTATTCGGAGGTAGGTCTGTGCTCCTTAGCTGTTGCCGTGGCTGCGATGAAATTATCGACAGTTTTCTTTACGGGTATTTAATGTTAACTAGTGCGTCTTTTTTCACCTCATTATTTCCTTACAATTAGTTATGAGTGGCTTGCTTAAATATAGGAAAACAAAGACGCAGCGTGATTTATTAGGTTTTCTAAGTTAGATAAATTTTTAAACCTGTATTTACTGGGAGTGTTCGATCTGATCGTGGATGGTGTGCTGTTGGGCGTCCTCTTTTTGACCGACTGACTGCTCAACGAGAGCATCGGCGGCGGCGTCATCACGCTGATGTGCTTGCGCTTCCTGTTCAACCACGGGGAAGCCACGCGGGTCATGTGGACCCCGCCGCTACGCGAGAGCTTCAGCTATCCGTTTTTTGTCAGGGAGATGCTGGCCGTGGCCTGTTTGCTGATGACGGTCTGCCGCAGCTTGCAGAAGAGCGTGGTGGTGGGCATGCAGACGTCGGGACTGTTTATTCTGCAGTGGCAGGTCCGTGTTTTTCATTTTTTCTTTTATTAATAAAATAATAATATTTATAGATGTTTTTTTTCGATCTTTTGTTGTTTTTTTTTCGATTTTTGCAGGGGCATAAATTTTCGGCTTTTTGAATATTTAGTATCTGATAAATAATTTACGAGATTATTAACAATGCTCTTGTGGCACCTTTATTTTGTCTTATTCCAAATATTGAAACGCTGAAATGCTGGTAATTATTTTCCGTTGACATCTTTTTCAGCTTTATCAGGAATCTAATATTACATAAATACGATTGTGGTGCATGAATAGTTTGATTTATATTCCTGCATGAATAAATTTTATTTTGGGTATATTGCATATTTCATATACTTGGAAGTTCTTCCCAGTGCAGGAGAGTGTTCCATTTTAGAATTAATTAAATACTGTATTTTGTTAAATATTAAAGAATTATATTTAAGTGATTTGTTAAAGATTTGATTAATCGTTAACTGGAAAATATTGAAGGTAGCTATGCCGAATTTGCTCCGTTTAAAAAGTCTCATTTAAGTGTTTTTTAAAAGGTATTGATTAATTCATTATTCCAGTTATTTGTTCGCCGTCCGCAAGGGATTCCATACAGGGAACATTTTATTGCTTTCGATAAATCACGCTTTTAACGAACCGTAATGTGCATGTTGTGTTCATTTGTAGTGCAGGGGCATGTGTACGCACTTTGCGTCTTCAGAGTCAAATCTAACCAATGCTCCGCAGTGTTAATTTTGCCGGCTGTTGCACGATTTAACCTTTTTGTGGATAATCATTTGTTATTTTTCTTATACTATAGTTGTATGCATTTTTTACTATGTCTGCGCAGTTCTTTTGTGAGTATTGTTTGAGTTACGGGCACTTACAGCATGCAATGGAAAATTGGAGCGTAAAAAATGCCGACGGATGGAAAAATTATTTTTTGTGTAGGTTTTTGGATTCTTGCGGCGTTCCTGGAACTTGGGCATCGTGTTGGGTCTGAAGAGTTGTATGCTACCAGTCGGCACTCGGCATGCATAATCTGCTTGAACAGCCCAAGATCATGGGCGAATAATGGAATTATCCGCTGGAAGATATTTTCACCTGGATCAACAACCATGATACATCGCCAAAGGTACCTTGCAGGTCACGAAAATTTAAATAAAAATAACTAATCAGAATAAAGATTACTGCGAATTTGCGAATTTGCGACAGGTCAATTTAAGATAAATATCAAGTATTAAAAATTAGCAATAAAACAATTACGAGCAGGAAAAAAATAATAATTAGAAAATAATTAGAAAATCGATACTGATCGGCAAAACTGGAAATTGTTAAAAATTATTTTTCGTTGACTGTTAGGTTTCAAACTTGAGTATTTTTTTCCGCTGAGATTATTATCTATTTATTATATACGGTTGGATAGGTGCTGTGTTTGCCGGACCGATGGTCCATCTGCATCTCCGCATGGGACGCCAGATTGTCAGTCCTCCGCATTACGCCAGTGCTGAAGTACCGTCAGCGATTTTTTTTAATTAGTAATTTAATTTTAATTCTAAATTTATGTAGTTAATCAGGTCTTATGACGGATGTGTTTTCAAGAAAAAAAAACGTTGAAGGTGTACTCGGCGTACAGCCGGAAATCACCGCGGGAAGTCCATCGTTTCTATCGGCAGTTGGGCTGGGATTTTGTCGTCTTTGAGAATTCCTGCTCTACTGGCGCAAAACAAGTAGGTTTCCTTACTCGTAGGATGAGTTTTCGAGTATGATGAATCGTAGAGTTGTGGCTAGCTGTGCGCGTTCACCTTACATCATTATGCGAGTACTTATCATACATAACATACGCACGTTCTGCTGAAAATAATTTTCAAAATACCCACAATTTTTTAACGATTATTATTTGTATACAAATAACAATATATATTACATATTTTATTACCGTATCTGTTCAATATAAAATACTTATAATTGCCGGTATAATAATAAAATATTTGTACAATGCTTACAATTTGCCTGTAAAACATACTTAAAATTGTCTGTTGATTTTCTTGTTATGTTACTAGATTTCTATCGTGCCGAAACTTGATTTTCCCTTGGGTTTTTCGTCAGCCATTTTTCACCAAATTACTTCTCTTAGCGCTCACACATTGTTTGGCATTTATCCTTGATTAAAGCGATTAAAAGTATAGCGATACAACAAGAGCAAGCAGTATCGACACGATTTATAGCGAGAATAAAATAACCTAAAAACTAGAAAAAATATTTGAACTAAATGTACAGTAGAATGAGATAAAATTAAGGTTTAAAGGCATTTTAAATTAAATCTGGATATTAAAAAGAATTTAGCGAAAAGAAATTTAATATAATTGAACTGCAGTAGAGAAATGTCGTTGACCATAAGGTTATGCTAAATATAATGAAAAGATAATATAACTGAATTTTAAATATGTAATAACAACATTATATGAGAAACATACGTATTTCAAAATCTGCATAGAAAATTATACTTGTGAAGTTGTGATTGAAATAATGAATAATGACGTTATAACTATTTGAAAAATAACAGAATTACAAACAAATGATACAACTATTGAATTAAGCGGGAAAAATGGTAAAAAGAAAATTAGCAAATTAAAGCGGAATTTTTGCGAGTATCAGCATGCGAAAACGCTATAATGCAGAAACTGCAGTTGAATTTACACTCGTAAAATTTTAATTTAAAGTAAGAAAATTAGAGCAGATTGTTTGGTGCAAGCGATCTGTCTGTGATGGCATGCATAAAAGCTATATTGATAGAGTTTAATGCTAATTGTAATTCCACTGACAAGAATTATTGTGAAGTATTCGGAAAAAATTAAAGAAAATTGTGACTGATTTTTTTCGTGAGTGATGCCGTACAAAGTTTATCACGGATTAACCCATTGCAGAAATTAATATTATTTATCATGCTTGTAGAGCAGGCTGCGGTATGCCGGAGATTTGGGACGTGAAGGAGCCGGCGCGGGCCGGATACGCAACGACCTGTACGAAATCCTCAAAGTGAGAAGAACATTTGCACTGAGAACTGACGCCCTAGACTCTTAACTCAGTTGATCGGGGATCTGTGTCTTTAATAAATATTGAATGTTCTTGCCATTTTTGTGCAGCGCGGATCTGTGTTTTTGTAACATGATAGTCTTGCCACAGATTTTTTGTTGTGACCAAAGTGTTTTTATAGTGTTAAGTGTAGAAGTTTTCCGCTCGGTTGTTTTTGGATCCACCGACGATTTTCGTAATATTTTTTGGCGGTTGGATGAATTTTATTTTTTCGTGTGGCGAATAACTGGCGATTGCCTTCCTGGTGTAGTGCGGTGACTTTTTCTAATCATAAACCGTACAATAGTGGTTAACTTTTTTATCCTGTGGAAACGTCAGGGAATTGAGACTGACTGTACAAACGGAACGAAACAATCCTGTTTGTACAAATTGTGTGCTCTTTTTTTACAAAAACATCTTTATTGAATAGTTTCATACCCTTTTAACTAGTAACAAGAACGAAAATCCATGACCTTTTTCCCGTTCAGCTAATTTAAACGCAAAATACACATTGTGTACTTATCCAGTATCCTGTAGAGTGCATACTTATTGCATTATTGCATACTACAAACAAAAACGTGCAAAACAGTAAAATTTAAAACCTAAAATCAGAGGGGACAAAATTGCAGCTCATATCCAAATCGTTACTGGGAAAAATGCTTCGTTTTAACGCATAATACGTACTGCGCAAATGGCCGCTTCGTTGATCGAACGCAATGCCGGCGATCGGCGCGGACTGGATATTTTCCTAGTGTACAGTTCGCTGTTTATTATTCAATGTTAAATTTTGGAACCGCGGGCCGATTTCAGTTTGCACGTTCTTTGTCCTGCATGTTGTACTTTATTAGTATTTTGCTCTCAGTACTCATAACAGTAGAGTAGTTGAACTGTAGTAGTTAGCCTGAGCCAGTGAACTCTCACATCTCTGCTCCTGTTTATTTTACTATTGCTTCTGATATATTATTAATTTTTGCATCTTACGAATTCACTGAAGACAGATAAACATACTTGCTAAGGTTACAGAAGAAAGTTTCAAAAATCGGAAATTCTACCAAACTTGTCGAAACAAACATCCAGTATTCGGAACCATTTCGAACTCAAAGTATAACACCAGTCCAAAAACATTTTAGTGATTTTACTCATCGGAATCGTCGTTTTCATCGGAATCACTACTCGACTCGCAGGTCCCGTTCTTGAAGTCGCCGGATTGCCCAGCGTCTTCGCCGGGCGCTTCGCCCAAGTCTTTCGTGTAGCGCGCTAAAGCGTACAAGCAGAACCGGTTCAACTTACCCATGTCCATGTCGGTCAGATCGTCCGCACTCCACCGACATCCCCGGTAATGTGCTGACGGACGCGGATCGCAGGACTGGTAGTCCTCCAGGATCTGCAGAATTAATCAAGAGGTTGTAAAAAAACACAGGAATATATTAAAACTAACAAGAACAGATGCCACCGAGAACCGTTTCGTGACGCAGTACCGTTTGAATACTGAAACGTCTGTCCATACCTTCAGCACTTTCTTCGCTCGCTCCTTGCTGTCGATGAGACCGGCCATGCACTGGGCAAAGCTGTCTACATCCAGCGGTGGCACGTTCCACTGCAAATGCTTCTCGAACGTATCAACAATCTGCGCTTCATCGACAGGTCCTTCGGGGATGACAACAATGGGAACCCGGAATTCCATCATGGTCGCTCCGCCCTTACTTTCAGTTGCGAGGGCATAATCCTTAAAAATCAAACGGTCACAGCACGCCCCCAGTCTGGCCTTTTGTGCGGTAATCTCGGTGGCAAACACGCCCAGTTTCCAATGCTCAAATGCTGATTCTCCGAGGCGGACTGATCGGCGGTGCACGATCAACCGCTCGAGGCGACGACCGGCGTCGTCCAGGAGTTTCTTAATGATATCCAATACTTCATCGGTGTCGTCCTGCATGGTGTAGCGGGTCAGGAAAAACGTTTCGGTGTCGCGAATGCAGACGGTGTGGACGGCCGGGGTAATGTGCTTGAAGATGCAGGCGTACATGGCGTAATTACAATCGAACTGCACGGGTCGTGAGGAACTCTCCTTCTGCCGCGATACGCGCACGATTTCGCACAGCTCAGCCGAAGTGAGCTGCGTTTCCCACAGCCGACAGGTGCGTCGGCAGCGCTGCCGGTCGACGGTGTCCAGTGAGTGGAAGATTTCCTTCAGCACACCCAACGGCACCGCCAAACCGTCTTCACCGACACGCAATGGCTGTTTCCGCTTTGGTTCGGCATCGGCCCTTTCGGCTTCCTCGCGCCATTCCGGGGAAAATGTAGTTCTCTTCCACTCTCGTTCGAATATTTTCACCTGTAACATTAGCATGAGAAACCTCAAGAAAAGATAAAAAATCTCGTAACACAACAACAATCACTGAGACTAACTTTAAAATCACAGTCTCAAACGTTTCAGGTTTCGATACAAATCATTTGGGATTTGGGAATTTAAAACGGTCTGAATTATAAATTCCTTTTTTTTTAAATTTAAATATGTAATCTGATATGAAGATATTTATCAAGTTCAGCGCAAATTGAGAACGGTTTAATAAACACAACGTGACTGATAAAAAAATTGAAACTACATACATAATCTTCGGAAAACAAAAATCTGAAAAATTCATTTTTGAAATTTCTGATTTTATTTTTGATTACCTAATTACACTTCAGATCGTTTCAAAGTCGGCCAAACCTGTTGAATTACAACACTAACTAAGAGTAGCTTACCGGATGATCGTCAAACCGATGTCCCTCACCCAAAGGAGACTCGCGCAGCCGTCGCAAATAGAGCATCGTCTGACTGAGAATCTTCACGAATCGCAGCTGGAACCTCTTCTCCATGAGGCGCAGCATAAACGCCGCCGGTTTGCGGTCCAAGATCCAGTACCCGTGTGGCACACTGCATGTTCGCATGACGAAATGGTCCGTTGCAAGAGGCGGTGCTCTAAGCACTCTTACCGTTAGATCGCGAATCTGGCGGTCTGGAATTAGTTCGCGGCGCCAAGCACCGCCTATCATGACGTCTACTAGCGCCACATGCTGCAGGTGCTTGAATTTGCGGATCAACACCTTCCCTGAATACCATGCCCATGGGCGATGCGGGCCGTCCTGCAGCAGCACCTCCACCTTGTCTCCCTTGCACGGGATGCTGTATGGCTCGGTAGAGCAGTCCCAGATCTTCCCGAATCCCACCGCCACTGATTGCTGGGACGGGCATCCGAAATCCACGATCACACGCGGCGGAGTGCTGTCGCCCTCTGACTTCTCTTCCAAGCCGATGACATGACCGTGCTGCAGCAGACCGTTGATCTCCACATCCACAGAGTTCCATGCGTAAACCGATCGTTCGTCGTTCTCGTACAGATACATTCTTGCCTACCTAACTGAGAGACAGAAAAGGAGCTGTATGAAAATAATCACAAGGCTCACAAGAGAAAGATTTCCGTAGGTTGTATCGAGCACAGGGAAGGATACTGAACAAACACCAACAACAAAAAGGAGTCGAAGTCAAAGAGGTAAAAAATTGTGAACTAAGATTTGCAGACAACGGGTAGTTGCTGTCAGCTCCCCCAATCAGTTTGCTCATCGTAGCGGGGATGCGCCCTACAGAAGCGGTTACGTGAGGGCTGTTGCCTGTGAGCTGTCTGTCAATTCGAAAATTCTTAAGTCCGTCAATTTACATTTTCTAGCTTCTTTCTGTCGTTGGCTTTTAATAAGCTTTCTGCTTTACTTTTCTCCTTTTTCAAGCTATTTCTACCGTTGGCTATACGTGCGGTTCATTGGCTGCTTCGCAGCGGATTAGTAATGCACCTGTACGAAGATGCTGATGGTAAACGATTGGTGTGCGGCACTGTGCGTCTGGAACGCTGTGGATGTGGAAATCGACGGTGTCCTGCAGCACAGCAGTGTTTGTCTGGAAGAGAAGGCAGAGAACGACAACTCTCCGCCGCGTCTGATTGTGGATTTCGGATGCTCGACAAAACAGTCAGCGGTAGTCGAGTACGTCCACCTCTCGAATCTGCAACGACGCACGCGAAGGAATTGCCGTGGAGGTACTTCTGAACAGCGGCACGCATCGCTCCTGGAACTGGTATCCCGGAAAAACGCTGATTCCACGGTTCTGGGATCTGCATCATATGGCACTGGTGGAGGTGATGATGGACGGACAGTGTCATCGTGAACTGCTCCCTTACCAACAGATTCGCTATCCGACTGGAGAGGAATTACAGCGCCCGATCCTGACCGCGGACCATTTCGTCATGCAGGCGTGCAGTGTGCCGAACGGGTTCTGGGTTCTGTCTCGGTGCTTATCGACGTCGCTACTCCGACTAGTTGAACGAAAGTTGCGGCTGCGATTTGTGAAGATTCTCAATCAAACGATGTACTATGTACGACGGCGCCAAGAGTCGCTGCATGATGCACATGTGGTTGGTCGCTATTAGTGATTTGTTGAAGAATACACTAACTCTGATTATACAGTGATACCTCAACAATTTACACCCTCCGTTCTCGGCTTTCTGAATGTCATAGAGGGGTGTGTGTTACTCGTAAATAGGGACTCTGCGCAAGGTGTCCATGATCTTCCGTTCAACCTTTCTAATTTCTGTTGTCGTGGGCGGAAGTGTTTGAAAGCGCGAGAATGCCTCCCTTTGTCTGAACACTACCTCAGATTACTTCAGAACTTCAAAAAGTGGGATGATGTGCTGACGCCAGAAAGAAAACTGGGTCTTGGGGAATGCGGTTTGGCATTGCCTTTGGAAGTACTGAAGGAGGTCTTTCACTCACGGTGGACCGTCTGCGCTGCCGCCGTACTTGTCAGCTGTGGGACGCCCTGCTCACGTCGGCGGAGCTGTGTCAAGTGGTGCATGTATCGGGTCAGCAGGGCAGCCCATCACGACGACTGGTATGGGGTTTGAATTTCGCCGTGTACGCCTGCTTATTCCAGCGAATTACGTCCGCTACCCGCACCATCTGCATTGAAAGGGCTATAGAGCAGCACAATCCCGACTGGAACCTGGATCCTGCCGATGAGATTCTGGAGATGCTCAAGAAGGTCTTGGATGATGCCGGCTGGCGCATTGACCGTTTTATCTTGTACCGGCGGGTGATCGAGGTCGCCTCTCCACGGTTAGATAGTCAATGGAAATTTCGGGCGCTTTCCACCGATATTACCACGTCCTTGACCAAGCTGGCGTCGTGCTGTGGTCGTATGATTTTGAAAAATTATACCTTGGTACTGGTCAACTGGAGACTCGCGCCGTGGAGCACTTTCTGCATTCCCGCTGCCGTTTTTGCGATGGGGTATGTCGACGAAGCTCACATTGTGGATCTATTCGAGAAGCATATGTGCTGGGAGGGGCCGCCGATGAATTTGCAGTATATTGGTACACGGGACCAGTTCCGATTGCCCATGGCCAAGGCCAACGTGAATAACAACGAAGGGAAGGCTAGCCCATGGCCAACGTGAATAACAACGAAGGGAAGGCCAAGGAAGTGGTGAAGGTATCGAAAAGCCTGGTACATGGCAATTGGTGCCATGTACCAGTCTCACATCCTTTAACACAGCGCGAAACGCGCTCTTTTGCCTTAAGTTGCGTCCTGCTACCGGTTGTATAATTTTATGTATTTTTCAATGAATAATTCTGCAGATTCTCCAGGACTACCAATCCTGCGATCGGCGTCCTTGGGCACATTACCGCGGACGCCAGTGGAGCGCGAACACTGTGACGGACGTCGACGTGGGCAAACAGAACCAATTCTGCCTGTGTGCACTGTCGCGGTGCCTGCAGGATAAGGTTCCCATCCAACGATTGCAGGAGTGATTTCAGGGATGACGAGCCTCAGGAGGAATGAGCGTACACTTTGGATGGCTTGACCAGTAAACGGCAATAATTACCCTAATTTACGGCAAAAATAGTGATCATTTCCACTAATATGTAGCCTTGTAAAACTTATAATAACAATAACTAATAAGCCCCCAAACAGTTGTAAATCGTGACATGCACAGTTCTGTCCCCCACTGCAGAACTTGTACTGCTTACAAGTTACATATGTTACCGGCTTACAAAAACGCGATCGAAAGGTACCATTTACGTACGACTCACCAGAAAATACATATTTCAATTGCCGGCAGTAGAGGTGTGTTTGTGGAACTACGTAGTGCTGGTTGTTCATATACGAACTTGGTAAAGTGGCTAACACTGAAGCCGATAACATACTCTCGTAAGGAGAGGAGAAAGCTGCTGCAGCCGGGAAATTTCTTACTGGTATTGTGAGCCATGCCGGAGGGAAACTGGGCGCAGCTGGAGCTGCGCGGCTGGAACTTGCGCGGGTGGACCATCTGCCGAAATGAACGTCGGTCGATTAGTGATTATATGCGAGCGAAATATAACGCCGCCGCAGTGTTCGGACGCGGTTGCGAACCATAACCTATCCCTCCACGTTGTGTACTACAGTTTAAACAATTTGAAACTCAGCTTATCCACAACTTCAGAGGTTTCACACTTTGTACTACTCGCCGTCCCCTAAGTCGAAGTTGGACTAAAAACTGGGATCTTGGATTAAACCTAGTGAGCGCAGTTACCTGTGAATTTTGGTCAACAGTCCTGCAGATTCTGATAGTTCATCTTCACATTTCGGCTCAGATTGTTCACCTTTTTTGCAGATTGTTCACCTTTACATACAACGTCCACTAATAAACGGCAGACACCGGCAGCCAGATTGGTAGGCACGGAGAATTCTGCACAATGATTTAGGAGTTTATTGAACTCTTTCTGTTGTGATAATTAAGCTTTTTTCATTGTTTGGTTAACTTGCAAATGTTTATTGATTTGTACTCTGCCGTCGTTTGTCAATAAAGTGTGGTATTTAGGAGTCAGTCAGTAGATTAAATACGAGTACATCGCACCTGGCATTTGGTACATCTGTATGCGTTTAAACTCTTTGTTACAACGGTTAACTGAACACCTGGCTAAAATTCAGTGATTTGATATTGGTACACCGTTCGCAATATTCGAAGCTTTAACGAAGGCGGATTCGAGAAGAAGGTCTTGCTTTACGATCACTTGGTATCTTATGCCGTAACTGGGGAGAAGCGTTCATAATGGATGATAATCATATTTATTACAAGATTAGATCGAACACACCATGAGTGGAAAATAGCGCTCCGAGATTCGAACTGAACAAGCCAGCGAGGCTGCCCAAACATAAAAACCGCGAGACGAGCTTAATATTCATGCAAGCACTAAAACCAATGTAGCTAATCGCGCTCCACCATGAAGGGACGAATTAAGGAAAGTCACGCGCCCTGTTGTGTAGAAACACGCTATTAACGCTAAGCTACAAGCATTTTGCGCACTTTATTCCTCGCCGTCCTCGGATTCGCTGTCGTCGGATTCGCTGTTATCGGATTCGGACTCGGAATTGCTGGACTGGGCGTTGTCATCCACCAATCCTAGCCGGCAGAAGTGGCTCCATAAGGCAAACCGACACAACCGGTTCAGCTTGGTCAAATCCACGCTGGCCACATTGTCCAGCGTCCACTGGTGATTTCGATAATGAGACGGGCGCGGATCGCAGGTTTGAAAGTCATGTAGAATCTGCACAATTGCTCACATGTTAGACCCATTACTGCTACAAGAAATAAGTCAAGTTTAAGCAAATACCATACAAAAATAATGGCTAAGCTAAAGTTCCATCAAGACCCTACGCTGACAACTGTAGAAATGCAAGGAGCGATTGGTGAATTCTAAGTAAGACGGAGGACGGGACTGTTAATGTACCAATAGTATTATGTACCAGAAAAATCAACATGCTTTTTAAAATAAATGTCAGCATGCCATATCAATACCGTACCTTCTGCACTTTCTTGGCCTTCTTTTTACTATTGAGCAGACTGGCCATGAACTGGGCAAGACGCTGTTCATCCAACGGCGGCCCATCCCAGTGGAGACACGCTTCCAAAACGTCTACAACGTGCGCCGTACCGATCTGTCCTCGGGTGAAGACAGCAGCGGGGATGCGGAACCACATCAAGAGGTCGTATTCTTTGTCTAACAGTTTGACGACGCAATCCTTCCAGATCATACGATCATAGCATGACTCCGGCTTGGACAGGTGCGCGACTATCTGGTTGGAAATCGCGCATAATTCTGGTTCAACAAACGTGACCAATCGCCGGGGTAAAATGATACGGTGGATGCGGAAGCCCGGCTGGTTTAAGAGGCTCTTTATAAGGTCCAGCGCATCCTCGGCATCGTCCGGGATACTGTTGGGCCACGGATAAAAAGTTCTTGTGCCCCAAATGCAGACCGTGCGGGTGGCTGGCGTGATGTGTTTAAAGACGCAGGCGTACGTGGCGTAGTTATCTTTCACTTCACGCGGAGGGAAGGGCTGGCCTGCTTCCCGCGATACATGCACATCTTGGCCCATTTCCGGCGACGAGAGAATGGCTTCCCACAGCGAGCAAGTGCGTCGGCAGCGCTGTCGGTCGATGGTGTCCAATGACAGGAAGATCTCCCTCAACACTTCCAAACACTTCCAAAGGCAACGCCAAACCGCGCTCACTGACAATCAACGGTTTTTTCGCTTCGGCTCACCATCATAGATTTCCGAAGCTGTAATCTGTTTTGGTAAAGAATACACGTTGAGGGTAAACGTGACTATAGCTAGTCTTACGAAGTCCCTACTTACGTTACTATTCTGACTCTTCGTCCTATCGAGTGATTTATGGTCAAATGCACGTCTTGCTGTTTCGAACACAGCTCCCTGTAGTAAAAGAAAGGCGAAACCATCAACACTTTTCAAGATACGAGTAAGAAGATAACCGAACAGCAATCATCAGTCACAACTTACACTTAGTCTAGTTTTACCGTCCAAGTAAGACCAGTTGAACCGCGCCAAAAAAAAGCATCCTTTTACTGAGCACCTGAACAAATCGCACTTCAAAGCGCTTCTCAACTTTTCGGAGCAGCAAAGCCGCGATCGATGGCTGCAAAACCCAGTAACCGTTTGGCACTCTGCAAGCCCGTATGACAAAACCGCCCGCTGTCAAGAGTTTTGGTTTGACGGTTTCTTCCGGCAAATTGCGAATCTGTCGGTGGGGAAGTAGCTCACGACGAGACTGTCCGCCCGTCATCACCTCCACCAGCGCCATGTCCTGCAAATGCCGAAAGCGGCTAATCAGCACTTTCGCGAAATACCATTTCCACGTGCCAGCCGATCTGTCATGTAGCAGCACCTCCACTGTGGCTCCCACGCAGAGGCTGCTAGAGCTGCTGGATCGATCGATGCTGCAGCCCCAGATCTTCCCGTATGGCACCTCCACCGCTTGCTGTGACGGGCATCCAAAATTCACGATCAGGCGCGACGGAGCGCTGTCGTTCTCATTATCAGTCAGGTTGACGACGTGTCCGTGCTGTAGTTGACCGTTAATCTCCACATCCACTGCGTTCCACGCGTACACCATTCGTTCAGCATTTTGGTACAGGTGCATTCTTGTCTGTAATATTCAGTCACTTATTTTAGGATCCATGCTTAGAAGAAGAATTCACGTTTTGGGTCAAAAAAAAAACCGAAACGAAAATAGATAATGGAAGTTTTCAAAACTTTTTTAAAGTTTAAGCCAAATCACGCTGCCACAACAGGCGGTTTCCATCTGCGTCGTGCACTGAAAATCTTTGCAATTTGTTTATTAAAAGTTTAGAACGTTTAAGTTAAATAAGAACTGATTGCCCAAGGAATACACGGTAGTCTGAAGGAAACCACTCAACCCATGTGAGGAATGCGCGGCGTCCCAGGCAGTGGGAATTGTGCACGTGTTCACAGGCACAAGCAAAGAATAAAAATTTAATATTAATTCTAATATTTGGTAAAGCTACCAGTCGACACAGAAAATAAGAATTCAGCTCGTTCTGAGCCAATGCGGAAACTACCAGCAACAAGCAAGTAAGTACTACAGTAATTGTTGCTGATTGTGCGCAAAGTGAAAAGCTATCGGGCAATTAAAGGATCGATAGCATTTAAGGCAGCTGCACTTCGATATTCCTGAACAACCGGTCATTTTCACTACCAGCCTACCACTAGAAGTATACATTTTGAGCAACCAGTACCCAGCCAGGTCCAGCCTCACCAACTAGTATTGATCCAATCACACAGATGCTTTGATTACTGGGCAGTACCATCTTAATTAGGAATCCATGCTCTCTCTTTATCCATCTTAACAATCCATGTTTTGCTCTTATTCAGCGGGATTCAGCCAGTTGGTATTTTTTACTAGTAACTAAAAAAGGAGGATATTTCATACGGGGGAAAATGCCACGACTTTCTGAGTTTTTCTGATTGGGGTATAAAAAAATTTTGCACAATTTTAACCGGTTTTGTTTTCAATGGCCCCGTCTTAATCTTTCAAGAAAATCTTTGATGTTTCTAGTACAGATAGCTATAGAAATTGTTTATCGAATCCGTCTAACCGGTACGATAATCAGCTTACGGTACGCCAAAAGAAATTTTGTTCGGGCACCCAGTACTGTATTGCATATGAGTAGCACAAAATGAAACATTGTGTTCATGTATTGCAAATGCAATAATATATCCCGTAATAATCATTGAAGTCACAGTAGAAGATATACCGACCACGGACCCATTTCGTTTCTCTCCGTTCTAAAGTTTTTACGTCTCAAATAATAGAATAAGATATTTATTGTCTTCGTGCGATTGAATTTTACCCATGATAGCAGTGGTACTGCACAAATTTGCACAATAGAAGGCACGATGGAGAACGTCGAAAACGTTAACAATACACAGTTTAAAATAGGTTTTGATGGCCTGAACGAGAAGAGGAAAGTACGGTTTCGATAAACTGGGCGCTTACATATCACTATGTTAATTTACATTCCGTAGCCAAAATCAATTTCCGGTCTGCACACGTCTATTGCTGCCGACATTCCGGTACTTCTTGCCCACGTCGTCGGTACCGGTCACGAGAATCTCTGGCCACTGACAGTACATTAGCCATGTGAGCATCAAAGGGGTTATTCCGGTTCAGAATGTACTCCATATCGCCCATATATATCCGCGGCGACAGACTGGAGGTGCTCCTGTCCACAAGTACACTTCCATCCTCCGCCACGTGAATATTGTAAGGGCAACGCGGCGCGGCCGAAAAGGGAATGTCGGGTTTGATGGTGGCGTGCTTGTACTGATAGATATTGCACAGCTCCTCTTTCGTCAGCAGTCCCGACTGTTGTGCAACGACTCGATTAACTTAAGTTCGTTTTTATGACTTTAATTGTACTGACCGTTCCGGGGCCGTTAGCTATTTGCGCGTCATCCATTAAAGGAAAGCGTACAAGGAACAATGTCGGTCCCAGCATTTGACGTCGGTTGGCGTCGGTTGGATCTAGATCACTTCGCCAGCAGGCATTCCGCGCCCATCTGTAAGCCAAAAATCGAAATTCCATAAAACCGTCTTTACTACAATTCAGCTGATTTCAAGGTACGCGCTTTCCGCGGGAACTAGACGAAGTATTCACAAACAATTTGCTACAGCTTCACTTTATGTACATGCATAGTTTGCGAATATAGTACAGTAACTTGCCAAGCGCTATAGCAAATTTAATGTCTTACACTCAGATTGTAGACAATACCAACGTCTCAAAGCGTACTTTTCAACGGCCGCATAAACGACATTCTCATTCACCGGTAACGAATCACGTTTAAGGATCATTTGTAGCATTTCCTGCTCGACTCGGATAAACCGTTCCGATTGCAGTATTTCTCTGGCGTATATGTCCACAAGTTCTAAGCACTTGTTGACCACATTATCCACATCCAACAATTGTACCTACGGCACAAGAACATTTAAATTTGCTGTTCAATACCAGAATCGGCTTTATTCGCATACATTTTCAAGTACATCCAGACAGTTATCTTTATCCACTTTTGCGGTGATAAATGCCGTACATAGATCGACCAGCGAAGGGATGCCGTACTTTTTTGCACAGTATAACGTGGAGAAGACGGTTTCCCAATTGAGATCCTCCACAGCATCGGTATACAAATATCTAAGAAACAAACGTATCAAGCAAAAGTAACTCCGAGAAGAGCACATAATGCTAATATAATCGTACTTTAGCATGTTGTCAAACGCTTCCGGTGGGATTTCCGGAAGTTCTATTACCGCTTCGCATTTCTCTGGCAGACTTCCGTTGAACATGGCATTGAAGACTTCACTGCTAATACTTAACACAAATCTACGAAGAAACACTTGTGGATATCTGTTAGTTTTCCGAAACTAAGCCGTAATTTATGGGACTTACTTGTGAGCGTGAAACGTCTTGGCCTCGCCATATTGATGTCCTACGGCAAACTGCACATCGCTCTGTTCACCGGTAGTCAGAACATGGCGTATACGCTGGGCGATCCCCAGAACGGTTCCCTGCCATCCCCAGATTGCAGTGTCTTCCGGCGGAGTACTGGGCATGATTAAAATAAGACGATTTATTTTGGCGTTGAATCGGCATGATAAAGTACAAGCGAGCAGTCGGCGGCTCAGTGCTACTTGTATGTTTTACGCGCAGTTTACACATGATCGGTGAGTGTACATAGCGCATGAATCATTTCTCGTGCGTGCGTATCGAGTTTTGAAATCATCAAGCTGATCGATAAGATAAAGCAAATCATGTTTGCTTTCTTGTATTACAGTGAAAACTAGGTCTTGCTCACTTAAAAGATTAATTTGTTGGCAATAACATTTTGAGCGATGTCTATGCGCTAAATCCAGCCATCTATACCGCAAGAAGCGTAAAAACCGATTGTATTTGGACTCTGAATTTGAAACCGTGCCCGACTTTTAAGCAATTTTCTGAACTCATAATAATCATAATAATGTTTACATTATGGCTGCGTGCACGGGTAAACACGGGTGTTGGCTGCGTGCACGGGTGATATTTTTGGGTCCGCACGGGTGTTGGCTGGGTGCACGGAGTTTGGGAACGGGCGTTGGCTGCGTGCACGGGTAACTCATTCAGGTTTTTTAATTTAAATTTTAATATATAATTTTGATTATAATTTTTTTACATAATTACTACTTATGGAAACTTACTTCCTTAACCCATAATTTTTAACGACAAAACAGTTAAGTACCTACAGCAAGTAGAAAAATGTATTGCGAAACTTACTGTGCATAGCAAGTACAGTATATGTTACCACCTAATGCTTGTTAGTGCAGTACCATGAAGTTCTTGAAAGTCACAGAAACAAGAGCCGAAAACATGAGAATTTCTGTAATACAGGCTACAGCCATGGCTACCGCGTTTGTTTTCGGGATGGATCATGGAACGGCCTTTTTGAGCAGGGTCTGATGCGAACACACTTGGTGGCCGCTTATGAACCATGCAGTTGACACCATTTCTACTTGCATCAAGCCGCATAGAAAAAATCTGAGCCGTAAAACAAAGTATCTGTAACTATTTCTAGACTATGTATGGCACATGAAAAAATACGTCAGAAACCGGTCGAAAAAACTGTTGCGGTTGAATAAGACCTGGAGAACTGTAAATGTTACGACCAAAATTCGAAAATCATAAAAAATTAAAAAGCCGTGCACCTAGCCAACACCCGTGTCCGAACTCCGTGCTCGCAGCCAATACCCGTGTTTCCCCGTGCACGCAGCATCGACCTAATGTTTATTGTCCTTTGCACGGAGCAGTTGTCCCTCTAGGCTACAGACACAGAAGCCCAATAACGAAATAATAGAAAAAACTGAAACGTGTAATCACAATCGACAACATTAGCCAGAACAGTCAGCAACAGTACCATTAGGATGCATACAGAGTACAAGCGAAAGGAGTAGACATTTTTATCTTGGTTGCGATAAGTTGACGCTATGGTGGAAACTGGAAAACGGGAAAACAAAATGGAGGGAGACGATCGTGCTGGGGTCGATGCATAAAACTAAAACCCACGTGTAGTTAGGTTTTTAAGTTTTCAAAAAGATTTTCAACAGAAATCGTGGGAAAAAGGAACCACTCCCTGATTTAACCACGATATAGCCAAACTACAGATACGTGCCGAAAACCAGCATCATTTGTTCTTGTTACTCGTCTCTGTTAAAGACAGCGCTTCACTTCGCTTAAGAAGCCCGGAACAAATAGTGGGTTGTTTTTAAATAGTCGTCCTTGGAACTTGACCTCGCACTGTCGTTAGTGAAATCCATTGGTTGCGAGACAACCACATAAAGAGCATGAAATCTTTTTTACAGTATGACGGACGGCAACTCACTCGAAATAACCTCGAAATCTTGTATCAAAAAACATGGTTTTGGACAATGGGAAACTGACAGAGCCATCCCGTTCACAAAGTTACCAAACATCTCTTAACCTTAAAGTGATGATACTGTGAAGGTTATCTGCAATGAGAACCTCATAAATGCAAGTTGGATAAAAAAAACAAACTATTTTCTGTGGAATTGTTAAAGCGCAGTAGGTAATAACAGGCCTAAAAAAATTGATTGCGCGCTGATAAGACATTTCCAGGAATTTGGATTCACACGAATCGGGAAGTCGCTTTGTCAAGGTATAAAGTATGTAACTAAAGCCGAGCACACCACAATTGTCTAAGCAGTAAAACGGTTAGAAAATACCGGCTAGCCGATCGTATAGAGGGGAACAGAGCTTTCACGGTTGCCGGTATCGCTGGTCGATGCTAGGCGCCAGGAATACTGGAATTTTTTAATAATAGCTCTGATTACGTTGTCGGACGGGGATTTCCACAAATTCCAGGGGCTCTCCATGCCCAACGCGACAATGGAAAACCGGAAACTGAATATCCTTAGTCTGCAAAACATAGGTAGCGTAAACTTGTCGTTAGCGAAGAATTGCTCTATTATAGGCGCCGGTAAGTGAATTAGTGTGCCGTACAAATGGCGAGTAGTGAATGTGCCACCGTCATATCCCGTCAGAGTGATATTCAGCCAGTTGTTGTTGAACTGCAACGGATTCGCCTCGTTAAATGCCGCAAGAACCACCTCCAGAACTTCAGCTAGAATCTGCAATCAAAGCAACAACAGCTTAAAATTAAGCGGATGACACAGTCATGCCAAGCGTGGCTATGGCAAGGTGCACAATCTCGATACCGTAGAATTGACGAATCAGTCTCCTCGTCGTCGCCACCTTTGTTGATGATAATATCCAGTGTGTAACGCTTCGAAAATGTAGGCAGTGTGTGCTGTGCGGGAAGTGGATTTGCATCTTTATGGTCTAGATCGCGTATTCGGATCGGATACGGTGTGGGTGTTTCTTGGATCAGTTTCCCGTACAACGCTTTGTACAGTGGCTTGTAAAGTGGTAAATTGGGATTTAATGACCACGTTGATAGCTTTTGTTCAAATACTAGCTGGTTGTCTTCGCTGTCGGTGAACAGCTGCATCGATATAGTCATTCCATCCTCACTTAAGCTAACCGGCAAACATCCAATGAACGGATGATATCCTTTTCCTGTTCTCTTCCCTTCATGTAAAGGATATGGCAGCTTCGCCAGCTCATCTGAAAACGAGGTTACGGTATGAAGTACGTGGAGTAAGAGGCTGAAGTTGTCCTGGCACAAAAGCGGCACCAAGCCTTACCGTATGATACATAGCTCGTAAAATTGATAACAATCTTCATGCATAGCAATCCTGCTGCGTTTCAGCTAACTGGTCAAATGTTTCATACCGTAGCTTAAATTAACGTCATTGCGCCGTTGGCTGTTTCCTAATCAACTTACCCCCCAAAAGGAAGCCCGAGGATTTCTTCAGGAGCGACCGAGCAATCGTGGCTATAGCATCAGTTGTGCGGACAAGATCCTGAAAGTGGACTGGAGTGTCCAGACTCCAGTCTAATCTGAAACGACGCGTCACTGCTCCCCATCTTATACGCTAAATACCGCTGCGGCTCCCGGACGAGCGGCAGGGCCATGATGTGGTGGTACCAGGAAGGGAGTACGCTCCCGTTTACTTTAAAGAGAACCGGAAGGATCCTTCGCATCGAGCTGCAAAAAGCCGCATTAGAAATGCAAGGAAAGGTACGCTTCGACAGGCTTTGCGTTCAGACAATCTGGTTTGGTAACCGGGCACTCGGCTGTACACAGGTGCAGCGAGTGAGTGGCCATCTCATTCAGCGATCTGTCAAATGCCCGACTGCACGGCTGATTGAGATATCGCTCATGTACAGCTGTGTATCCGGTTCGCAGACCAGTACAGCCAAATCTTCCGAACGCGAAGCCCGTCGAAGTATCGTGCGCGCAGCTGACTCACATCCGTTCGCCATACAAGGTAATGAAACCCGGTTCTTCGTTTCGTGACCATGGCCTCTCTACATACGTATAGTAAGCCCTGTTGAAGGGCCGGCCGGGTAAAATCTTTAAAACTTGAGATTTCTGCATAGCGGACAAAGTAATAAGTGAGGCTTGTTGAGAATTGTAGCACGAGAAATCCAGGTCGTTGTCCGTCAGGTTCTTTATCTCCTCCAGTTTTTCCATTGCACTGGACGTATTGCCCATATCAATCAGCCAAGCGTGATAGATTGGCCCGACATGCAGCGTGATATTCTCGTGGCGGAGGGCAGCTGCCAGACGGTCGGCGCTGATCGGGACCATTCGCTGCAGCCTGGTAGGAACTGATTCCTTAGATGTTGATAGCACTATGGCGTACACATACAAACCAACCTGATCCCTGCGGACATGAATCACGCGGTATAGGGCCTATAGGCTACTGCTTTTACAAATAAATGAGCAGACTGAAGAGTTGATGAGTTAAAATTGTACCCCTTTATGGAAAACCATTCATTTTCCTTTGCATCTATTATCGATGCATGGATCTTGAAATGCTTCGAAGGAAATAAAAAATCTTGAAGCGCCATTTGAGCAGCCTCTGTAAACTGAAAGAGATCGAATTCATGGTGATCTTTTATTTCCCTTCATAATTCTTACGGCTACAGCCAAACTACTTTACAATTAGAGATACAAATGTGCACTTCGTCTCATTCAAGCAAATGGTCGTTTTATACTGTACGTGTATGCAAATGGTTGGTGTATAATGTCATTTTGCAAAAGCCAGTGTAAGATCATGTTGCTTCATGGCGGATGACAGCAGTCTGATAAGCAAAATCACAACAATAGTTATGGTCAAATGTATTGTTAGATTAAAAAACTGAAAGTGAACTTTTGTGATAAAAGCGAAACAAAAGATTTCGCTAGATTATAGGAACTTTAATAAATACACGACTGTCGCACAGGATGACCGGTAAACTTAGGTAAAAAATGCGCGGAAAATTTTTTTGGCATAAATGCGCATTTTCGAAGGCTACCATTCTTTCCAAGAGCTCCTTTAATTTACAAAGTGCAGAGCTGCTTTCGAATTCCTTAGTGTATAAGGAAATCACCTACCACACCTCTAACAGGTACTCCTTAACCTAAAGTCATTTTCTTCGGAAATGCACTGATATACAGATGTACATGTATGTACTCGTATCTGCAAATAAAGGCTGAGAGAGCATGTTTGTAAACTTGTTTGTAAAGCCTTACGAATCGGTTTCTCCCACGCGGCATTCAATGCCCGTTCAAGTTTTTCCGGTGCCAGATCTTCGTCGTACACCGCCATTTCGTGAACGCCGTAGTAGGCAACCACGTTCAAAACGCCCAGCTTTTCAATTAAGTTCATGGTTTCCCTAAATCTGTAACTTGGCACCATGAACACCGGTTCATGACGGACATCGTCGAGTGTGGCGGTTCTTGGTTCATCGGAGTCACACAGGTTTGTAATGACATTGTCGCTCCCCTTCATGGGACTCATCGATTCAACGTTTTTGGGTTGTGACCCTGCAACGTCAATTTCCTTAAAGCGAGTGAATGTGATAAGGTTCTACAGAGTAAAATTTATAACAGTTAACAGCTATATGCAACAGCATTACAATTTACCTGTACTATCAGATACCGGCAGCGCCGGGTCTTTGTTGATAGTCACCTTCCACGGCTTAACGTACGGCGAATCCTGTGCGTGAGTAATGCGTACTAGACTCAGGACGAAAGCAACGGAAAAGCTGAGCATCACTTTGTAGTCCGACGACATACTGTATCTGCTACAGTGGAATGTCAGACTAAAACATCCTTTCTGGAGCGATTTTAGTGGCTCTTTATGGTAGGAACCACGATTTGTACTAAGTTACGAGCAAAAAATGTTTGCAACACCTTCAAAGGATCCTTGTGAACATACTCGCAAAGTCTTTCTGTTGATTGTGACGTGACTACCTTTAAGAACACATGCTCTGCAGAAATAATTACAGCGGGTTGCTTTAGCACACTTGCATGAGTTGTATACGCATATGGAAATAACCCGATTTCCGCGACGGATGCGCATCACCCATGGAAAAGCCGCAACTTGTGACCGGTCGCTGCATTCGGTAAACAATTACCGAAAAGGACTTTGAATCGAGAATACCAGATAATATCTGTTGCTTGAGCGAAAACAATCTGACAGTTCAGGAGCAGTAGTGGTCAAATTTAACGAGTCAGCAGTAGATGAATCAGTTAAAACAGTGCAAAAAATATGTGACATAAATGATCATCCGCGAAAGTAAATATCCAACAGTAGTCACTATTGCGCTCATAAAATAGCGAAAAGCAAAAAAGGTGAAAGAATGCATTTTCCTCCCTTGGGAAGATGGTTCAAGAAGCATCGCTACTGCTGAGGAGAGTTCTGGAAAATTAAAAACCAGTAGAACGCACTAATAAAATTAAAGCGGAATCTGTTTAAGCACTGCATGCATGATACATTTGCATAATTATGTGATTTCCACTTCCCACTCACTCATCACTGTACAGGGTGCTTGAACATTAAAAGCCTTGTATCAAAATAAACGACCACGTGGATACCGAGTCCGATTATGTAATTGCATATTTGGCACGAAAGCTCGTGAGTGATTCGCCCATTGACCGCTAACGTAGTTGCCGACCCGCACAGCTCCAACGAGCGGAAGCGGACGTCGCGGGAACGAGGAGAACATCAGCTGCGACTTCACTGTTGCATGTTTGCATTGGTAAATGTCGCCCAGTTCTTCCTTCAGCAACAGACCCGTCTAGATAAGCAGCCAGATAGTAAATTCTAATGGAAAGCGTCATAGACTCATTACATACTCAACAGCTGAAACCATAACAATACGTGCCTTTCCTGGTCCGTCGACAATTTCTTTGTCAGTAATCAACGGAAAACGAATAAGGAATAAAGCACCTCCCAGTACCTCTCGTCGATTCGAGGCCGTCGACTCCAAGTTGTTCCGGATGCAAACATTCTCCGCCCATCTAGAGGAAACGTGACCGCTGTGTAGAAGCACAAACTGACAACAAGGACAGCAGCAAATAAATATTATTGGGGGATTGTGGTCAAAGGAAGTAATTAATTCATCAAGTTAACACGGCAAGTAATGCATACTTCTCCACGGCATTGTAGACTGTATTTTCTTCAATCGCAAGTGTATCTCTCGTCAGCAGCTGTTCCAGAGTATCTTTCTCGATGGTGGAGAACGCTTCCGAACGGAAAACTGCTTGACTAGATGAGTCTACCAACTCGAGGCATTTGGATTGAACTTTTTCGGCACCAAGATGCAGCGCCTGTGTAGAGTGTAAGTTAAACGCTCACAAAATGATAGAAATGTATAAATTGTTCCGCTGATTGCAAAACGCGTTCGCCAGAACTAACGTCTTCGAAATTTGCGAGACAATTGTCGACCGTGAGACTGTTAATGATGCAGTCCGAACAAAGATCCAGCAACGATGGAATGCCGTATTTCTTTGCGCAGTAGAGCGTTTGAAAGGCATTATCCCATCGGAGATCAGCCATTTGGTCAGTATACAGATAACTGTAAGAAATGCATTGCATACGCGTACTATCCAGAATGCGAAAATTTTGAGCACCATCAGCTCATCAGTTTTTCTGGAAGTACATTATTGTATCTTAAACTGCTCAGAGTGTTTTGCGATTTCGTATAATTGCTTCGTTATTTGAAAAGGTTTGCTGTAGTGAACGGCTTCGTATACCTACTTAGCAATTCATTAATCGCATTATATTATTGCAGTCCAATAATATAATGCGATTATCGAAACACAGATATTGTACAAACATAAGGCGAAATCACTTGAGCATGTTACCGAAAGCCTCGGATGCTATTTCAGGGATTTTAACCACGCCATTATCAGTTTCCGGTATACTTCCGTTAAACATGGTATCGAATACCTCACTGCTGAGGCTTAGCAGTAGCCTGCAAAATTTCGTAAAACTGAACACTTAGCTGCTCTGAGTCTTAGTAGATTCATCGCGCTAGGCGGTTTGGAAAATCGGACTAACTTGTGCGCTCGAAAGGTCTTCGGTTGACCATGATCGTGACCGACTGCAAATTCAACGTCACTCAGTACACCCGAAGTCAAGGCATGCATTAGGCGGTTGTTTATCCCGGTTAAGGCTCCTTGCCATCCCCAGATTGCAGAGGTTCCATGCTGTGACATTATGAGATAAACTGAGAGCAAAACAACAATAAGTTCCGTCGTGTTGTTCAAAGTTAAGCTACCTATATTTCCGTGAAAATTAAAAACATTGACGACTAAGTAGATATGGTGCAGGAAGGGAACTTGTTAGTTCGGTTATGTTGTTTGATATCTATCAGTTAGATGGCTTAGGCATGCGCCAGTTTGTCGACAGTGCTGCATCCAGCTTGGCACTAGAAACGGTATAAACTAGGCATATTCGATAGCTCATACAATTTTAAACGATGTATAAACATGTACAGTGAGTGAGCTTGTAGAAATGCTTTGGAGATAGTATTGTACATTGTTATCGGTCTTCCAAATCTGAGTACTTTGAAATGATAGGCATATCTTATCGCTAATTGTTGCTGGCTTTCCTAATTGCTGTTAATTCCGACGCGCAAATAGACTGCAACGAACTGGGCCAAATGGTGTTGATACCACCACCCGGCTCTGGGTCTTAACACCAAATTGAAATCCACACAAGTAACGTACGAGTAATTGAAATCCACACAAGATTAGGGATATCTGTTTTATCCACTGGCAGTCGAGACTTTCGGAACTTTCGGAGCGCCTTTTGTTGAGCTGGTCCGTTTCGTCGGCAGAAAGATCCGTGGAATTACCGGAGAACCTCGGTCTACCGCTTTTTTGAGACAACGATTAAGTCTAGCTGTAGTCCGTGGAAACGCAGCAGCTGTTTTTGGTACATTGCCTGCACGTCCGAAGGCCACGAGTGGCTCTAACGATTTTGGATGTTTTTTTAATGTTTAAATTCGACCATTTTTATTAGTGTAGATCGGCGCAGGCATTTTGTTATGTAAACTGGCTTTTGTCGAAATAAAAACACAGAAATGTAATTGAAATTGAAATCGTAATGTAATGTAATTGCAATTGAAATTTACACACAAATAATGACACAACTGAGTCGGTGAACTGACATGTACTGTACTGGCGTCCCTTAGTACACATCGGTACTACTTTACTACTTCTACCCCAAGGCTTAGGCTTACTCCTTACTACAGCTCCTTCTCGAGTCATGACCCCGAGTCCGAGAGAAATCTCCGGCAGAGAACTTTGACCGCGACTTGACATTTCGACGTGACCGCGACTCAGTGACGTAGCTCACCCTATTGTTCTAATGTACTAGCTGACCCTTTGTTCTTATTGGTCCACGTGTGTGAATGCTTTCTAGATGCTCTCTTTAGATTAGTTCACATGTACGTAGTCGTAGCTCATTGGTTAACGTTTAGATCTCTATTGTTCTCAGATCCGTACCTGCGCGTACGTAGAGCCAGCGCCTGCGAGTGTCGCCCACAGAAATGTCAAGAGTTGTAATCCCAACAAAAGTAGAGGCTTGTACTCGATCTGATTTACTTCAGGCTTTTGCTCTCGTCTTCTCTTTCCAAGTGAGGCTGTTCTAACTGACCTCTGGGTGACCTTCCACCTGGTGTCAGGGCTCATCCCTCTATCTCGTCGACGTGCATTATCATCTTCGGATAGTCTCGTGACATAATAGGTTTCCCACTAGATCCCACTTGCATCCTTTGACCTTTCGGTCCCTTCGATCTTCATACCCTGTAGCGCCAGGTTGATGTATTTCTGATACGCTTCGGCTACCATCTAGCGTCGGACAGGTAACGTATAACTTCCTCGCATCTCTTGTGTTTTCCTTTCGTGCTTGCAGCAGGGTTCCGGGTTCCAGTCTTCTTCATCTTCGCACATCATCAAAGACTTGTACATCATCTTTAACTTTCGTTCCATGAAATACATTAGAAGTTGAGATAAGAGTAGCTCTATTCCCGATTGTGTCGTGGTCTGGGAAGTGCAAACAACAAACAACATATTTATTTCTATTGCACGACACAACTGACACAGGTACTGTGTAATTCAGTATTTGTGTGTAAATTCTGCACAACTTATTATCGACGCATCCAAATTTGTCTGAGTTCACACTTTTCGAGACGAGTTGTTTTAGTTAGGCATTACTTTGCATTTGACTTTTACACGTACGGGTTGAATGTGCAGATTACAAAATTATGCTAAACCGGCGGTCTCTTACAAGATGAACTGCTTTTAGCAGTTCAGATTACGTTAATTTTGCGACTAGTGGCTTACAAATTTTATTACGTAGGTTTTTGATTTCTTGTATGAATCTTTGATCCATACTTGTGATGGGCACATTTATGTGTAAATGTCAAACGCAAAATGTTCTCTTATTTTTGTCTTGCCATATGTTTATGTCTTGCTGTACCGTATATTGTATTTGCAATGTTTTTACCAAAACTGGCGGAAGTGAATTTCTGACCTTCCGTACAATCAGACGATAGGCAGACAGCCTGACAGAGCATTTTTTTGGAATTTTTACGACTGCCGAGGCGTACGATTTTTATCAGTTGAGTAACTAAAGACCCGAAATAGTCAAACAAACAAGGACATAGCCCGTAATAAGGGAGATCCTTAGTTATTAAATACCGTAGCCAGCACAACGCTATCTCCATCGTCGGAGTCACTAGCGGACGCCAAACGCCACGAGTACTTGAACTTTTTAATGATACTCCGGAGTACGTCATATCTTGGGGACTTCCACAGATTGAGCTGGCTATCCGTTCCTACCTTCCGTACGGCAAACCGGAAGCTGAGCACATTCTCCCTGTTCAACAAACATTGTTTAAGGGTCGTATATCAGCTGGAAATTACATTGTTGGCCGTAGTCATACAGATCGCGGCTAGTAAAGTTGCTGGCGTATCCGGTCAGGGTGATATTCAACTGGTTGTCGTTCAGCTGGAGAGGGTTTGCCTCGTTGAAGCCCGCGACAAACAACCCTACGACTTGCCCGAGAAACTGCAAGAAAAACCAAGCGTTAAGCCTAACAATAACTTTGGAATTTGTTTGCTTTTGTTGAAAGGTTTGTTTCATCTCGGTTTACCGTTGAACCAAGCACTACGGCCTCGTCCCTGCTGTCGTCAATGATCAGGTCTAAATTATACCGGTCGGAAATTGGAGGTAAGGCCATCAGTGGGGGCAGAGGGTTCTCCATTAAATGCTCCGGATCATCGATTCGGTTCCGAAATGCAATGGTCTGGATTCGTTGTCCATACAAAGCTTTGTAAAGAGGCTTGTAGAGTGGCAAATTAGGATCCAACGGAAATTTATTTACGTTCAATCGCTCATTCTCTCGACCGACGTAAAACTGCACCGATATGGTCATTCCGTCCGGACTAAGACCGACCGGAGTGCAACCCACAAATCGTTTGTATGCTAACATGACATTAGTCGTCAGCTCACCTACAAATAACATATTATTTTACAGGAGTAATTCGCAGGAGTAATGGTACCACATTTCTAAGCCTTCTCCAAGATATCAACCGAGCAAACGCAGCGGTGCCGCTCGTGAGACCTAACGCCGCGAGATCGTTTTTGTTATTGCGCGGCGCTCACGCACTTCTAATGTAGAAGCCTGAGGACTTCTTTAGGAGTTGTCGAAGGCTGTTCGCTATGCCGTTTGCAAAGCCGAGCAGATCCTGAAAGTGGATGGGATTGTCCAATTTAAACTGGAACGGTGAGTCACATTTCTCCAGCTCGTAACCGTATTCCGCGAGGATTGGCAGCTGAGTGCGATATCGCAGGGTTCCCTCGTGTGAAGTAGGTATCACGCTTCCATTGACCTTGATCAGAAACGGTAGAACCGTTCGGGTCATGCTGAAAAGAAATGGCACTGTATATATACTGCTTGCATTTTAAAGCGGATGTAGTCAGAGTATTTTTCGGATTCCGGTAGACACACTCATAAATATTGGGTGACCTTCCAACATTCTCTAGCCAGCACACCCAGAAGATCCCTCGAAACGCTGTTTAAACAACTGATTTGAGATTCTTGCCTCTAACAGAGTGGAGCCGAGCTTCATGCAAAAACCGATGAGCATAATAAAAGCAAAATTTGAAGAACCTGTGACTTGAGCCACTTGTATCATTACGGCACGCCACCCAGTTGTGATTTGTTGAAGGGTTCCAGACACGTTTACGTGGCAAAGCGTGTTTTCATCGACTGCATCTACTGTACCATAACCCACTCCTGTGGCCGTTGCGCTACGATTTACTTTAAACGTACAATACGTGTCCATTTTGCACGCGGCCTGGGTACTGTGTATTAAAAGAGTTCACCGTTATGGAAGTGAGCTTGTATTTTGGTAGCTTACATGCGGTGTCCGTACAGGGAACCTGCATGCGGCACTTCATTCCCCATCCATCTGGCCAAGCCTGCATAGTAGGTCACGTTAAACGACGGTCCGGCTACAATCTCCACAGGATGGGCATTTTGCACTTCAGAATCGCCATAATGGGAGCCGCACAAGAAAGTTGTATTGGGCAGGATATCCTGCAGTTCTTGCAGTTTCTCAGCGACGGTAGACGTGGTGTTCATTACTACAAGCCAGGAGTGATAGATGTATCCGACGTGCAGCGAGATATTCTCTTGATGAAGCGCTTCCGCCAGCTGGTCAGTTGCAATGGGTGACATTCGCGACAGCATGGATGGAAGCTCTTCCTCAGTAGATGTCAATGCTATCGTATACGTCACACGTGCAACGCGAAACCTGAACACACGAAAAAACCTGTCTCTCTTTTACTGTTCAGAAAATATTATATAGCTCCAGCGTGTTTACAACCTCACAAGGCTACAAATTTACCCATTTTGTGTAAACCACCGGTTATTGTCGATTTCTATAACGAACGCTTGAACTTTAAAGTGTTGCGAGCGAAGAAAATAATCCAAAAGTGTTTCTTCGGCAGCTTCTGCAAATAAACGACAAAGGAAAAATAGACGGCACAGCAAAGGTATTTATTCACAGATTCAATGCTGATTTTAATGCTTCTGCAGTTTTATTATACCAACAAATCCAGTAGAAGAATACATGCGTACGATACGTACTTATATAACCGGCAAAACCATCCGGACGAATGAACCATCCACCGTAAATCTTACTCGCGCACCTTTTCAGCATTGTGTTGTGAAATATGTACTCGGTTACTATTGTTCTATGTGGTTTTGCCGGATTGTTGATTTGTACCCGGGCGGTTTCTATCGGCATAACGAACGCTTTCCTTAAAGACTTACGCATGGGTACTTTCCAAGCCGCATTCAGTGCTCGTTCGATTCTTTCCGGTGTGAGATCTTTGCCGTACACAGCCATTTGATGAATTCCAAAGGAGCCAACCGCCGCTACAACACCCAGCTTGTGGATTATGCTGATCCATTCCCGATAGGCAGCGTCCTTTAGCATGAACACCGGCTGGTAACTGGCATCGCTGGGTCTCGCTGGCATTCCCCACTCGCGATCGCACAATTTTGTAACGTAGTTTCCATTCAACGAAAGATCACTTGCTGACTCGCTGTTCCTGGACTTTGTTGCTAAAAATTGAATTTGGGTAACCAACGTCTGCTCCAAAAATTTTAACACGCTGACAATTTTTTCGCAGCGAGTCGAAAAATGTTACCACCCTTTAATTGCTTTCGCTGCCGCATGCCAACCTTCCTGTTATACGAGTATTTTTAGCCCGGTTCTCATTTCAAATGCTAAATTTCATCCTATAGCTTGTGATGGGTTACCTGCCTATAGCTACAATAATAACAATGTTACAATGATAATAATAAGAAAACAAAATAATAATCATAAAATAATTATTCTAAAGAAGGTGGTTAATGCGTACCGTTGTGTATGAGCAACACCGGATCTGTACCAGCGACAATCTTCAACGGCCGTTCATGCACTGCATTCTGTGCATGAATGTTATGAAAAACACATAACGAGACAATGACAAGGAAAATCCCGTAATTGTTCATAGTTCTGAGGTCCGGTTGCGCTGGATATGGAATTGTTAGAACCAATGAGCAACAATTATGATCACTGCTAATTCGTTAAAATAACTATAAATCTATAGTACGCTATTGTTACAAAAATGGCAAATCATGCTTCACTGCAACTGTTACCGGTCCTATTTTCAACAGTTGCTTGCGGTCTGTATTGTGTCAATAACCATTAGTTTCAACTTGGAGCACCTTTTCGAAGTAATTATAGCACTGAATGTGCAGGGTCTCACCTGTGTCTTATTTGTCTTGCAATGCTGCGCGACAAACGTAGCGAAAGAAAACAATCAGTTCTCACAGATGGAGAACGGTCATATCGTACATCTTGCCTTGATGATGGGGAATAAGATATTTAGGTAGGTACAGATATAATTGTCGCAATCCAGGCATGCAGCAGTCTTCCAAGTGATAAATACCGTTAGAATGAACTAAAGTAGCAGATTATAATCTTAGTTCGGAGCAAAGGTATTCCACAATTTACAAGCTGCTGGGAATCATATATACGTTCTTGTTGCTGCCTGGCGCCGCGGTTTTTTACAATTCATGTAACAGGAGGAGGATTATGGTTCACAAGGGGAGCCAAAGTTGTGTTTTGTTATATTATTTATGGATTTTCTCTGTTGAACTTGCCAGAGCGATGAATGAATTTTGATTACGCTTTGTTCGTGGAAGCGAAACACTGCACCATGCACAAAATGAGTGCAAATCTTTGCAACAAAGTACCGTAGAACTGCAAGTGCACCCTAATTTTACATTATTTTGTCAGTGCTGCTTTAACGGCAAAATACTTGTACGTTGAAACTTGAAAGTATCGATAATCATTCAAATTACCGCGCAAATCGTTTCCAGAAAAAGCTGCGATAAATTGCTGTTTAACATGTTGCCAGGCTTTTTGTCAAAAGTTAACAGCTTTTGATGACAGCATATATTCTTTGGCAACTTTCAACCAGACCAAAATGTTTTCAGAGTAAAATGATCAACAGTTTCATCGGCGTTGCTGGCAGAAACAAAGCGCCATGTAAGATGGAACTTTTCTAAGACACTGCGAATTAAGCCGTACGATGTATACATCATACCTCCACAGATGGAAGTGGCTCTCCGTGCCTGACTTCGATAACAAAAAGTGGAACGTGAACACGTTGTCCTTATCAAAAAATCAATGTCACAATATGTTGTTTCTCATTATCACGCTATGCGTACGACGGAAAAAGCACTTGTAAAAGACGGCGTGCATCATATGCATCATACATATTGTGGTCCGTGTACTGGCCGCTTTCGTATCCTTTTAGCGTAATATTCAACAAGTTGTGGTTTAGCTGCAGTGGATTCGCCTCGGTGAATGCAACGACAATTACTCCTATTATTGTTCCCTGGTTCTGTTACCGTACACACAAATAATGCCATATCGAAAAGTGGGGGGTGATTTATTGATTACTGACAACACGCCCGCGAAGCGGGAACAACCTCCAAACCCCCAAGAGCAGAAAAACACAACACAAACAGGTGGGTAAGTTGATTATGATCCGGATATTCCGATGGGGAGGCAAGTTGGAGCAACCAAAAATCAGGAACCTTGCGCGTGGTTACGGCGGAAATCCACAAGACACTGACGTAGCGCCACACAGTGAAAACTGTGTCAAGGCGGATTACAAATAGACAGACACCGAAAGGTCACACTTACATTTCATATAAGACTTAAAAGTGTGGAGCACTTTATCGCCAATAAACTTAATGAAAGCCTTATGAGACATAAGGCTTTCATAAAAAAATAATTAAAGTAGCGCCAAGCAGAAAATGTATTACAGCGAAATTTTAATTAAGGATATGCGCGGCAGCTAATATAGTTTATGCGTATTTTCCGAAGCCGGTGGTAAATAAAGCATTAAGCCAACCTGCGGCAATGTAGACCACTGCTTTTAGTCGGCTTGAGAAATAATGACTCCAGTAAATGAATAATGCAAAAGATACTGATATCACTTGTTTGATAAATCTGGCGGGTTATGATCCTGCACATATAAAGAGGTCTTTCTCCGCAAAGGTTAGCAGGAGCTAACAGGGTTCGCCTCACATGTCAAATCGCACAACAAAAGCAAAAATGCTTCTAACCCACATTCAGAATAAACGATAAGACACAATGCGTCGCCGAAGCAATGCAATAATGCGTCGCCGAAGCAATGCAATAATTAAACTGCCAAGAACACCAGATAATCAAATGCGGACACACTGCAAATTACAATATGCGCTACTAGCGCGCAATAACAGGATGACCCAGTAATCAAAATTCCTAGTCAGACCACAATACAGAGCCAAATAAAAAGGGCGACGCAGACCCGTTGAGTCTGCACTGCCAAAGCGATTAAGACAAGCTAAATAGTAAATTAGTTATCAGTGTCGGTAGAGCTCGTAGCTCCTGAGTCTCGGTGGCCATGATAGCCATGCCCGCGTTTCCCGCATTCACCACACACGTGCGAATAAGAGCAGGAAGCAGATGACCGAGAGCAGTTGCCTTCTTGAAAGGCAAAGCAGCATGCAAACTTATAGCTGGATATTTTGGCGCCACTGCGACTGCGAAAAGGCTGACCTTTGTCGCTTTGATCGACGCCATGCTCTGTTCGGCGATTAATCGCATGAAAATGCTTAGAACTGACAGTATTTCGTGTTTGGTAATCATTTAACGAAAACCCTTCGTTCTCAGCAGAATGTCGAAAGTCGGTGTCAAATTCAAGAACAGCCTCATTCGTAAAATTACAACGCATAGAAGCCAAGTATTCGTTATATTCGAGATGCTCCAGGAGCGTCTCTGCATACTGTCCAGACAGAGTTTTGCACAATTTAACCGCTGTTCGCCAGCTGTGAACGGAAAACTCATCCAGTGAAAGATCAAGAGGAGAAACATGCTTGCTTTTCGACCCTGGTTTAGGGCAAGCCAGCTCATGCGGCCTCTGCAGTTTACGTGCTTCCGTTGGGAAGCAGTTAAAACTTTTGGCGATAAACTCAGAAGTATCACTCTCAATTGAAATGACTGAAACAGAGCGGTGCAAGCATGCCGGCTTCAGATTATCATACTCACCCGCGGTACCACTGCTGCGGGGAAGATTGACCTCCTTGCGGTCGGCGGGACCTTTGACTGCACGCTGGCCAGGACTGCCGTGCGGTGGGCTGGCTTCGCGGAAAGGGGGATTTGGCTTGGGTGGCTTTTCCCGACCGCGGCCGCTGTTCTCGGCCCGGATGAATCGCTCCAGGATGCAACGAACTCCTTCACGGCTCACAATATCCAGGTTACTTGGGAACTTGGAAGATTCTCCAAGGCACAACAGGGCAGACTTGCTGGATATCCCTTCGGCTTCCAGTTCACTCTGGCATTTCCTGTCCAACTTCAGTTCTACAACCACTTTGGCAATGGAATCGGTGTCATCCACAGGGAACATCCGAGGCTCTAGAAGTTGCAAAAGTGCGTTCTTGCCGTCGGTATCCACATGAGAAATATCTAACTCAACACACAGTTCCCTCAACTTCTGAACGCTAAGCTTACGCAAAGCGGACTTTGACGCTGGCACTACCATGGCGTAAACAGATATCGGATTCGTCTAAAAAAAAAATCTAAACTTCATCATTGCCGGACGCAGTGCCAAGTGTGTGCGCATACACTGCGAACAGCTATATATAGTACACGCTGACCATTGACCATCAAACCACTGAACAGACAGGACAGACCACAGCGCTCCACCCACCATCACCAGGTCCAATAATATGCAGATTATTGGCATAATCTTTCCCAACACGTCATCAAGAATCTGCAGTCAAGTCAAATTGTATAATCCTTGGTGCAAACCATTCGGTGCATAATTTTCGTCATCGCCGAGTAAGTTTGATGTACGAGGTAATTGTATATTACTAATTACACATACCGTAGAATTCAGGAGCTGAGTATCATCACCGGCTTCGCCGCTTGCCAAGTTCAGTGAGTACCAGCTGGAACTGGGAGATCGCGTTTGTTGTGGTGGCAGTGTACTGTACTGTGAATGGTCCGGCTCACGTACACGAATCTGACGAGGTGTGGTTTGGATCACTTTCCCATGGAAAGCTTTGTAGAGCGGCGCATACAATGGCAAAGTGGGATCAAATAATATTGGCGTTATTTTCCCGGGAACCGCCAGATTATCCTCATAAACGGCATACAACTGTGCCAATACCGTCATTCCGTCTTCACTCAAACCGAATGGACTGCATCCCAAAACCAGATAATTTACTGTTGTGCCGGTGCTACGACCCGGTTGCCCCAATAAATCTCCTAAAAAAGCGCCATTTCGGGTAATTACGACGAGTACAACACGTTTACCGTTGTTACGTTCCAAGAATAATCAAGGAAGCTCTGCCTTCCTTTTGTGGTTGCTTTTTTCTGAGACTCCATGTTAAACCGCATAGTAAGTGTTTACGTACTACTCTGCACGATGGAATCCGAAGACGCCTCTAGGAAAGATCGAGCAGTCTTGGCTATTGCGTCAGTTATTCGGGTAAGATTTTGAAAGTGGATTGGAGAGTCCAGCTGGAACTGATACGGTGCATCGCTGTCCTCGAATTGTGTTAGTCGAACCCATTCCCCAACCCCTTCTATTTGTAGCCTCCAGGCAATTGAAGAAGGAAGTACGCTCTCGTTCACTTTGATTAGAAACGGTAAAATCGCTCGCGTCGATCTGCAACCAAAATGTTTTTTTAAAGTACGCAATACCGGCCTCGACTCGACGTACAGAGCATACGGCTTCGTATTTGATCAAATTGCAGCTTTCCTCGTCGACCGTCGCACAGCTGCTGGGTATAGCGACAGTTAATTTACTCCTAAGCCGGTTTGCGGCCATACCCGGTTTCACAACTGAATCCTGAACAGAACATGGTAGACAGAATTTAATACAACCCGCCGGTTCAGTAAGCGGTAATCGTCATTATAATGGCAGCAGCTATGCGGCGGTCCAAATAAAAAGAGTCCTACAGGACAGTCGAAGAAAAGCTGAATTCGGGGCATGGCGCACAGCTTTTACACTTACATCCACGTTCCGGACAAGTGAGCAGAATACGGGACCCAGTCTTCCGTTGGTCTCAACACCCGCACACTAGAGGTTATATTAAACTGCCGTCCAGGTAAGATCTGAATAGTGCGCGAAGCGGTATCAGAAGATGGTTCAGAACTTGTACAGGTAATTCGGTCCAACCCCGCTTTCGCCAGTGTCTGAAGTTCTTGTATCTTTTCGGCAATACTCGACGCATTGCCCATATTCACCAACCAAGCGCGATAGATGGGTCCGACGTACAGCGAGATATTAACGCGCTGCAGCGTCTGCGCGAGATGGTCGACGCTAATGGGAGACATTCGCTGCAGCATGGGAGGAAGAGATTCTTCAGTGGTTAGTAACGCCACGGTATAAGTCACTAGTGTAATTCGACTCCTGCAATCATGATTGATAATACAACATATGAGACTACCGATATATCACACAGTCGAACGTTCTTGTGATCGATTTTAGCAAGCTGGAATTTTACCCGTCTGAAGAAAGCCATCGGTTTTTCTCGACGTTCAGTATGGATGCTTTGACTTCAGATTCTTGTGAATGAAGGGAAGCTTTAGCGGCCCCTGTAAAAACAGTTAAAAATGTTAAAGTAGTATAGTAATGCATTTCTTCCGTCTTCAGGGTTTTATGCGTTGCCATCTGCGCAGTGTCATTGATCATGTTATGTCTCCTACACTGACCTTTAATGATCAAATCCTACATGAATTCTATTTTGGCATGGGCTATCGAATCGAGTACATGCAACCCGGAAAAAATATTCTGCATATGCAGCAATTACAGTTTACAAAAACACTCTTGAGACGCACGTTGCCACTGCAGTTTGTATTTTTTGTCACCATCTGTAAACGTGCTACAGGCGTTGCTCAAATGTGAATATCGGAAAAAAATAGGTTTACAAGAATGTCGGTACTGTACATGCTCACGAATCGGCTCTTCCCACGCTGTCTCCAGTGCTTGTTCAACTCGGCTCCGTGCCAGATCGTCGCCGTACACAGCCATTTCATGAATGGCGTAGGGAATGACAGTCTTTAAAACGCTCAGTTTGCTGCTTATCTTAATCCATTCGCGCGCACTGGAATCTTTCATCATGAATGCAGGTTGATAACGAACGTCGCCAACTATCTCGGAGCCGCAGAACTTTGGGATGTGGCTTTTACTCAGGCGGCTTGGCTGTCCGTTATTCGTGGATTGTGTTCCTGCAGATGTTTCCGCTCATTTTCAGTGCAGCAAAACGAAACGCACTTCAACAAAAACTTCGAAATTACTTGCCGTTTTCTACCGGCAATGCCGGGTCTTTTTGGGCAACTATTTTTCGAGGGCCTAGTATGAACTCATCTTGAGCTCGACTAAAACGTATTGCGCTGATAACCAGAAAAATGGAAAAACTGCGCTTCATTCTCCAGTTCGAACTTTAGTTGTTTCTGCAGTTGTGGAAAGACTCAAGAGATCACACTGACTCAAAAACTGCAATATATTTTATTAGTAGTTAACAATATACAATGTATACTATCCTTCCACTTTAGCAACTGCTAGTGCACGTACCGGTATTCTAACTACAAGTATTACAAGAATAATATTATTTCATGCTATGTTGTCCGCAGTTGCTCTGCGAAGTGTTCTGTAGTTGGCTCAACTTAGCTGCATGTCTACTTAACGTTAAGATGTGATTCCGCTGCTTGTAGATGTACTCGTACGATTACCATCGATTCAGTCGACTTTCAAACAAATCCAATCTAAACCATTTTTCCACTTACAAACGCCGCTAGTAGTTAGTGGGACTATTGGGCGATGCTGACGAGCACTACCCGGCGTTCCGCTGTATGTGCCGCGCCAGCATACAGTACCGATACCACTTCAACGGCCTATCGCTAGATGTGACGCAGGATGTGCGGCGCCCAAAGCGCATTTCGGTGGCCCACCAAAAGCGCATTTCGGCTAGTGTGCGGCTGGGTGTTACGCTATGTGCTAAGTTGCATCATTCCTTACATGTTGAAGCCATAGCGGCGTGAAGCAGTAAAGATTCGTGATGAAGCGTAAAGCCAATTAAGCTACCATCTTTAGCAGCTAATGTTTCATTAATCAGCTATTTAACAAAAGTAACACGCACTTCAAGGCCGTAAAAGTAATAAAATAAAACCGTAAATTCAGTAATAAAACAGAACACGCTTTTGAATTTCTCAAGACAATATCAATGAACTGATCACCCTTCGTTTGCAATACAAACTGGCAATAAGGTGCAATTCTAGCATGTTCTTCCCAAACATCATCATCAGGGTGCCACGCCTCCACCCTTGACCACACGAAAAGCATTCGACGCGGTCATTAGGTCCAAAAATAAAGCCGCCGCCGCCAGTCCATACTTGGTTCTTGGGGCGGGGCCATGCAGTGAAGCTGACCAGCCGGACGTTGTAGTTGGCCATACTTGGTTTCTTGGGCTGGAGCGGGTCAGCATTGAAAGGTACTGTACGGTCCGCAAACGTCTTCGCCAGTAGTTGATTGTCATGGTAGTTTTCGAGGGTAGTTGAAACATACGTAGCCGCACCGCGAGCAGCAGTGGGTCGGGTCAACGAATCCTTGACGACTAGCGCATGGCGGTCGGTATCCGCAAGACCATGGCGCCACGGACCCGGTCGCATTTGCCTCCGCAGTCCATACATACGGCAGCCGCTGACTTTGTTCTATCCGTTTTGTTCCGCTGAGCTGAACAGCCGGGTGATATCAAGTATGAGAATTAGCGGATAAAACACAACCGCTGTTTGAAGTTTTCTAAAAAACAAAACTGACAAGTCTCAATGTCGCGTTATTTACGCAAGTCTATGAATAGTTAGGCGTGTACACGTACGCTAATATTAACAATATGCGTTAGTCAAATTCCACTATTAACAATTGCGAGCACCATAAACTGTAATTTTACCGTTACTATGCGTTGGCACTGTTTTTTCGTTACAGTATAGAATTGCTAAACTATATTTACAGTGCTCGGTTTAGCCCATAATAACTTTGGGTTAGATTTGGTCGAGATTTGGCATCAAGTTCAAATCCGCCGTGTTCACGGTTCACCATAGTCCAAACACAATAGCTTTATTCCGCGTAGTCTGGCTCAAGGTGCACAGTGTTTTGAAGGTCGGGCAGCCGAGGTCGTCAAGGTTCTTGACGGTAGGTACGTACTTCTCAAAAAGCCGGCACTTTTCCAGTCCTTTGGAATAAAACGCACAGTCCACGGGCCGTAGATTTATACGGTCAAAAATCTCTTCGATGGCGTCAGCCACTTGGTTCCACAAAAGGTCACCGGCTGTATTCCACACCAGACCGTGGGAATGTCGGGCTTGTTGTTGCAAAGTTTACTGTGCAATGCTGCGAACGTTGGTAGAGTGAAAGAGAATTCGCCAGAGACTCCACGAGACGGAACAAAAAAAGCTAATTTTTTGACGTACTTCTGTTTATTAATAATAAACCAGTCAGCATCAAGAACAACTTTTACAGCCATGGCTGCAACTCCGAAACGGTGAAACTGATTTCGTTCCACGTTTGCCGCAGTTCGATTCGTTAAAAGACGGCAATTGTTACTTTCCGCAGCACATTTTCATTTTGTGACTTTGCAAGCACTCATTTCCACAATTGTGCCGCAGCAAAAGCACAGTCCCAGAGACGGGCCGCACATGTACCCCAATGTGACGCAAAAAAAGCTCATTCTGAAAAGTGCGCTTTTTGAACCTCACAACCGCAGCTAATGGTTGCATTTTGTGAAAAGTCCGCTGTCAGTTTTGTTGTCAACCGTCAGTTGCAACATTTTCGTTTTACTGTTCAGTTCTAATTTTTTAAACCATGGATGTCATATTTTCCTCCTTTCTCGGTACCGATGCCAAGGGCACTACTGCGGATGTTCCGGCTCCTGTTGTGCGCCAGGATGCCATTCATCCGAAACGAAAGAGTCCGGACGTTGTACCCGCCAAACAGCCTGAAGTCGCTGGCAGCAAACCTGGAAAAGATGACCTTTGAAAGCTCCCAGCAAGAAGCTGAAGACTAAGCCGAAAGCTGCAGCTGTTCCGGAATTCGAAATCGTCCCCAAGTTAAACTACGGATGTACAAGGAAAAGCCCGCATTTCTAGACGGCCAGTTTGCGGTTTACAAAATTGGCTACGACAAATTCATTAGCGTTCGCACCTCGGCGTACGGTAACTTTACTTGGTTGGCTGTCACCATTGGAGAATGGAAGGAGGTGGGTCCCGATACCTGGGAGAAAACGGCCAAGCATATTACGCTAAATGAGCGCCAGTTCCATCGGCTAGCGGGGATCATTATGTCGGGAAAGGGCGACCTGGATGACCTGGCCAAATTGCCCACGGACGACTGCCAGCTGACTGCTGCTAAGTACAACTTGGGCAACGGATTGTACTTCACTTGGAGCCGATTCAACCGCTCAATCTGGCCACCATCCGTAACTATACCAAGAACGAGGCCGGCGATATGATTCCGACCAAGCGTGGCATCAGCTTTGGGCAGAAAGCGTTTGACGGACTGAAAAAAATCCTGAAAGAAATGACCTTGTTCCAGGAAGCGGCAAAGTTGAAAGACAGCCCACCAATGGATGGTTTGGATTACGTTGGGTTGAAGCCTGCGGTCAGCCAGATGCTCCTGGCCCAGATTGCGAAGCATCGGTCATCGACCTGTGGTCCGTGTCATCTGCCGGACTCCGACGAACCACACATCTGCAAATTCGCTAAAGTGATGGTGCAACCGACGGATGAGGAATGGAAGAAAGCGGAAGACGCCCTAAAGACCGGAAAGTATTTGGAAGCATTTTTATTGGAGAATAATCGCGTCAGCAACAAGCAGGTGTGCTCATTGGATATTAACGGATTTTTTGAGAGTAATCGTGTTGAGCTTCGTAGTATGACTGTCTAATTCTATTTTTCTACAACTAAGGTATATCCAACGACAACATTGTTTTTTCATTCAAGTAGTTTATTTTTTGCAGTCTGTTTAAAAATTTGTTGTCAAATAATGAAGTGCTAATATCGAACTTGTAATTCACATACTGACAAACCATAATATCGTTGCTACGTTGACTATCAGTGAATAAATGAACAATCTGTGGAAAGGATTCTCCACTTGCTCGCCGTAAAAGAAAAACATACAGTATTGACCACAAACCGAAGAAAAATTAGACTGCAGTTGTTGATTCTGCATTATTATTTTGTGACCTTTAACAAAAGAAAAATCCCCATATACCGATATCTGCTGGCCATACGAGTCAAAATACTCGATTTGGTCCGGAGTGTCCTGGTAGAACGCAATCCAATGACTTCCCGGTTCGGCGGCTGGGTCGGAATTGACGACTACTGCTGCTGGCAATTGACCAAGGTCTGACGGCACTTGATCGGCAGCAAACACACCCCGAAATGTCGATTTCGTTAAGGCATTGTTGGCTAGTGCCGTTTCTATTTCGGCCGTGTTCATGTCGTGAAGTCCGCAATAAGTTGCCGATGTTGATTAATTTCTAAAATAGAGTCGTAGACCATGTAGCACACCATCATCACGGGCTTTGGTAGTGGTTTACTAAAGGAAACCGATATGCTTAAATTGCCTTGTCGAATTAAGGTCAATGGTCCCAGGCCGGTGCTCCCAGGGTGCAGTCAAAACCAAACACGCTATAGCCTTTCGCATAATCCTCCCTCGAAATACACCATTCTCCCGTAGGGTTACACTTCCGACCAAGGGTGTCCAACAGTCCATCATAGCACTCCAAAGTCAGATGCTTATCAAATTCTGCCATGTAGGGTTTAGTAGGTATACTGACTCCATCAATCTCGACGCTTATTTGCTGAACGTTACAGTGTTGAAACTGAAATGGTGATGTGTTATCTGCTCCATGGAAATCCTCGCTATTAACGAACCCGATAAGAACCACTTTAGGAGCTGTCCTATCTGTACATTGCTGACTACTGTGCTTTGTGTGTTGGCTGGGATGTCCGAAACTCGAATAACCGTACGTTCGATATGATATTTGACCGTTTTTGTCTGCAGTTGATTGGCCACGGCTATCATAAAGTCTGGAGCTGGAATATAGCGTCGAATCATCAATCGGGGGTTCCTAACAAAAATCTTGAATTTCTTGTCGGTATCAGCATCCCAAATACGCAGCATGAAGCTTTGTCGAGATAACACCATACGAATATTCAGGGGTACTCCGGTAATAAGAGGTTTGGTCTGGTTGAAGAGATCGGAAAACAGCTTACCGGACAGCTGTACATAATTTTTGTTAAGGAACAGCTTTCGCCGCGCTTCCTCGCCATCATTTTTTGTGTTATCGTTGAATTCTCCGGGTGTGTCCAAGTAAAAGCCACTAGACCGTAACTGGCTCTTGATGGAATCGGTCGAGTAGCGTAACAGGCTTTCTAAATAGGCTCGGTAGGGATAATATTGTGACGCGTCCGAAATCAATCGGTTGGCCAACGTCACGTGTACAGTTTGAAATAATGAATGCAGTAAATTATTGACTGGTGCGACTCCGTCGGCATCCGTAATGAATCTCCATGGGTCTGTCCCTTTTTCGTTTTGATCGCCACTTCCAGTTCCAAGCACAAATCCGGTAAAGCTAAAATCCGCTGGTGCTGGCCGGAATAAAAGAAATATCGCCGGCGGTTCCGTCTTCGGTTAACGCTGAGCTGGGGTATATCCTTTCGTGTTCAGTTCGCCAGCGGTCGGTATAGGAAGCGGAACGGCAAATAACTGATTTTCCAGCTGCATAGCCGGCGCGGATCCTTCTAAAATAAACGCCATTTTATAAGAAATCAGGAATGTGGCGTGGTGGTATTCTTCGAATTTTCGTAATCTTTCGTGGTCGTGCACGTTTCTTACGGACTCCTTGTCCTTCTTGTGGCTCAAATCGCTTTGCTATTGCGTCCGTTACCCGTTTCTTGGTGTCTTTAATGGCCTCAACGGCTGCTTCTTGCAGGTGGGGAGTTGCAGCTTCTAGTGCGGCTTTGGCATGCGGGGCAGCACTTCGAATAATCGGCTTGGCAATACTGGCAATTTTGGCGAACAGGTTTTTCAAGATTTGGGGAAAGAAGCCGCTCCGTTTTGTTGGTACGAGCCTCGGTATCGGGTAAGGGTTCCATGTCCAACTTGAACGGTAAACACTTCGTCATACCGCTGTGGATTGGGTTCGTACGCGACAAGAGGCATTTTAATATAATCGAGCTGGCCGAAAATGAAGCTTAACTAGTGATTTGCCTGTTTCAAACCTGGCGTTTTCACCACTATCGTTAGCTATAGTCAGATGGATAGTCTCAAAATATGATGGTAAAACCGGAACGTAATGGGGACTATCGAATACATTATCTACCATCTCATTCACTTGCCCTTAATAGGCACGACACGCAAAATCTGCGCGGAAGTGTCTCCAAGGTAGCTGAAA